AAAAGAAGAAACAAATTATCAAAAAATATATTTGGTCTTTGTTTATGGTTTGCTGGTTTGTTAACTTTTCAATTACTCTTTTGCTAAATTTGAGTTCTTTGGAAATAATCTATTATACACTGGCTGGAAGTTTTTTTGGATGGTAAAGTTTTTCGTTCATAAAAATCTGCCTTAAAATGTATGTACATATGTATTATGTACACTAAATATTTAAATAGCTTTCTAGATTTGTAATACAATTGTTAACTACAACTAAGCAGACATTGAATTCCTTAAAGATAAGACTTGAGACGGTGGTTTAGGGATTTCGTTTCTTAATTATAAAAATAAAGAGTACCAAATTGACTCGTGTCGTTTCTTTAATTTCAATTAGCATTCAACAACAAGTGTCAAAGCCTAATATATTTGATTCTTCAAGGTGCCAAAAAAAAGAAATTAGACAATGTAAACTGAGTAAAAAATATTAAAGGAATACTTTTTATTTAAGATGTAAATAAATATAAAATTAATCAGTTAGATCGAGAAATCGGTAAATATTATCTTCATCAGAATTGAAACGGCTAGAGCCGCTGGATGGTTTGATGTAAAATGTACGATATTATAAAATTGATTTTCCAGCTGTTTGAGTCTTCGACCAAACTATAAATTAAGTAGCTGTTAATGCTAATACCACGTTGTTACGGAATTTAGTTCAGAAAAATTGGACGCTTTTAGATAAAATTTTGGGAGAGTCGATGTTGGAACAAAGTGATAAGAATTCTATGGATTATACCTATTAAATACATAATTTTAAATTTCCACAAAATTTTATTGGACCACTCTATCCATATATATTATATAGTCGAGGGGGAAATTATAATTTGGCTAAAAAGAAAGGCTTGCTTTCTTAATGAGTTTTAAATGGACTATTTTATGCGTTTTGATATGTATTTGGAATAAGAATTTATTGTTTGTGCCTAGATATATATCATAATGTCACATGCTTCACCTCTATAGAATGTGGACCATTAATATAGCTTAAGTTGGGATGATGGAGAACAAAAATTATATTATCTTATCACGAGTTATGTCGATAGTTTATTATTATATTATAATAAAAGAATTCACAACTGTAAATAGCATCATATGACCAAATAAGAGAAATGATATGATAAGAAATAGAAATTGCGTATCTTAACAAGTAACAAGTAATATATATCTTATATTTTCTGATGAATCAGGTTTTTTTAGTCGAATTTTGCATTAACTCTAAAGGATATCGTCACTTTATAAATCTCCAAAATACCCGTGCGTATGAACCAAAGACATTGTATAAGCATGCTAACAATCTAGCATTATAATATATATCATATAAAATTATACTCTGAATGCTAACTTATTCTCTTCCTTTCTTTCTTGCATATACTAAAACTTATCTTTAAGCCTAGGTTAAGGTAATTTACGAATCTAATAGAATATTTATTATTATTGTAGCTGAACAATAATTGTTTTCTGAACACATATAATAATTCTGCATCACCCTGTCAATGTTTTGGTAGCATATTTTTTATCGAACGAAATATACTATAATCAGTATACCGCATTATCATATGTATTCTAGAAACAATTCATATGATCAAGGTAATTAAAAAACAATATATTGTGAGACAAAAGATGTAATATAGTCAAAAATGTATAATATCTTTGGCATAGAATAAATCAATTAGACCATAAAGATCCCTAATAGCCCATAACTCCCTATTATATGCCTTCTCATGCATGTAGCAAACTAAACAAACCTTTTGTATTCTGTCGTTTGGTGACTTTGGTTTATCAGATAAACCATTATCCGATAAGCATAGCTCCATAGAGTAAACAAAGTACACTATATATTGTTAGAACTTAGAACTTGTTGTGGGATCAAAGACACCAAACGTATATCTTATTAAATTCTTATAATAACGACTCTTTTCACTATATAGAAGACTCAATAATCCTCGAAAGAAAGTCATTAAAATTAGAATCCTATCAAATGACGCATATGTTGAACAAGAAATATTTGTTGGTCGTATGGGTTATATGTTGACGCCGCTTAGAATCAACACGGCCGTTTAGAGTCGTGTAGTTTATGTGATGTTTGGAGAATAAGTTTTATGATATATGTAGAGTGTTTTAAAAATATATATCTGTAGGCTATGATGTAACAAATGTTTTTTCCATCGATCTTACAAACGAACGAACCTTTTGTGTTCTTTTGTTGATTTTAGTTAAGAATTTGATTTTCTTATGTTTTTATTTTACGATGTTTGCAACTTGCTTGTCAAGTTAAACCAAATCAAACCGGACTATTTTAGATAAAACTGAACCACGCAAGTTCCATAATTTATTTAAGTATGAACCAAAAACAATAGAGTTTTAAGTAAAAAGAACTAAAGTGGCCTAACATTTAACTTGCGAGCTTGTGGCCATCAAGCCATACAAGCTTTGGCACAACCTGGCGGACAACGGAGCTGAACTGCTTCAGTTTCATCAAATCTCTAAGCACTAAACACGCATCCCAGTATTTGCTAGGCTCATCTCTTCCCATTTCACCCGAAGAACAAAGGTACCTTGTTGTGTCCACCGGTCGCTTGACGCCGATGTGGTTATGTGAAACATCCAACACTCTAAGCTGCTTCAGATGTCTTAGAGAGCCAAGCGCTGAAAAGCTCCTGATTCTGTTGTGACTCAGGTTTAGGCAACAGAGAAGCTGCATCGCCTCCAATCCTACAGACCCATATATTTGATCAATCACACAGATGCAACAACTGATATTACAAGACTCAAACACTACATACCTTCAGCTGAATGAAGCTCATTGTGACTGAGATCTAACATTTGGACAAATAGCAACTTCTCCACAGCGTAGTAACTCCTTTCGATGTAAATGAAATTATCATAGTCCGCATAGAAGAATACCTTCTTTAGAAGCAAGCATCAATGATTTTGCAAGGGGGAACAATGTGGTCGACATAATATACTCAAGAGATGCTCCAACGATATATCTTTTTAAGATTGGAATTAGCCAAGCATTTGCGCATGAGTGACTCTCAGCATGATAGGTGATAGGAAGAAGTGTTAGTAGCATGACTGGCCCATGGCAACCACTGCAGACCCAATGGCATTGCTGAACCTGCTGATAAGTCCAGATTATTATAAATCAAGCAATATAGATAGATTCTTTATATTGTAAAAAATTGTACACACAAAAATATGATGTCTTATTTTCTTAAGGGATGAAGTTTTTATTGAATGCATCATTGTGTACTAGATTCAAATTGAATCAATACTGTCTATAGAAATGATCATTGTGTACTAAATTCAGATCGAATCAGTACGGTAGATAAGAGCTTTGAAGCAACCACCGGACGGGATGAAGAAGAGAGTAAAAGTTCTGAAGATCTGAAGAGTAACTACCAAACCAACGCCAAATGTGGAGGGTTTTGGTGAACCGGATCAAACCAGGATTCTTTTATCTGTGCCGGTCCAGGACTGTCTTGGTCAAAGTACATTGTCTCAAACTTTCAACGCAATTTTGAATTCTTCCTGCTAAATCTCACTTGACATATATCCGTACTTTTCGGTTTCTTGGTTTGACTTTCATCAGCCATTATGTCCATTTTCACAAATTACGATTCTCTCAAAAAAAAAACATGAGAATATGTGTTGTACATGCGATTAAAATTATGTGTTTTCATTTGTTAGAACTAATAGAATATTTGTTAAACAGTACATACTAGAATCTTTGTTAAACAGAACTCATAGAACTAATTATTATCTCTGAAAAACACCAAACGATGATATATTCTTTCATTAAGATAAATTAAGTAAAGAAACAGAGATGCTCAAACGACAATCTTCAAAGTTGCACTCATTGATTGTCATTACACACACACATATATATAATATATGAGTATAAGTATTCTTGGTATTTCTTGGTAGTTGATACGAAATTCTAACCATATGAAACACGAATTTAGTAATCTAAAGTAGACCGTTTGAACAAAAAAAAAAAAAAAGTAATCTAAAGTAGACCGTATTAGATTACAAAATTACAATATAAACTGTAACTACTTCGTCTACACTCTCGAATTAAAACTCTAATGATAAATAGCCTTCCACCGAAAAAAAAAACAAATGTAAAGTATACGTTAGAAATACGAAACAAATATATAAGGAAGTCGGTTACACCGTTGCAGTGTCGAAGCTGTTAAGAGAGATCTATAACTGAAAGTCTGAAACTATTATTATTAAATTTACATTATTCGTTTTATACTGCAGAATATTTCTTTTAAAATACAATTAAGTTTGTAAGACGTGCACACGTGGTGGTAACGATAGTGCTGGTTGGACAAAATCTGCATGGAATCTCGTCCCATGTCTTATTTTCGAGGTCAACTTGAGGTCTTTACGCTTTTAATTTGAAACCCAAAATGTCAAAACTAATATAGGTACTTTATCAATGATTTTTTTTTTTTTGACAAAGGGCTTATTGAAAAAAAGACATATAATGAGGATGCTGTGGGACATCACCAAAAACTTTAAAATTCGCATGTGATTCGTTATTATATTTATTTTGCTTGGTTGTTTGGATTGCATTACTAACCAATGACACCGTTTGTATCAATAAAGATTTGAAAAATGCATATTAGTTAACCGTATCCCAAATTTGAAATGCATGTGATTCGTAATATAGATTTATGCTGTACTGTAAATAATGATGTGTTACAATAATTTTGTAATTACGAGACATCTGAAAACATTTTGCCTCATACGGAACACACCTCATACCAAATCGATAATGCGTGTAATAATCTCAACATTTGGATTTTTATTCAACTTAATGAAAAGATCGTGATAACTGGCCCTCGTGTCACGTCGCGACCACTTATTTGTTTTTTTGGTTGTATGTATAGTTTGTATAACAACATTAAATTTTTTCACTTGTTTGTCATGAAACATTTTTGTATATTTAATAGCAATCCCTCTCACAGTTTCTCTGACTCCATCGAACCCCCAAATCAATAAAATAGTTTAACAAACGTAATTCAAATTCAAAAAACTAAAGAAATAATAAAAATCAATCTTGAGTTTTACTAATTATCACAACCACAAAGAAGCTTCTCCTCCTAACTCTTCTTGGTTCTTATATACTCACTCATCACTCATAAATCATAATCTTCACATTAAATCCCTCTTTGACTTGATTCTCCAATGGCGTCGATCAGTTCCTCCGATCATCGCCTTCCGATGAGCAAGAGACGATTAAAGCCGTTGATTTTGAGAGATTACCTTCTTGATGATCTCAGCTCTTGCTCATCCAACGGCTTCAAATCACTCCCTCGTCGTCAATCCTCGACCGTCCATCGTCTACTCGACGCCGAGATCAAACGGTCAGGAATATTCCACCGCAAACGGCGTCTTATTTGCGGATTGGCATTTAGTCACGCCGTTCAGAAAGCTTCGACTGCGTTACTCAGTGCCGTTAAACTCTTGCCGTTCCCTTCCTCCTCCGTTAAATCTCCATCTCCGTCTAGAAAGAAAGATGATAAGAAAGGGCTTTTCTCGAGAAGCTTGTCTAAAAACTTTTGGAAGAAGCTTTCCCGCCGTGAACTTAATAACGTCGACGGAGAGATCGAACGGAAAACGGAGGATGGTGAAGAGAAGATCCAACGGTGGAGAACATTCGCTGAGTATCTCCAAGAGAGCCTAGATCAACCGTCCGGTCGAATCTCTCATATTTCCCCGACGGATTCAACATGTTCCGATGAAGCGACATTGTCAAACGCTCCCGGTGGTGACTCGTCGAGTTTCGGTAGCGAGTTATTCACGAACTCGGAGGTGACTCAGTCATCATCGAGCGGCGAATCTGAGACGTCCAACGAAAATGACGCCGTGGAAGATGTGGCAGAGGAGACATCATCAAACAGAGTTATGACGAGTGGGGATTATGTAGGGTCACATGTCAGTGACGGATCGTCTGTCAAGGACAACAGAGAGGTTAGTTCGTTAGCAAACTTTCAAAGTTTTTTTATTTCTGATAAGTATATTTTTCCTTGTCCAATTAACATACGACACGTCAGCTCACTGATAAATTCTCAATGCACACAAACTATATATTACAACAGAAAACCATTACAGTAGCCAGTAGGTGCTGTAATTTGAATTAGTGGAGTTGGTCCTTTTATGAAAGTTGTCGGTTCGTGCGTGCATGCGAGTCACGTGAGGGTTTGAGAATTAGATTATTGGAAGTGATTAATTACTTACTAGCGATGAAATCGAGGGCTGTGATTCTTCTTGGTGGCTTCGAAAGCGGATTCCCAAGATTAATTTGTTTGGTTGGAATTAGAAACGTTTTGTTGTCATGAAGTGGGTTGACTTTGCCAACTCACTCTTGTGTCTAGTTCCTCATTTCCAACGTTTCACTTTACTCCAATGGGAGTAATTTCTTTCATTTAATATATTGATCTGATTCAATCACTTGTAAATTATAGGAATGCGTGAACGAAGAAAAAGAACAACTCAGTCCAATATCGATCTTACAATGCCCATTCGAAGACGATGAAGTCACTCCTCATTCGCATCAAAATGGTAAATTCACCGATTATATCTTTATGATCTTGAGTATTCGATAATTGTAGATATGTAGCCATGTAGGGTTATTGCTTGTTTCCGGATATGTTTTTTTGACGTTTTAAAGGTACGTTTATCGTGTTTATCAATTACTATATGGAAATTACAAACACAAACACAAATTAAAATAAGAAATTTCGTTTACGATTACTTTTGTTTAGATGACGTTCGATTGGTGAGGTAACCTTTTGTAAATTTGTAAAATAACATTATACAGAAACCGATGAGAAGAAGCTATCAAGAAAGGGCAGAAGATTTGAGAGTCTGGTACAACTTGAGCCTGTGGATTTAGAGAAACGCATAGAGCAATATGTGGAAATACAAGATTTCGACTCTCGTCACATGGTAGAAAAAGAAGATGATCATTCCGAAATTCGAGCAAACCGTTTGTTTGCTCTCGTGAAGTCTAGATTAACCGAGGAACCTAACCACTTACTAGCATCTCACCAAGTAGACAATCTCTTGCTAGATTTTTTCAAACAAGACGGGAATAATGAGACAAGTGACGAGGATAAGTTGGTGAAGATAGTCGAAGAATGGGTGATGAGGAGACGAGAAGAAGAATATATGTTTCTGAGTTGGGAAGTGAGAGAGAAGAGAGAGATTTATGTGAAGGAAATGAAATGGGATTGTATCGATGGTGATGATAGAGAGCATGTGGTTGAAGAGTTGGGGAATGGTTTCGTCACTTCCTTGATTGATGAACTTATTCTTGATATATACTAGTTGATTTGTGAGAGTAAGATTTTGTCACATTTTCGTTATTGTTCATTACATTTCTCTATATGTATGTTTAAACTTATTGCATAGTTGCCCTTTTTATATATTAAAAAAAAACTTATTGCATAGTTTAGTTATTGACTTATTGTTAGGAGTAGTATGGCCGAATAAGTGGTTTGTATTATGGTAGTCAGCGTATTACTATCACCACCATATTCAAATTCTAAATACGCACTATATGAGACTCTGAGTTATTGATAAAAGTTCAAACAATTTAAATCTATTTTATCTTTTTTTTTATATAAAAAAAAATTCCAACATGGTAAATAGATCAACCATTTGTTTTACATTCAGATATATTGTGATCATTATATTTATAAAACCTAAAAGTCAAATAAAATCCGAATCTTGAACTGAATTCATCTTATAAGCTGCATCAACCGCGTATCAAGAAAAATAAATTAGAGGAAAAATTGAAAAGTTAAGAGATGATAATGAGTGACTACTATCATTGTCAACAATCATGTTGGATGAGCAAGAGCTGAATAAAACAGACCCATTAGGTAAAATGGGCCTAAATATAGTTATATTTGGGCTTTAACAGCTTTGATTCTGACTTCTGGCGATGATAAGATGGTATTGATTCTATTGAAAGATGATGATCGTTGAGCAGAAGATTTTTAGATTTTCTTAGTAGGTAAAAGCGAGGATAATATTTGTGGTCAAGGAGATATAAGTTCAGAGGTTCATGTGCAGTAGTATGAGTGTACCATTAGTGAAAGACCTTAAAATATTTTTGTTAGTTAGGAACTTGGTGCAAACATACATACATATGTAATATTTGAGAATGATTAGTTAAGGATAACCGAAAATATGTTACTAATCAGGCTAATTTGGACACTGTTGGACGCTTTTTCACCCAATTTCTCAAATAATTTTCTGTTTGTATGTACATTTGTGTGTAAGTTTATGTGTAAACAAATTTTGTTTATGTATATTTTACTGGCGACAAAGACAAACAATATAACATTATGTATGGTTTGTCATTTGTGTCATTGTTGGTTAGGTGAGGGATGTTAACGATTGTACGTTGATAGTCATTCCGTTATTTACGAGATTAACCAAATATAGTCAATATATAATAAAATATCATACTAAATAATGGTCGCAGAGAGAGACACTTAAACAGATGAGAACAATTTCGAAATTTCGATACTTGTCGCGCTTACCAAATACTGTGACATATCACCTATCATTGTAGGTCTAATGCATATGACATACATATATATTTAAATATTTTGAATATATATATATATAATATACATATATGTTTTTGTATTTTTATGAACTGCAAGGGAATTATAATACACCGAATTATTACAAATGCTGTCTTATCCCAAAATCAATATATGTAAAAATAGTTTCCGATTTCAAATTTTACAGTTGTTTGTTAACTTTGCAAACACCTTCCTTGATAGGTTGCATAAACAATGTAATAATCTTCATGTAATCAGGTCTGCATGTTATAGGTTTGAAAATGGATTTGTTCACACAAAAAATGGGAGAGAAGATGAAAAACTATATGAAAAGTCTTGTTTGGCCAGAATACCAACTGGTTGATTTTATTGTCGTACGTAACACACCCATCATACCTTGATCTGATCGAACAGTTGAATGCAATGTCGAACTTCTATGATCCAATCATGAACCCCAAAGTTTATATGGTTTGTCTATTCACTATGTAGACCATAGTCGTCAAAAAGACGTGCGTCTTGCTTCCATGCAAAGTATGCTGCTCATGGGTCTATATCCCTTCAAACATATATTTGTTCACAAAATTGGATCAAATGGCTGTTCATTATTCGAAACACAAAGAGCTTATTGCTTTTCCAAATTTGCCCATATTAGCATTTGATTTTAATAATATGCAAAATCAGATTGAAAGTAAATTTTATAAATCAATCATAGAATTTACTAAATTTCAAGAAAATTATAGAAGTTGATATTTGTTATCATATGCGACAAAAGAAGAAGAAGAAGACTATATCATATCATAATATCCCCGATGGCCCATCATCAAGCATATTACGCGTGTCGCCTATTCTACTTTACCGACCCTATTTCGGGTATTAACAGTGACCATAATCTAAGATTTTTTTTTAAAAAACTGATTCATTTTTGGAAAAAAGGTGACGCATTAAAGAGACAGCAGTGTAATTTTGGATCAGTTTGGTAAGATTCCGGTGCTGCGGTACAAAATGGCCAAAGCTGGGCCCACAAGCCACACACTGTTTGACTGTACGCCAATGGATTGTTTCGCTTAAAACGAGTTTGACTCTTTAAACTCGGCCGAGTTTCTCTTGATATTTTTCGTTGTGAATTGATCGGTTGCTTCTAAACCCAAAAGTCTTTGATGGAAGAAGTCTTCCGGTTATTGTTATGAACCACACGAACGAACGATTTATAAATTTATTTATTAATACAACTTCACATGAATAGTTTATGATTCATTTATTTAGAGCTGCACCAATTAGAATTAGTTACTAATCAAAACTGATATTATCGTCGGTTCCTTATAAGCCGCCACCAAACTATTCCAAAACATTTAACTTCACTGACTCAATTTGTTTTTGTTCCTCTGATTTTCTCGATAGTCAATGCAATATATGATTTTTCATTAGGTTTCAATTATTTATAAACCAAATAATATCTCTAAATACTTCCATGAGACTCTATACAGTAAGTGAGAATAACAGTGAGATTAATTGCTTGATACGAATATGTCTTATAAACATGTCCTAATTTACGTAGTCAGTGCTACTATATGGAAAAAATCACGAAAGAATGGTACAATTGTGAAAGACAGGCTGTAATGGGACGATGACTCAATTGTCTAATCTTAATCTTACTTAAACCGGAAAGTTGACTATTAAACATTTATAGAGTCACTATTCTTCTCTCGAGATAATAACTTCTTTACTTAAATATGAAAACCGCCCACAAGTTTATATTATTTACGAATCGCGCCTTTACTTTTCTAACGTGTACTGTTACTGGAGGCTATTGCAAAAAGTGCCATTCTAATTTTAAGAAAAAAAGAGGTGCCACGCGGGTAATGTAAAAACTAAAAGTTATTAAATATAAATAAAAATAAGTTTGGGGGCTGATTTGAAAAGTTGAGTTTTACCTGAAAAAAAGAGGGCATGAAAACGTAAAAAGAAGAAGAACGGCTTTTGGAGAAGGAAAAAAAAAAACGTGTCACAGAGTGGCGAATCGCGCGACGAGTCTCTTCTTCATCTTCATGTGTTTTCCCCTTCGGTTTTAAAAGCTCTCTTCTTCCCAATACATTTATTCACTTTCTCTCTCTCTACCTCCCTTTCTCTCTCTGCCTGAAGTTTGGACAGAGAGACTTTAAGGAGTGAATTAGAGAAGAGTTTGGTTTGGTTTTGTTTTGTGATTTCCCTTTTTTGGGTTTTTGATTATTTCTAGCGACTCTCCATGCGTTTGATCAATTCCTGGGAACTTAACTTTATTTTCTGGGTTCCTTTTTGACCATTGACTCCCCCCAAAACTTTGATTTCTTGTCTAAAGAAGAATGAAGAACGAAGAACAATCAAGATCTCTGTTTGGAATCTCTCTGTCTGATCGACCAACTTGGCAACAGTTTCTCATTTGCACTTCTGGTTTCTTTTTTGGTTATCTCGTTAACGGAGTTTGCGAGGTTCGTCATTGATTCTCTCTCTCTCTCTTTATTTAATTCTTTTCAGTTCGAATTTGATTTTGAGATTTCCGAATAATAATTTTGGTTATTATTGAGATAATTATCCATAATCTGATCCTGATTCTCGCTGGAAATTTGTAATTTTCGTTCACTAAAAAAATTAATTGCATGTTTGATGTTTCTTTCATTTGTGAGAAAAAAAAAAAAACAGAGCAAGAAGAAAAATGCATGACGAACTAAACTCTCTCCAAACACACGCTCACACACAAACTTTTTTGATTTCTAATATTCTATATTTCAAAATTTTAATTATAAATGATTTCGTTGCAGATCTTGTGAGATTAGTTGTGATCTTGTAAAGAAAAACAGTCTTTGGAGAATTTTTGGGATCTACAATTGTGATTAATTTTACTCTTATCATATATATGATTATTGACTTGATTTTGATTTAACAGGAATATGTTTATAATCGCCTACAATTTAGGTAAAGTCAACTTTACTTCCTCTTAATTTTTAGATTTTTTAACATAAAAAATAAATAATAACAATGTGAAATTGCTCTGTCTCTTGTAGCTTTGGTTGGTATTTCACGTTCATACAAGGATTTGTCTACTTGTTCCTCATCTACCTTCAAGGCTTCACCACAAAACATATTGTGAATCCGATGAGAACTTATGTTAAACTCTCTGCTGTTCTCATGGGATCACATGGATTAACGAAAGGATCTTTGGCTTATCTTAATTATCCAGCTCAAATCATGTTCAAATCCACCAAGGTAATAAATCCACAATTTCTCAATTTATAATCTCAGTGAGTTTAAATTAGCTATGTGTTTAGAGAAATGATTGAAATGACGGTTTAGGTATTGCCGGTGATGATAATGGGAGCGTTCATACCCGGTTTGAGGAGAAAATACCCGGTCCATGAATACATTTCAGCGTTCTTGCTGGTTCTTGGTTTGATCTTATTCACATTAGCAGACGCACAAATGTCTCCGAATTTCAGTATGATCGGGATTATGATGATAACCGGTGCATTGATCATGGATGCTTTCTTGGGTAATCTGCAAGAAGCGATTTTCACAATGAACCCCGAGACAACTCAGGCAAGAAACCCGGTTCTTTGCGGTTTTCCTTTACCGTTATGTTTTTTTGTTTTCGAGTCTGAGGATTTTTGTAATGTATTTTTTTTTCAGATGGAGATGCTTTTCTGCTCAACTGTTGTTGGATTGCCTTTCTTGTTCGTTCCCATGGTCTTAACCGGAGAGCTTTTCCGTGCGTGGACTGCTTGCTCACAAGTAAGTCCAAACCTCTGTTTTTGTCCGGTTTGGGTTTTGTAATCCTTAACCAAACCACCCGATTCGGTTTTCGGTTCAAACTCGATTAGTAGTAGTCCTTCCTTTGAAGCGAAAGTGACAAAGTGTGTGGACTTTGTATTGGCTTTGAAAGTTCTTGGTTTTAGGTCTGACTCGGTTCATGTAGTCAGACTCGGTTTACATTCTTTAAAGAAAAAGTCAAAGTTTGTCGTATCCATGGTACCGTCGAAATGAAATCATTGACCGACGACGTGCCTAAATCTGCCAACTTTTTAAAAGACAATTTGTCTATAATAAAAATGAAATTTAATTCATTGATTCAACAACTTAAGTACCAACGTGTAATATTTTAATTTAAAAAGTTTAATGATTAGTTAGTTGATATATTTAAAATCATTTTCTATATTTTGCAGCATCCGTATGTGTATGGAGTGCTTGTATTCGAAGCCATGGCCACATTCATCGGTCAAGTCTCTGTTCTATCGCTCATTGCTCTCTTTGGAGCCGCTACAACCGCCTTGGTATATCTCTAATCTCAAATGCAAAACGCTCACTTGCGTTTCTAATTGAATTTACGATTTAACAAACGTTTTGTGTAGATAACAACGGCGAGGAAAGGGGTTACGTTGTTGCTATCGTATTTGATATTCACGAAGCCCTTGACGGAACAACACGGCTCAGGCTTGCTGTTGATAGCAATGGGGATTGTATTGAAGATGGTTCCGATTGATAGTAAACCTCCGAGCAAGATTCCGGCGAGACCAGCGGTTAGGATCGCCGAAGGAGATGGTGATAGAGAAGAGGAAGAAGAGAGGAAGTCATTGGTTTGATAATGTGCCATATACTATATAACATTCTATGTCAGAAATTTAAAGGGTTTATAGAATAAAGTTGAATGAAGGAACATACAAAAAAATGGAAAAGCTAATAGAGTTTAGAAAGCTGTTTTATTTTACCCCATTATATACATCTCAAAGTTTTTAAAAAAGTTCAAACATGAAATATAAAATTTTAAAATTGTTAAATTATGGTTTTACATGTTTGTAATCATTCTCCTCTTCAAAATTTTACAAAAAACATTTAAAAGAGTATTTGCATAATTCATCTAAAATGCTATTCAAGAACATATATTTTGGTTTTTTATGCTCTTACAAGATTTGTTTCAAAAGATGGAATGAAGCTGGAAACACTACAAACTACATTCTAAAAGAGAAAAGTAGTCACTTAAAAAGCTGATTCTTCAATCTAAGATCCTCCAGTTTCTTTATCTGATCTACGAATAACAAAACGATCGACGATCTTTACAGTGTTGACAGGATCTTGCTGCAATGTTGTTGCGCACCATTTGCTAGGAAACCTTCTGTGATGGCTCATCTTTGCCGTCGGTTTATGCTCTGAATCCCAGTCTTTGTCTAGCTTCCACTCCTTCGGTACCTAAACTCATTAATCACATGCACTCCTCTAGTTAAAGACCGATTCATAAACAAAAACTAATTCCATAATCACAAACTTTTTCTTCTCAAGAGTTGTATTACTCACCTTATCTACTCCGAGAGTGAAGACTTCAAGGTCTCCATCAGGTTTGATATGGAAACGAGTGAATGATTTGTAATTAGCAATCCGAAGTGAAGAGAAAGCTTCATCAAAATGTATGTGAAGCCAGTTGATGGAGATATATAAGTAACTTCCAAAGACCATAGACACAACAGGAGTTGAGAAAACCCAAAAGTAGAGGAACACAGATGCATAATATATGGCTGCTCCACTTCGAGAAAGCGACTCCATTCCTCCCCGGCAAATGTTGGTCCGTGTAACCGCCATTACCTAATGTTAAATTTTTTTGATAATAGATTTCAGTTTTTACCTATAACAAAGGTTATAAGCAGGGGCGGATCTACTTGTTAAAAGTTGGAGCACGTGCCCCATACTAACTTTACAAAATGTCTAATTATACCTCTATTTTGGTAAACTAAATTAGCATACAATTTGGTTAATTTTGTTATTGGTTCACATATTTATCATGAATTAAGGTTCTCTTTCATTTTATTTTTAATTTTCATTTTATAATTAAATATTATATAATCTATAAACAAATCTAATCTATTTTTTTTTTACAAATATCTTTATTTTTTTATCTTGTATTTTAATTTTAATTTTTTTTTTTAAAATTCATTTCTTCAAATAGTTTACTAAATTAGTTATGTATTTCTGTTTAATTTTTCTTGGGCTCCTCACATAAATGTCAATTTTAAATTCAAATTTTAATATTTTATCATTTAAAAATTAGAATATTTTTTGTATGCATAATGTATTTTTATAATAAACATATATCATTCTTCCTCAGATTATATAAACATTATATATATATATGTATCGTGCCCCATATAAAATATGGTTCTGGATCCGTCCCCTATAAGTTGACAAAGTTACGTTACCTCAGGAATATCAAATGCTGACATAAGATACTTGATGCAAGCAGGATAGAATCCGAACGTCCACTGTTCGATACGAGCTCGAAGGCCAGTGGGATCCGGAAAGTGTTCATTCTCTACTGATTTGTACCATTGATACAATGTATGGTAACCTGTGTAAACCAAGAGTTCCAAAAACCGGTTTGATCACAGATGCTAAAAAGATATATACAGTTAAAGGTATAATCAGTTTACAAGTAAAGGAAACTGACCGGAGGTGGCAAGGAGCTTATGCTGAATACATATCTCTATGCCGAGCTCTAAGAGCAACATGAGAATCAAAGCAGCCGTAAGGTGTGCAGCAACATGAAGAATTCCGATTACAAGTCGTTTCTTGCGAGAGATTTTTGAAGGAACAAACATAATTGCAGTTACTAGCAACATAAGAACACCGGTGAAAGACACATATGACTTCTCTGTTACGTACACAAAGGCGCTCCATACTGTGCCAAAGAAACTCCTCATGTGGCCAGAAAATGAATCTCCTCTCAAGATGTGGCCTAGCTTACACTGAAACCCAACGAGAAATGAACATCAAGTCCTAATAGACAAAATCTTAATGACCAATATAAAAATTCAAAACCATACCTGAGGGAACAAAGAAAAGACCAAGAGAAAGTATATGATACCACCAATGAAATCAAATTGCCAGTTCTTTTTCCTGAACTTTAAAATATTTCCCAAAGCAATCTGCAAAGAACAGCAAACACCATGAATACTTGTTAGCAAAGAAACTAGGCAAATCAGTGATAGATAGGACATAATAAGAGAGACAAGAAACAAGGATCTTTTTTTTTACCCTGCTTGAATCATGAAAAGAAGGGTAGGCAGATTTACTTTCATAAGAAGCACCATAATACTTTGAAAAGTTGCTGAACACATGAGTGGGGTGCAAGAAAGCCCCTCCACAACCATTAACAAGTAGATGTTGTACATGAACAGGTCCATCTGACTGAGTACATGAATGTCTCATATAATGATGCAAATCTCCTGCCATTCTAAGTTTACACCTGTCTTTCAAAAAGTCGCATATCAAGTGTCTCATGTTTTTTCCAGTATTGTCTTCCCAATACCAATCAAGAAGCCAGTTCGGCTCATGTGTGATAACGATCACTGCATCATTCTCCCCAACCTAAATGAAAAGATAAAAAAATTTCATCATCAAACAGAAGATGACAACTATAACTCAAAACCATGGTCATTTCACAAACCAAAGAATAGCCAATATCACAGAACATAAGTTGTAAAGCTCAAGTAGATTGGAAATTGTAGATTTTTATTAGATGATGCATGAATCTACCTTCTCCTTGACTAATTCAGAAAAGAAATTGAACTGGTAGACATCAATATCACCATGAAGCGCAAGATCCAAACCAAACACCCACCATCCTTTAGGTAGCTGCAACGCAAAATAGCTTTTCTTTTGGGGCATAAACCAGCCACCAAGCCAGCTTTTATGGCATATATACCTCATGAAAGTATTGAGTCCATCGAACCAGTCTATAAAAATGTTAAAATAAACTTTACAATTATGCATGCAAGTATGTGAATATTGTTAGAGAGACAAATGAAGTTGAAAGCTCAAAATCCACCATGGTTTCCAGGGATAAGAAAACATTGAGGACCATCATAATGCTTCAGATCAGACACACCATCAGGCAACTCAGGCTTGTCAACAGAGATTGAGTCCTTTTTATACCAATGTGGAGGTTGTAGCGCATACTCAAAGGGACAAAACAGACGTTTTTCATACGTAAACGCTGATGGATTAGGGTATCTGCAATAAGAAAGACATCCCGTTGAGTTACATTCAGACCTGACAAAAATAGAAAATGGAAAAACCAAAAGGTACTATACGAAATGCTTACGCAAGATCTCCCCCAATAATCAGTACGTTACCCCTTTGTAGAGATATAAAATCATCATCAAGCGGGAGTTTGATAAAAGGCTGAGCCAAAAGTTTTGCGACAGAATATGATGAGTTTCCACCGTCACCAGTATCAGCCATGAAGTCAAACCAGAAATCGTTTATATCAGTTAAATGATCATATAATAGTTCCTTTCTCTTGTCTTCTCCATCACAAGTTCTTGTCATTGCAGCCTACAGATTTAAGAATAGGGAAGGTTGCAACAAATGCAAAATATGATTAGATCTGATGATATCGTATCACTAGTATACCTGCATCATCCGCATGTCAAAGCGGCCAAGGAATACAGTCACTGATACGAGGAGGTCAAACACAGTTTTAAACAAATCAGCTGATGTTCTGAAATAAAATAATTACACAGATCAGACCGTGCTAAAAGTAGTCTACTTCAAATTGGCATTATATGTCCAAGAATACATATTTAATTAGTTGACATGGACGTACCCTGAATACCAAGGAACCATATCCAAGAAATTAGGTTTCATTTGCTGCTTCTTCAGCTTCTCATAATTGTCAACAGACACAGGGTGTGCCAGAGCCCACCTAACCACACAGCGAAATTAAAATAAGACCAATAATTATTCTCTATGTGCTGTGACATTTTTGGTAGCAATATTCACTCAAAAAATACTATGACAAAGCTGCCACTTACCCTGTTGATCTCTCTACTACGTAATTGGCAATGTAAAGACCAATAAACGTAGCCCACAACGAGTATATAGGAGAAATTTCATCAGATGAATCAGGACAAGACCCATTGCATGCCAACTGCAAATGAAAAGGTAGGAATGTAACAAAGAGCGGTCAAATAATTGCGTGCATGACAAGTTAGAATAATACAAAAGAAGCCAAACCTCCCCATAAATGACCCATTTGGACAATAGAGGATAATCACTTGCAGATCCAACAGGAGCAAACCATGATGAGCAGACTTGCTCTTTTAGCTCATCAATGTGAGTGAATTTCGCAAGCCAAGTACTGTTTCTAGCATGCCTTATTTCAGAAGGAGTTTGCCTCAGAATAGCACGGTTACCACAATGGCTGTAGAAAATACAGCAAGCTATGCTAAGAACCTGCACAAGATATATAAAAGTGCATTGAGATTTGATTTTTGTTTAAAATAATGTTGTTAAGCAAGTGACCTTGCATAAACAAGATAGTGTACTCACAGCACAATTTTGAAGAATGGTTAAGATCTCCGGGCGTCTTCCAGCCACACGAGAAACAAGACCAATATGCCAAAGTCCAAGAAAAACGATGTGGAAGACAAAAAGGAAGACTATGGATGATATGTAAATAGTCAGAAACAAGGACAGATTCATCCTCAAATCCAAACCCATTGACTGAAAACTTGGGAGATGGTACAAAGCTGCAACTAGAATCCAAGCAATGTACCTAAACAACAACAGAAATTCAAAAGGACATTCTTGATATACAACACTTTATGGAAGACGGTGTACAAGATTCGCTTACCAACGACTGAAAGTTGAGTAGCTTGGTCTTATAGTCTTTCCGATGAATGGAGATGAGAAGAAATAAAAGAATCCAAGCAAGCATGCATACATGGACCACCACTTGAAGTTGTTGTCCAGCTTCTCTATGAGCGTGTGCATGTTATCCGAAGAAATAAAGAATAGGCAACCCAAAATCACAGCAATCATGGCGTGACGAGAGTGCTCATGCGGATAAGGGTAAGTATGTGTTAGCATTGTTCTGACCCTCTCCATTTTGAGGTTATTGAGCAAACGAGCAGAGTGCTTATCAGAGCCCATAGCTTGATGTTCCTCTACTCCTTAAGAATTCTTGACAACACTCCAATATCTTTATAGAACTAAAAAATGGTTAGCAGATAACTTCAGATTACCCATCAGCAGACAAAACCGTGTGCCTAGGGTAAGAACAAAACAAGAAGGGATACATTTAGCAGAGTGAGGTTTAATAGTGAAGATCCATATCACTTTGAAAAATCATTAACCACGCACACAACAAATATGAATGCTACTGATATTCCTCAGAAATCTTTAAATGCCAAAAAAAAAACTCTACTTGCATCCTTTAAACGAATCCTACACAAGTTATAGTTTCTCAATTCCTACTTAAACTATATATATGTGAGTTGCTCAACAAATCAACTTCTTCTTCTTTTTTTTTTATCTTGATTCGATCACTTACCCTAGATGGGTAATTAGTTTGTGCAATCCGAAATGAGCAAACATCACAATATTAGATGATATAAATTAAGTGGTAGTTGAGAATAAACTCGTAAAGGAATTGAAATACGTTTAACCCTAATTAACTTTTCAATCAAAAGAAACATTCTTAATTAAAGGGAACAATCATAATTCGTAATGTCAAACAATTTCGTTGAGTGTATAAGAAACATGATACAAAACTATACCTTGGAGGCTTCAACTGCATGCGTTAAATCGTACGTACTCTAAAGATCAAGCGAAATGGTAAGTAATCATCCATCCCCACATTCAACCGTAAGCCTAGAAACATACATTTTGTTATGATTGGTGTAGAGAAAGATCATCATTGATGTGGTGAATCAAAGCGGATACAGAGCTCATGAGGATGTGTTTTTTTCTTTTACAAAAAAATTGTGGTTTCCTGAGAAGCACCAATATTTTACGGAGAAAGATGAGGTATCAAGGTGACCAAGTGATATCATAGATAAATAAAATAGTTTAAACAAGAAAAGGGAGAAAGGAAGCATTCGATACCAGAATCTTTTTTTATTCCAAATTCTATACGAATTTTTGTTCTTTTTTTTTTCTCAATGCCTGTGAATCATATATTAAATTTGAAAAATAGGAATTTTCAAACCTTGAAGTCTTTTTCATTAGAAGGCTCATTTTACTTTATTTTTTGCTGTTATTCAACATGTACTGTTCAGTTTTTTTTCTTGTTATTTTTCAAACAAATTGGTTTTTCTCAGTTACTTGGATTCTTAAACTTTGCTTTTGAGAAGTCAACGATTAAATATTCAATACTTACGTAAAGATATAAATATAAGGCATAGTGTATGCATGCACGGGCTACTCGAAGACCGGTGGTACATGGCAACCACTGATCTTGCTTTGACCATCAAGCCAATTGTGTAGCCTATACCCATTTCGTTGGTCAACATTTTTTTGATCTAGTAGTTAAGTATCGTTCATCCAAATGATTTCCGATTGTTGAATAGGACCGCTGCTTGATTTATTGAGAGTAACAAAAGCCTATAATTTCTTTTACACTTTGGTCATATGGTACATAGAGCTATATATGGTCTACAATTACTGTAGTATTATTTTCTCGTCTCATCACTTACAACGAAGAGTTCCTCAACTAAAACTTTATAATTGAGGACCCACTGAATCTTCCAATTATGAAGTCATTCTTTTTTTTTTTTTCACAAATATGAATAATTCATTATATATGTGCTTCATGACCAGTAAGGCCCGTTGTTATATGAAAATAGAGAAGTAAGGCGTCTGTATCACACATATCATCACATCATTTCATCACAATTTTTTGTTTTTGCAAAAACAAATTCGATTTATGTGAGAATTATGGAGAAAATGTGAACAATTCATAACATATACAGATGTCTTTCAGGCTGTGCACATTAATGCCACCCACCACATATCTTCTCCCTATACTCAGGTTTGCTCTTTTATTTTATTTTTGTATTTTGTATGGACAACAAAATTTGTTTGTTGTCTGTGTGTAAATCACATATAAGCATTTGACACTTCTTGTCAGCACATGGGAAATTGATTTTTTGGGGGGTTTCTAGATCATCCGTAGTTATCAACCTATATATATATGTACTTATATGTTATTTTATATGGAGTATAACGCTTTCTAATTATAAGATTTTCTTTTGCGCCAACAATGTATTCAAGCTCATCAATCGATGTATATATATATATTATTTGGCCATCAGAATTCAGAATGGTACTATAAATCTTGGGAAAAAAATGAACAAAGTAGACGAAAAACAACGCGCAAATTATTCCTAGATATGTGTAAATAACGAGTGATTAATTTTCGCTAAACTCATCATACACTTTATTAAGAATATATACACGAGATGCTACAAAGATTAGCTTGACATTTCGTTTATTACAAAAAAATTGTCGCCATAAAAAAGTTTCATTATCTCAGTAACAAAAAAAAGGAAGAGATATTTTTTGGCCGTCATAAAAAAACGATTTAAAACGGAAAATCCCCGTTACCGAGAAAATTCATTATCTCACTAAATTGAAAAATAAAATAAAAACGAATTTAGAGGGTCCGACAAAGTGATGATGGAGCCCACAAAGACAGAGTGATGAAACTCTCTCTGATCTCTTTCTTCCCTCGCCTTCCTTTAAACCCGTCTTGATAAAGTTCAACGTGACTGACTCCACAGAAACTTAGAGCCACTCTCTGTTTTTTCCTCTTTGGTTTTTTCTCCATTTCTTTTTGTTTCTTTTCACACCGCGAATCTCAACTCGGTCCTCTACAAATATATAAAATATTATGGTTTAATAGCAAATTTACGGTTTTGCTGCGACAAAATAAAATTTCGGGTCTCTCTCTCTCTGTCTCTCACTGGAATTCTCGGGAGTGTATCATCAACTTTCGAGGTAAGAGATTTTAATTCATTTTTGTTTCAAATTACCAAGCTTTTTCTCTGTTCTATTTGATGATTACGAGGACGATTTGGCTCATTTCTCTTCCATTGAAGCAAAAAATTAGAGGAATTATTGGTGATTTCTAGTAGAAGCTTAGTTTCTGCAATTCATGTCTTAGTGAAGTCATCATAATAGCTATGTTGAATCTCTGATTTTCTCAAGCTTTACTTTATTACTCATTCACAAAATTGATTTTTTGCAATCAAATTAAGTGACCTTTTGCAAAGTTTTTTGACTTCTCACTGAGTGAGAAAAAATGACTCTTTAGCAGAAACAGAGAAACTGGTTGACCAAATCAACACATTTAACATCTATCTGAAATCATGAATACACACACACACACACACACACATGTCAATCAACTGATCAAGCTCAAATCTTTTTCTTGTAGCAACATGTCTCAGTGAAGCTTAATCCAAGCATGATTTATATCTGATTCTTCTCTGTGACTTTCCTTCATTGTAGAAGATGGTTGCGTTTGGGAAAAAGCTCAAGGAACGGAGCATTCAAGAATGGCAAGGGTAATGTTTCGATATATGCTTTTAAAACAAAAACTCGGCAAAGTTTGTCCTAATGTGAATCATGATTCCCTTGTAGATATTACATCAACTACAAGTTGATGAAGAAGAAAGTGAATCAATATGGTCGCCAGTTACAAGGAGGGAATCTAGAGCGACGCCATGTCCTTAAAGATTTCTCAAGGATGCTGGATAATCAGGTCTTGGTACCTTTTTTTAACACATTTTACGTTGTTTTTTAAGACAAAAAGTGTTGAGCTTTCTAGAAGCTAAATATGAATTTGAAATGCATACTCAGATCGAGAAAATAGCTCTTTTCATGTTGGAGCAACAAGGGTTGCTTGCAAGTAGGCTACAGAGACTAAGGGAAACGCACGATGCTCTCCAAGAAGAGCCTGAAATATCTCACATATCTAATCTAAAAGAGGATTACAGAGCTGTTGGTCATGATCTTCTCAAGCTTCTGTATTTCGTCGAGATGAATGCTATTGGCATCCGAAAGATTCTGAAGAAATTCGATAAACGTTTCGGTTATAGATTCACAAACTATTATGTCAAGACTCGCGCTAACCATCCTTACTCTGAGCTTCAGCAAGTCTTTAGACATGTGGTACGTAAAGTCTTGGAATAAAAACATTGCAATCTCTCTGTTTTCCTATGCTTATACGTTGGATCATAATGCTGATTCATAGGGTCTTGGAGCTGTTGTTGGAGCTGTGTCTCGTAACCTTCACGAGCTTCAAAACAATGAAGGAAGCTTCTTATCGATTTACGATCAGCCTGTTCTTCCTCTTCAAGATCCTGTGGTGGACTCGATTAGAGCAGCAGTGGATAGGCTAACGCACTCAACGAACTTCCTAAACTTCATGGCTAAGCACGCGTTTATCATGCAAGAGGAGTTGCCTAGCCCGCAAGACGAGGAAGAAGCGGTTGAAGAAGATAAGAGATACCACTTCATGTCTCTCTTGTTGAATCTTGTCAACACTTTCCTCTATATGGTCAACACCTATATCATTGTCCCTACAGCGGATGACTACTCCATGAGCCTCGGTGCAGCAGCAACGGTCTGTGGTGTGGTGATCGGTGCTATGGCCGTGGCTCAGCTATTCTCCTCGGTGTACTTCAGCGCATGGTCCAACAGATCGTACTTCAAACCGCTTATATTCAGTAGCATTGTCCTCTTCATTGGGAACTTGTTGTATGCGTTAGCTTTCGACTTCAATTCAATAGCAGTTCTCTTGATCGGCCGGCTTTTCTGTGGGTAAGTGAGTCCCTTTTAAAGACTTGTAGATATAACCAATCTCTAAAGAAACGATTACATTTCAGATTGGGATCGGCGAGAGCAGTGAACCGGAGATATATAAGCGACTGTGTACCGCTAAAGATAAGGATGCAGGCTTCAGCTGGTTTTGTTAGTGCAAGTGCTTTAGGAATGGCGTGTGGTCCTGCACTTGCTGGTCTATTGCAGACCAGATTCAAGATCTATAAGCTTACGTTTAACCAAGATACGTTGCCTGGTTGGGTTATGGCTGTGGCTTGGCTTGTGTACTTGGTCTGGTTAGCTATTTCGTTTCGGGAGCCTGCACTTATGCCTGAGGAGAGTCATAATGCTTCAAAGGATTCTAATAACTCCGGTATGTCTTAGTTCTTTGAATATATATCTTTGTTGAATAGATAGAAAGTTATCGATATCTTGATTGTAGCGGTTTTTGTTTGGTGTCTTGAGTGATAGAAGCTGTTCAAGATGTGAATCTGGAGAAAGGTATGAAACAGCCATTGCTGATTGCATCTGAAGAGATAGAAGAACAGGTCGAAGATGAAGATGACAGCGAAGAAGCTGCTGAGGATTCTCGTACGCCTGCTAACTCCATTGTAGCTGCTTATAAGTTACTCACACCTTCAGTAAAGGTAAATTTGAAAAAAAAACAAAGATTAAACTTCTGAATGTAATTGTGCAATTTTGATGGATCAAGTTTGATTGGTTTTTTCTTAGGTTCAACTATTGATATACTTCATGCTCAAGTATGCAATGGAGATTCTTCTCTCTGAATCTAGTGTCATCACAACTTACTACTTCGGTTGGTCCACGAGCTCTGTTGCGATCTTCTTGGCTTGTCTCGGTCTCACTGTTCTTCCTGTAAACATTGTCATTGGAAGCTATATAAGCAACATGTTCGAAGACAGGTAAGCTTCTCACAGGCAAAAGAATCTGTTGTTTACTGGTTTCTTCTCCTTGAAGTTTCCCTGAAAGTCATATAAACTTTTTTGTTTTCACAGGCAAATTCTGTTGGTGTCGGAGATTATGGTTTGTGTCGGAATACTTCTCAGCTTCCATGTCGTTGTTCCGTACACTGTGCCACAATACGTTTGCTCGGGACTCATCATGTTTGTTTCTGCAGAAGTTCTTGAAGGTAAGAAAAAGATTTGATAATAACCAAAATAGACCAAAAACTTCTATTTTATCTCACTTTAACCCCATGATCTGAACTTTGCAGGTGTTAATTTATCGCTGCTCTCGAGGGTTATGTCGTCGAGGTTATCGAGAGGGACTTATAACGGAGGTTTGCTTTCGACGGAGGCGGGCACGATCGCACGTGTGATTGCTGACGTCACGATTACCGTCGCCGGTTACTTTGGACGGAGTATGCTTTTAAATGTTACTCTGCTTCCGTCTCTGGTCATTTGTGTTCTCTCCATCGTAGCTACTTGTTTTACTTATAACTCCATGTATTAGTACTCAATTTATAAATTTTACCCCGTACAAACCAAAATTTACAATCAGGTACCCTCGATCGGCGAGTTTTAACCGGAGAATATTTTACTTTGGTTTCGACCGTTTCATCTCCCGCGTAAATAGTTTTGTTTATTACGTCATGCACTTCTTTGTTATATGGTAGCTATGAAGTCAACGAGTTGGTAAAAAAAAACTAAACTGAATAATACAAAAAAAGAAACTGAACGAATTTTTTACTACTTAGTATGTTTTATAAGTAAATGATAATTTCTGTATTTTTTCCCGGACGAAATTCAGAACAAAAGCTTCAGTTATTTTGGAGTTTACCAAGAATGGTCGCAAATTCAAACACAGTCTTAACAGATTTGTTGAAAAAATGCCAAAATCTTATTTTTAAAGTTTGTAACTTTTACAGATAAATTTCAAGCCGATTTATCGAGTCAAATGAATCTGGATTACTAGTATAATTTTTTTTTTGTCCTTATATATTAAGCTATCATTTGGAGGCAATAAGCATTACAAAGAAAATTAGAACCAAAAGGTAGATGTCAATTATAAAATAAATAGACCTTTGACTTAAAACTTTAGAGACACACATAAAAAAAAAGACCACTTGCCTGCGCTTTAGGCAAACTATCTATAAATCGGTCACGTGACAGGACTGGACATTAGTGCGTTATGGACCTCAGCTACTACTTATCATTATTATCTTTTTGATATTGTTTAATCGCATTAGCTTTTTTTAATACTTTGACGATAGAACTTTTTCCACTTCTTCCAAAATGTAAAAACCCGCTCTTCAGAAAATTCTTCGTTTTCTACTTTTTCTTGGATAACGGGTATTTTTCTTGTATTAACTTGTTTTTCCTTGCTGTTTTATGTTTGTTTTTTTGTGATCATAGTGGATGCCACACGGATTATATATAATAGCGCCAAAAATATATAAATCATTATAAACTTGTGATTTGGTTCGTTGAAAATGAAAGTCGCCACTAACAAATGTTCCTTGTTTTCTTTTTTTCACTTTTTGTTAAACTTTTATTATATTCTCCTAACAACAAAACTAGAATAATGTTGTATTTATAAACGCAATCCAAACTATACCCATGTTACATATATAATACAGTTTTATTTTGTCAAGTGGAATCATATTTATGCTTCTCTACGTAGTTTGTAGAATCCGATTGAAAATTCCATAGAGTTAGTTTATCATCCGACCATAAATTTTGATATACGAGGATAGATTGTACCACACCCAGCATTGACACACACATAGACCCATTTCACCCATTTTAGTGGAGACAGGAGTGGATGATATATATATCGACACGTAAGGTATCAATATGTAGAAACGGACATACAAACGTTAGATGCTTGATTGTGATAAGTGTAAAGACATTAATGATTAAAAAGCATAATGTAAACACGAGAGATTGACCAAGTCCAAACCGCGTCGCCCTCGAGGTTCTGCTTTCTACGTGCATGAAAACGCCATCCACTTTCTCACTCGATCTATTTGAAGGGTATTACTATTACGAAATAGTTATAAACTTTTATCATAAGGTAGAAATTATTATTACACAAGTTTTATCACAAACTGGATGGTAATACACTATGCCCACATTGTGTGCTCACTTAAATCTAATATATACTTTTTTTCTTTTTAGACAAAAAAAAATATGTATAACTCAGTCATCGTTTCGGAAGCTCAATACTGAATGATATGAATATATTACGTATTAATATATATATATATATATACATTACTATATTCATATTTGAATGAATTAGTACATATGGTAGACGTATGTATTAATATGGTCAAGGAGCAAAAATTCTGACTGGGTGTAGTTAGTTTGCTACCAACTTCGTATCACTCAAAATATTGGAACATAAACAATTGGGGCAATGGTCATGAAAGAAAAAACAAAAATTTGGGTAAGAAATAAATAATGAATTTCCAGTGGACCCCATTTACCGGATATAATTTTAATGGCCATTGGTCAGTAAACACCTGGCTTTCTTTTTAATTCATAAACTAACAAATCTCTTGATTGTTTGTTTTTCTTTCGTTTTGGATTAACAATTATCATTACCAGTTAATCAAATCAAAATGTAATAATATCTACTACTCTTTAGCCAATAAAGCCATAGACAAGTCAACTCTGTTCAACCATAAACGTGGGCAAAATGTTTAAGCTAATAGCCTATATACTATTCTTACAACACAATTTTTTTCTTTCTTAATAATTGACTACTATTTATCAACGAAGTTGAAGTCCAAAATTTGATTAAGTGATTGAAGAGAATAACAATTTAGGTATAAGTTCCCTTTTCTCCAAATAAAAGCAACTTTTCCTTTTTATTGACCATGCAATTTGGATTACGACATACTTATTTTTATAAAGACCATAACTTTTCACTTTTTTTTTTAATCTCATTGACTTGAACAATACTACAACAAGTCGCACACCTCTTTTCTTCAGACACAAAGCAGAGGAAGGGATAGGAGAGTGAAAAAGGAGAGAGAGAGAGAGAAAAATGAATTCACACTTCATACAAGAAGCTTCAGAAGCTTGCTTCAATGGCTGCTGTTCATCACCATTCTCAGCTCAATCCGTAACTCAGAAACCAGATGAAGAGCTCGAGTTCTCAGTAATCACATCAGGAGCTTCGTTTCTAACCAGAGACATCAAATTCACGAGCCAAGAATCTCTCCCTCCTCTCCGTACATCTTTCTACGATCTCATCACAGCTTTCCCAGATTACTTGCAGACGAACCAAGCAGATCATCTCCGATCCAGTGAGTACCAAAACCTCTCCTACTTATCTGGCCACGTTCTGTTAAACCACACCGGTCAGCAACAACCCTTGTTCTCTTACTCCCAGTTTCGAGAAATCTCGGAATCAGAATCCGATTCAAATTCTTCCCTCTTTACCTTGGCTTGCAAGCCAGTGAGCTCCGGTAAGGAACTGTTATCACTCGCCGGCGAAGAATCTCTGTTTCAGACGAGGATGAGGAAAAGAATCACGAGTTTTATGAATCTTGACGAATCGGAATACCACATGATACTAACTCAAGACCGTTCCTCTGCTTTCAAGATTCTAGCTGAACTCTACTCTTTCAAAACAAATCCCAATCTTCTCACAGTCTACAACTACGAAGACCAAGCAGTCGAAGAAATGATAAAAATCTCAGAGAAAAAGGGCATAAAGCCCGAATCAGCAGAGTTTTCGTGGCCGAGCACAGAGATTGTGTCGGAGAAACTGAAGAGGAAACTCTCGAGGAGTAAGAGAAGAAGAGGGAAAGTAGATAAAAGAGGACTCTTTGTGTTTCCCCTTCAATCTCTGGTCACAGGAGCTTCGTATTCTTATTCGTGGTTGAGTTTAGCTCACGAAAACGAATGGCACGTGCTGCTCGATACCTCTGCTTTAGCTTCCAAAGACATGGAGACTTTAGGACTTTCTCTGTTCCAACCAGATTTCCTCATCTGTTCCTTCACAGAGGTTTTAGGGAAAGACGATCCTTCCGGTTTCGGTTGCTTGTTCGTAAAGAAATCCAGCTCTCAGGCTCTGTCAGAATCCCCGGAACTCGTCACGAATCCGGCGAATCTCACGGCCGTAAAAGCTGAACCAGCTTGGAAAACAGAAAATGACGAAATTACCCTCTGTTTGGACCACGAGGACCACAACAAGGCGTCTACTTCTGCTACTGATATAATTGAAATCGAAGAAGAGGATAGAGCAATTATTGAGTTTCGAGGTTTAGATCACGCGGATTCTCTGGGGCTGATACTGATCAGTCGAAGGTTAAAGTCGTTGACTTTGTGGCTGGTTCGAGCCTTGACGAGCCTGAAACACCCAGGCTCTCACCAGCCAGAGACGCCTCTGGTCAAAATCTGCGGACCCAGGACGAGACCGAACCGAGGACCGTCGATCTCGTTCAACATTTTCGACTGGCAAGGAGAAAAAGTCGATCCTTCGACGGTGGAGAAGCTCGCGGAGAGGGAGAAGATCGGTTTGCGATGCGCGTATTTGCAGAAGATTAGGATCGGAAAAAACAAGAGGAGAAGCGACGATGAGAGACAGAACCTGAGCCTGAGAGTGTCGGTGGTGAGTGTTAGGTTAGGGTTCATGACGAATTTCGACGATGTTTTTAGGGTTTGGGGATTTGTGTCGAGGTTCTTGGATGCGGATTTCGTCGAGAAAGAGAAGTGGAGAAAGAAAGCTCTTGAGAAAATCAAATGATGGCCTATAATCTATAAATCCGGGTTACTGTTGGAACATTTCGGATTTGGATTTGGTTAGCTTATATTGTGGTTCGATTAGGCATTCAATTTTCTTTGGGTTGGTTTAGATTTTGTTCATTTTGGGTTAGATTATTCAGCTTGGTTTCGGTTTGGTTTGAGAAGAACCGAAATCAAAGGCACGTATATATTATTGATTTACCCAAGTTCAACAAGTTTAGCAATTCCTAATGATTGATCTTAATAGGCCGCAAACCCCAAGACTTAGATAATACCGTACAATATAACTTTCTTTTGTTAAAGGCCTAATAGAGTGGGCTATCGTATACAAGCCCAAACCAAAAACCAACGTTTTAAGAAAACATATATTCCATATATAGTATATACGCTCGCTCTATTCTACAAATGGTAACTACAAGTAAAAAGTCAACTAATGAGATACGGCCAATAAATTATTAAATACATACGGTTAAGAGAAGAGTGTGAGGTTGAGAGAGAGAGAGCATAGTGGAGGAGACCCAGAAGAAAAATGGGTATCTCCGATTAGCGGGAATTGCAAAAATTCGAAACCAAAAAAATGGCGTCAACTGATGACGTCCGCCGTCTTCTCTCTCTCATCGAATCATCCCACGCCGGCGATGTCTTCGACTCCGTCGAAGAATACCTTGGACCTTTCACTGACCCAACACTTAGCATTCGATCCCTCGGCAATCGATTCCTACCTTTCCTCAACAAATCGATCTCGCTCTTACCCAAATGCCTCTCCGTGGCCGCGAAGGAAGATCGTGATTCGTCTGGAGATCTGTTCCGTGCGTACGAACTCTGCTTGAATTGCCTTGAATCGGTCTCCGCTCAGTTAACCTGCAAGCCTCATGCTGTCCAGCGTCAGAGGCTGCGAATGATTTTCTGTCTCGATGCTTGGGGTGAGTACGAGAAAGTAATTACCCAAGCGTTTAAGCTTCTGGAGAGGCTAAGAGGCTCCGATATTCGCTCCCGGAAGTTTCGGTTGTTGCCGGAGGTCCAGGACGGAGAGGCGGACCTGGCGATGGTTATAGGAGAGGCTGTGGAGGCTATCTTCAAGGCTGTGGCGATGGGTCAGCAAACAGATGATAAGCCGTATAGAAAAGTCCTTCTCTTGCTCGAGGAGGTCAGAGCCTGCTTCAGGTCAGTGTGGGATTAACATTCTTCTTTGATTATAGTAGATCAATGCAGCTTCCATCAAATAGCACAGCTTGAAATTTCTGTTACTGTGCAGGGTCTTAGATGCCAAGGCGTATGAAGAGTTGCACAGAGAGCTCTTAACAAATCTGGGTAAATGTGCTCTATCTCTGGTTAGAGAAGCTGAGCGTTTTGATGGGGAGTTGGTGCGTTCTTTCTGCGACTCAACTGTGAAGGAACACTTTAAATTTGCATTCTCAAAAGATGAAATTTATACGGTGACTTTCTTCCTTTGATGTCTTCTCTTCTTCTTTTGCACGTGAGGTGCTTTCTGTTCTGTTCACATCTAAGGATAGAAGAATCTCAGTGACCATTGACATTTCAATGTCCTTGTTGCGCAGCTTAGCTTGCCAATTCGTGGTAAGCCTTGCGTCATCGTAGTTTAACTGTTCCCCTGTGTATATACAGTAACTATTTCTACTATTTATATTCTGGTGTTACCTGCTCCACCACCTGTTGCTGGATCGGGTGATTTTTTTGTTTCTGCTAGCTTCGCAGTTGAAGCTTTACCGCAAACTTGCAGTGTCTTATAATACTGCTCCCTTTTCAGGTTGAAACTAATGAGGATTTAGTGGATTTTGTTGACCTAGTCTCTCATTACGCTCACGAGTTTCGAGCAGCAGGAGACATGTACTGTGCACAAGTTTCAAAAATATTCAGTGAGATGGCAGCTACATTCTCCGAGGTATTTATACTCTCCTTGGCATCTAAACCCGCCTTATCTTATTCAGGAAGTATCCTGATGTATAAGTTAATTTGTAAATTGACTGTCTGGCAGGCAATACCACAGCTTAATCTGATTCTTCGCCTTTATTCGTCCGGGCTGTCCATCACGGTTTACGGTTCCAAGTTTGGAGAAAGTAAGCTTAAAGATGCAACAGATGATTGGAAAATTCAAACGTTGCTTGATGATGAGGCTAGATGGCAAAACTTAGTATTGTTACTTGGTATGGTTGATAGTTACTCAGGTAATGTGGGAAATCAGATTGGTTTATCATTGATGGCTGGACATAAGAACTACAACAATAAAACAAATGATTACTGTACAGATAGAAACAAGAAGACTTGCTGGCCACAATATGTAGATGCCTTGGAATTTTTGTGCCAACCGCTTGCGGACTTGATACATTCAATGAAAAGAAAGATTGTGTTGAAGACAGAGTTTCCCTGCGTTTCTGCTCACCTGTCTACTATTCATGATGCTTTTATCCAATTTTGTGATGGTTTTTTCGTCTTTCAGAGGTAAGGTGATCATTATCTCTCTTACGCTATATTTTTTTTTTGTGAAATCTTCTTCTGTGGGTTTAATGCATTTCTCACCTCTCCTTTGCCTACTTCTTAGATGCGCGTCTGACAAGGGAGGTAGGGAAAGTGACAATAACAAAGCTTTGTTAAAAGTGGCTATGGCTGCTTTCATTGTCTCACTGAGAACCCAGTATAAATTGAAGGTTTGGTATTTATGTGGAATGCACACAAATCTATGGAAAATATCCTGTTCAAAGTACTGAACATATCATAAACAACTTAGTGATTCGACATCTTCCTTTCCAGATCTGTACCCGTCTAGTTGAGGATGTAATTGCCAGTCCGTGGATCCGATCTCAAGAACTCAAGAATCTGTCAGCGTCGCTCTACAGTATTGGTGTCGATTTGTGCAGAAATAAGGAGCTTACAAAGGTGGAGTACATGCTTTTTGGCTTCTTATAGCTTTTCTATGCAAACAAGTATGAAGATTGGATAAAAATCTGCTCCGACTTTATTTGTGTGGACTCGTGCATCTATATAATATACTCTTCTTTTTCTTTTGCTCAGTAGATTTTATAGAGCATGTGTTCTACTTTGCAGGCTTGTAAGGCGCTCAAGCTGTGCTTGAAGGCATCATGGAGATGTGTTGAACACCTTTGCCAATCTGATAATGACCTGTCAGAAGATGACATTATGGATCTTGTGGGCGAAACATGTAAAAGGTGTGCATTCTACCTGGATATACTCGACCAGTGTAGCAGCAGTTGTAAGATTAAACAGGCTGTCGTGCCTTTTCTAGAAAGTTGGTTGTCAGCTGAGCATCTGATTCAAAGGTTACCAGGCCCTGCGGCAATTGTAAAACAGTGGGTTAAGGTAACTTTTTTATGAAGTAACTTTCTTTCTTTTTTACGAACTTCAAGTATCTGAATGTGTACTATCAACAGATCGAACGGGGATGTCACACAAATCTAGATGCGGATGATTCTTGTACAACTTTGTACTCATTGCTATCATCTTCTCAAAACAACTCAAAGCGGGGCATCGGAAAAATTCTACAGCAGGTTGATCCTAATAACCTCTCAGTTAGTGTTTGGATAAAGTTTGTGCATGTCCTAACTTGAAGTGGCATGATACTATAATATATTTTTAATTGATGGATGTACTTTATCTATTTCTATTGATGCTTGCAGGAGCTTCTGGCCTATGACCCTTTAAGATCAAATCTAGGTCAACAGACGCAAATTAAAATAGCTGATATTCTTCTGAAGGATGTTTATGTCACAGAGGATATGCATATAGATAGAGCAAGAATCTTAATATGGAAAGCAAGAATGACAAGGACATCTGGAACTGAACATCTGACTGACTGCATTCGTTTTCTGTCAGAAGCAATCTCTATACTGGTATACATCTTACCACCTCAGCATTAACATCTAATTTAGTACTTGAAGTATTTCGTGACCAAGTTCTTGTGTATGAAAGCAGAGTGATGTACATCATAGGCCAAACAAAGAGGGCAAAGAGGACGCTCCATCTTCTCACCAGTTAGCTATTGCGTATTGCTTGAGAGCTTTTTGTATCCAGGAGGCTGAGCCAAACTCAAAGGTGCAAATGCGTAAAACACAGCCTCTAACTATTGACAGATCTTTCAGTTGGTGGTTTGTGGTTCAGTTTTTAAATTATCATTCTTGAAACATTTTGCCTCTTCTCATTTGCGCAGAAAGTCTTTCAAGATATTAGCACTTCGCTAAGTCTCTGGCTGGGGATTCCTAGTCTAGATGACAGTGGAGACAGTCTACCTGCAGAAAACATACTTCCGTTACTTTATAATATGATCGATTTGATGTCAGTGAAGGTATCTTTTACCTACTATCTAGCTGGACTATGGTTTTTTTAGTGGCATACTTTATAGCGCGTGCTTCATTTCTATCTGCCCCTTGATACCTTTTTCCATGTCCAGGGATGTACGGAACTCCTTCCTCATATATACCAACTGATTTTCAGATTATTTAAATGGAAGCATGTCGAATTGGAGGTCTGCCTTGCGATGCTGTGGGGATGTAGAAGGCTAAGCCATGCCTTATGCCCTTCCCCCATAAGTGATGCCTTCATCCGGAACTTATCAGAGAATTGTGGTGACAAATCTACGTGCATTAATTTCCGGAAAGATTCAAAAATGCAGAACTTCCATGATTTACAGAACGATTTCTTGTGATAAAAGTTCCTTTCAATCAGACATCACAACAGATGATATCACAAATGCAGCTTCGGAACTCATTATAAGTGTAAGAGATTTGACTTATCTGTAGAATGTTCTCTCTCTATGAATTTTTGCTAATGAATGTTATTGCAGGCGTCACTCTCTGGTCATTCATCTTTTGCAGCTGCATATCTCTATTATGATCTCTGTGAAAGGCTCATATCATTTGGAAAAATTTCTGAGGTGAAGTTTTTATACATATATTGCATTTATTTCCACAAATTTTGTTTTTGTGAATTGTTACCAGGTTCTTTCTGACAGTCTCTTGATGATAAACTGTTTTCGTTTACAGGCTCTTTCATATGCCAAAGAAGCCAATAGAATACGAACTCGTATATTTCAACAGACATTTGAGTATACAGTTAAGAAGCAGTTCGAGAAACACAATGACGCAGGGAAAATATCAGAGATACAGACTTATAGCATAACAAAATTCCAAGTGTTCAAATCGGAAGCCCTTACTTAAGTTGTTGGAATATACTCCAATGCTATTTGGAAAGCACCCTTCAGGTTCTGTTTCTGCTCAGACTTTCTTGTCTAGCCGGATTCCAACACTTCTCTGTTTATCAATTTGGTGCTAAATGTGCAGGTTGGAATTGTTAATGAGCTTGTAGGGAATGGGCTGGAGGCAGAAGCTTATCTATCATTGGGGAAAGCCATTTCATGCTCGCAAAGTCTATTCCCTTTTGTAGTTGCATTTTCTTCTGCTTTAGGTACGAAACTACTCTTTTCTTTTTTCCATAAGTACTGTCTTTTCTTGTAGTTTCCTTACTCCTTTTGTTAATAGGCCACTTGATTTTTTTTTTAAAAATATTTTTTCTTTAACTCCACAAGGAAATCTTTACCACAAAAAGCAAAGCCTGGATCTGGCAGAAAAGGAACTCCAAAAAGCAAAAGAGATATTAATTGCTAATCAGCAGGACTTTTCTTGCGTAAAGTGCAAACTAAAGTTCGAAGTTACATTGGATAAGCAACTTGGAGACATATCTCGAAAAAAAGTTGATAGAGTTACCCAGACAAATGGATTCTTGCATGCTGAAAGCTTGTTTAGTGCTGTCCTGGGAAAAATCTGTTGCTCAGCATGGAAAAGCTGCGTTAGATCTCACGGGGAAGAAAATGGTGAGGGAAAAGCGATTAATAGAAATGGAGGAGAAGTCTTAGGATATAAATCAAGCAAACCAAAACTGAGTATAAATAAAGGGCCAACTGAAAGCAAAGGCTCCTGGAGGGGACGGAGAGCTAAAAGTTCCCAAACTTGCGTGTTAAAGGACAATGATTTGATATCTGAGCCAACTTCAAGGTTGACTCGCTCAATGCGTCAGTCACTTAAAGAGCAATGCCAAAACTGTTCTAATGTGCCTGAAGCTGCTTTAAAGAAGCCTAGCGTCTGTAATATATCTGATGGTTCTGGGGGTGAAAGGGTGTTGTTGGACGCAAAAAACGCAGTCCATGGCTTTTGCATCTGCTACAAAGGAAAATGCAAGCAGTGCCGCTCTGTAGAAGTAACGGAATCTGGTTCTCTCTACAGTTTAGTAACGTTGAAATGGGAACTATGCCATAGGAGGCTTGCGTCCTCAATTCTTGTTAACCTCGGTATGCTCTAATACCTTATGTGAATGCATGCATATGAAGTTGGCCTTTTGACAGTTTCCTGTTGAAAACTATCTAATAGCTTAGTGGGTTAGACAAGAACCGAGTTCCAGTAACCATTGAATTCATCCATTGTTGATAAAAAAAAGAGTAAAGGGCCTTGGAAACCTTGAGTGAGTTTCGAGCAAAAATTAATTTCTTTAGTAACCTTTTTCCAGTTTTTTGTTCTGTTTTCTGGCCATTCTCCTGTTTATTCTATGGTATATACGCATCTCAGTCTCTAAGCATCGGTAGAAGAAGTGTATATCTGCTAACAATTTGGTTTTCCAACTCAGGAAAATGTTTGGTGGACTCTGGTAGAACTCATCTAGCTCATGAGGCACTACTGCATAGTATCTCTGTTTTGTTTAAAAGCAACTGGCCCAGCCACAACCAACCTTCTGTCAGTCAGTTGCTGGATTTTATTGGGAAAGAAGTTACAAGTGATCTATTTGCGATTGATCGTGCAATAATACTATACAACTTGTGCTGGTTAAGTTTGCGGAATTACCACTGCAGGTAGAGCAGGTATGAGTGACATATATTGGTTGTACCCTAATGCTTAAGCTTTGCCATGCTTAAGCTTTGTCTACCCTGATGCGAAATTTGTGTACTTATCATCCGTCTTAGCTAAGTTGATCAAATATGGCCGTTAGAATTTCGTACTTATCATCCTTCTTAGCCTCTTCATTGTTACCTTTAACAGGTCTATTTGCTGTGATCTGTCTAATATTCCTTTCACCAAACTGGTGTCATGGTTGATGTTAGCATTTATACTCAGCAGAGAGGTTCCAATAGTATTTCAAAAGGTAAATTGCTTAGCTTATTCTATGGTAACGTGCTTTTGCCTGTTCTGATTCGATCTTAGATATTGTTTGGTATAAAAAACTGTTTTTGGTTCCCACAGGTTTCAAGATTGCTTGCTTGTTTATATCTGCTTTCTGCCTCAAGTTCTGAATGCTCATTCAAATGTGATGGAAATGAGCTGTCTGCAAGTCATTGGGTCTCATATTTCCATCAAGCTTCGGTTGGTACCCATATTAATTACCAATTCATTCCAAATTTGAGCAGAAGACGCAAATCACAGTGCCTATCAGATAAAGAGGTAACAGAAAGAGTTTCTATAGGTATTTTCAGCTTGTCAATTTGTGGATTAACTCCTGTGGCGTCGCTGATGGTATTTTACGTGTTTATTAGTTTCGTTTTGGAAGCATGTGTTGCATCTCTTATCTGACAGCTTGTATTTTTAGTGTACAGAGTCTACTTGCTCGAGTTGCATGGTTCCTGAGGAGTTGGACTTACCCAAGTATGAGATGAGTTAACTTACGCAACCAGACATGCTATATAATCTTCTGTTGGCTTACTATATTTTTCTTACTCGCCACTGTAGGCTTGCTCCCGAGCGTACTCAAGATCTTGTACAATTTGCTAAAGAATTCTTCAACAATCTTCCAAGCTCAACAATCATCTGTATTAGTGTGCTTGGAGGCTCTTTAAATCAATTGTTACAGGAGCTAATGCAAATCCGTTCACCTGTTTGTGCCTGGGTGCTCGTATCACGCCTCAACCTGAAAAGTCAACCGGTTGCCACGCTTCTGCCGATCGATTTGGTTCTCAAAGGTAAAAAGGAACTGCCTCCTGATTGGTCAATGGTGTTTCTCTCTGTACTCGTGATCTCATTGATTCACAAGACATGTCAGGTGACAGTGCAATTCTTAGTTCTACGAAAACGACTGAAGTCAAGAATTTGGAGCGAAGCTGGCTTTGTCCATGGGGTTCCACCGTGGTTGATGATGTAGCTCCAGCATTTAAATCAATATTGGAGGAAAGCCACGCATCTGCTACATTTCATGGAGAAGACACGGGAGATAATAGATCCTTGTGGTGGAAAAGGAGAGAGAAGCTTGATCATCATCTTGGAAAACTCCTAAGGTATGATGATGGCTCTCTTTCTATACACGTGTACATATTAACAGCATTGGGTAAACCACTCTTTTGTTCTAGGAATCTAGAAGCTTATTGGATGGGTCCCTGGAGATGTCTGCTTCTTGGAGACTTGTCAAACTTCAAATTGCCCGACTCCGTACAGAAAAAGTTGGTAAAAGATCTCAAGTTCAAGTGCAAAATGGAAGTAAATGAGATGCTTTTGAAGATTATTCTTGGAGGTGGGATTGAAAACTGTAAAGGAGAGGCATGCGTTGCTCAGCTTTCTTTAAGAAATGGTTGCTATGTAGGTAGAGAGGGCTATCTTTATGATGAAGATAGTTGTAAAACTCCTACTGCCTCGTCTAATATTTCTGAAAGTAGGCATGGGTTGGCCTTAGAGCTGATACATGAAGCAGCAGCCAAACTGGAACAACATGACGACGATGAAAATAGAGAAGCTATCATTCTTGTGTTAGATCCTGAGGTTCAGGTTCGTCAATAATATCATTGTCACTTTCCTGCGCATGTATTACAATATTTGACTGTCATCTAGAAGTTGTGCTTGGTTTGTGTGTTGCGGTTCCAAGGCTGAACAACATAGATCATACCTGTGTAAGTATGCTTTTTTGTTGTTTGCCGTGCGCTTACCTGCAACTGTGGTGTGATATTGATTAGATGCTTCCTTGGGAGAATATTCCGATACTAAGGAAACAGGAGGTGTACCGAATGCCTTGTGTAGGTAGCATATCTGCTGTGCTAAAGAAGCGGTGTCTCCAAGGAGAGCCAGCAAGAACTCATGTTGATTCCTTGCCTCTAATTGATCCGCAAGATTCATATTACTTGTTGAATCCCTGTGGTGATTTCAAATACACACAATTCAAGTTTGAGAGCTGGTTCAGAGATGAAAACTTTGAGGTAGTAAATGATACAGAGGCTGCATACTTGAAGTGAAACCTTTTTTCTTGATGCTTAATTGTCGAACTTGCATCATTTCGTATACTTTCAGGGGAAAGCAGGATCAGTACCAAGCGCTAAAGAGTTGACAGAAGCATTGCAAAAGCATGATCTAGTTCTATATTTGGGTCATGGAAGTGGTATGCTTTCTCTCCTCGAACTGTTTAATCATCAGTAAACCCGTCTTTGTTGCAATCTTGGTTTGGTTACTAATAGTTCTTCTACTGTGTTATATGATTCCACAGGAGCACAGTATCTGCCTTGCCGTGAAATAGAGAAACTAGGCAACTGTTGTGCAACTTTCCTAATGGGTTGCAGCAGTGGTTCACCATGGCGAAAGGGATTCCCGCAAGGCGTACCACTCTCTTATCTCTTAGCTGGAGCACCAGCCATTGTGGCGAATCTATGGGACGTAACGGACAAAGACATTGATCGGTTTGGGGAAGCGTTGTTGAAAGCTTGGTTAGAAGAGAGGTCAGATTCAGAGGGTGGTTGCAGCCAGTGTGAGTCATTAGCTAATGAACTTGCAGCGATGAATCTAAGAGGCAATAACACCACCAGGAGGTCAAGGCGTAACAAGACGGCTCAATCGAATGGTGATGGGTGGTGGTCAGGGAAGATTGAGTGTAACCACAAGCGTAGGCGCAAAATCGGTTCATTCATCCCTGCGGCTCGAGAAGAGTGTAAATTCATATACTTGAATGGGGCTGCGCCCGTGTGTTATGGTGTATTAACTGGTATCACAAAGAAAATAAGGACTTGAAGCTCTTCTTTCTTCTTCATCTTGTTAGTTTTTTTTTGGACTTTTACAGTTTTGAGAGAGATTTACTCTGAGACGAAGTCTCAATACGTAGGACTTGAAATTAGAGATCACAAAGCATTAAAGCAACACAAAAAAAGAGACTCTAGAGATGTACATAAATAATTTTTACAGTTCTAATTTACAGACATTGTTTACTCGGGGTTTTATCATATTTACAGCAATAAACTTTTTCTTTATGAATATTCAGACTTCCCGGAAACAAGACCGGACACTTACCGCTCGATCCCTTGGCAAGCAGCATTACGCAGGTTAGTACCTAGTAAAACATTAACTTCGATGATTAACTGCTCCTTCTTTTGATAATCTCTAAAAAAAATGGAAACGTAAGATCTTAATAGGCCCAAACAAAGCCCAAGACTCCGGCGGTAGAACGTCTGACACTTTTTCATGGTTTAACAAAAAACCTCTTTTGTTAAAAGGTCAACTATACAGTGGGCTTTTAACATCACATACGAGCCCAAAACAAAAATAAACATACCGATTTTCCAATACGTAGAGAGCGAGCGTCTCGAAGGGTTTTAGCGTAAAGATTCTAATTCCGAAACAAGGTTTTAAAAACAAAACAATACGAAAGAATAAAGGGAAAATGGATATTTAAATGTCCAATTTTCAAATTTCCATCATTCTATGCCTGACTTATTGTTTGGCCCATCTAAAGAATAATTGTTTTGTTGACTTATGATAAAACACGAAATTTATGTTGACTAAACCAAATTAGACTCGACATTAAATTGCTAAACAGACTGATTAAACCCCGTTAAACCCCCGTTTGATTATCTGTTAGAGAGGATACGACATCGTATTCAAAACACGAAACTCCCAAATTCATAAAATCCCTAATTCGACTAAATCTCCAATTCGCAAACCCTAACATCTAAAATCGTCATATTTTTTCCCAAATCTCACAAATCATCGATCCATAGCTCGAAATCACCAAGTCGAGTAAATTCTTTTTTCCCTTGTGGTTTATCCTTTCTTTTTCTCAATCACCGATGGTTTCTTCTTCTGAAAAATCTTCTGACGTCGAAAACGGAAATCGTGGCTTCCTGTCGAAGTGCGTGTGTGGTTTAGATGTAATGATTTTAACATCGAAGACCCAAGATAATCCTGGAAGACCTTTTTTCCGTTGTATACGTCAAAGAGACAAAAGTTTGCCTTCAAACAAAAGAGATGTAAGTACCTTTTGTTGTTTTTATTCTGTTTGTTCTTTATGTGTCAATGCGTTTGTTTGTATGTTTATACAACAGGGACATTTGTTTAAATGGGTTGAGGATGCTGTGTTTGAAGAGATTAAAAATGGGGTACCGAAAATAAGAAGAATTGAAAGTGAGATTGGCAATGCAAAATCTGAGGTTGAAGAGTTAAAAGCTTTGATTGGAGAACTGTAGGAGGATGTAATGTGGAGCAAATTGGAGATTCGAAAGTGGAAAGTGATGAACACATTGTGTTTGGTTTGTCTTTTCATCATGACTTGTGTCATTGTCTACATGTGGATTGGCAAAGGAAAGGAGTCTAGGTTTCTCCTTGATTATTAGTGTAGTCTCTTGGTTGTGTTCTGAATTTGTTTAATCTATGTGTCATTGTAGTCTCTTTGTTTGGTTTGGCGCTGTTGTAATCAGATTTGGGAATGAAATGAATATCTGTTTTATCTTGTGCCTTATCTTGTTACAATAGACAACAAAATCAAACACCAAAAGTTAAGTTGATGGTGCCTTATGTTGTTACAATACACAACAACAACAAAAGTTGATTGTACCTTGCAAACACCCAGAAAAGTGTACAATAAAATGAGAATTCAAACCTTGTTCATAATACATAACCAAAAAAATTCGATACAAGATACAAAACACCAACACCAACAAAACTAAACCATATTCGAAACACAAACACCAACAAAATCAATCCATTATCCAAAACACCAACAAAATTAAACCATATTCGAAACACAAACACCAACAAAATCAATCCAATACAAAAGTTTCTTAGTTTGAACATCCAAACCATGATGCCCAACCTTGAGATCCCTCACCTTGTCCTTCATCTTGTGATCCGCGAGCATGTCTTCCCAAGCCGTGAGTTTGTCTTCCCGATCCAGGAGCTTGCCTTTGTGAAACTCTTTGCGCCTGTGCAACTCTTTGTGATCCTTGTTGTGATCCCTGTGGTGATCCGCCTTCTTCTTGAGAAACTCTTTATGATCCTTGTTGTTGTTGTGATCCTTGTTGTGGATGTGATCCTTGTTGTTGTTCCTCTCTTTGCTGTGTTTCTCCTCCTTCTTGGTTCACCTAAAAGGAAACGTATGAGATGAATTAACATGAACACATTATTACTAAGATTTGAAAATGAAGAAAGACATGAACAAAGCCATGGAGAAAGACAAACCTGATATATCCTTGGTCGACCTCTTGGTCTTTTTGGAGGAGGCAGGACAGTTACATTTGAACAACCTTGCTTGTTGTGCCCCTCTTGTAGACAATTTGAGCATGTCATGACTCTTTTCGCACTAGATAATCTTGTCGCACTTGAGAAAGATGCAGGTTCATACCGTGATCTCCTTCTTGCATAATCGCTTGGCCTACCTGGATTGCCAAACCTTCAAGGTGGTGGTAAAACAGGTAACCTATTAAGTCTAGGCCATAATTTCATGCCTTGTACAGGTCCAATACCATCCCTGTAAGTTTCTTGCCACATTGTCTTCGTGTAATAGGCATTCACATAATCTTCAACCACATGTCTCTTTCCTATGATAACACTAGCAGCATGAACACATGGTATACCAACCATTTGCCACTTCCTACAATCGCAACACTGATTCTTCATATCCACCGTATATGCAACACCGTGTAATTCAACCTCATGCAAATCGTTTCGAGCCATGTGCCTGATGCAGTGTTGCGCTCCTGCTATCATTTTCTCAACCTCAGCGTGAGCTCTTTTTGTGAATTTTGTCTTCAGTCTCTCGGCGATAATAAACCTCTTAGCATTACGAACCATGCATTGACGCCTAATATCCTCTAATAGGTCCATTAAAGGCTTTTTTCTAGCTTGACGAATCGTTCTATTAAAGGACTCACTCAGATTGTTCAAGTTGTCATTGCAGCAAGAACCTATCTTAAAATAAGCCCTAGACCACGACTGAGGATTAGTTCTCTGTAAAGAAGCTAAAGCCTGAGGATTGTACCTTCCCAATGCTTCCATGTGCTCTGTAAATTCTCCAATGGTGTAGCTACGTGCTATCTTCCAAAAAAGCCTCTCTAGTTCTATATCACGGCTGTCTCTCTTCCAATTATTCATAATGTGCCTAGCACATTGCCTATGTTCAGCCTTTGGAAGAAGATTACAGATGGCTTTCACGAGACCCTGCAAAATGATACACAAATTGTTACATATGAATGCAAAATATGTTAAGTAACATGAAATATATTATGATAGATGATGCTAACCGATTGTTTACCTGATATGAATGCAACATTCTCTCCATCACGAAGACCCAAACTTTCGGAAAGCTGTCTAACAAACCAGTCCCAATTATCATCATTCTCTATTTCAACTACTGCCCACGCAATAGGGACTATCCTATTATCTCCATCTCTTCCTACTGCAGCTAAAAGGTGCCTTTTTATATCCCATTTCAGAAAAGCACTATCTAATCCTAAGATAGGCCTACATGTAGCTTTCCAAGCCTCTCGCTGTGAATTAAAACAAATATAACACCGAAAAAACCTTTGTTTGCTTCCAACAGTTGGCCCTGGAACTGTTTCAATCTCGAACTTGGTGTGTGCATTGGATTCTAAAACCGCTGCTTGATAATCCCATATGCGTGCGCAATGGACTTCATGACTTGCTTTCTTCTCTTTCATCAGTTTTGTCTTCGCCTTTCCACATTGCTCATCTGTTACTTCCAAGTTGTATTCTCGGAGGATCTCTGCAGCCATCTCCTTCTTTGTAATCTTCGGATTCACTCTTAGTCTTTCAGCAAACAGCCATGCAATTGTTGAACACTTCAGCATCTTCGAGTGGCCTGATCTGATACAAGTGTGTACATTGACAAACACCTTGATTTGCATCTTATGTTTCCTTCTCTCATAAGAGCAATAGACTCTCCACGGACACTCGTTTTTTGTGTCAGAGCACTTCGCGCCAAGCTTCAAAGACGTTGACTTGTAGAGCTTGATGTCGTATCGACTCTTCAGAGAGTACCTTAGAAGAGCAAGCTTGAAATCTTCGGGACTATTGAAGGTCTTCCCCAATGCTAGGATTACTTCCGGGTCTTCAGTCTCCCTCTCTCTACGTCTTTCTTTTTCCTTTTCTCCATTGTCGCCGTCATCTTCAGAGTCGGATGACAAAGGATCTGAAATCTTCTCATCGTCCCAAATTTCATCTCCACTGTCCGCATCAGTCGCAGCTTCGTCATCTCTCGCCGCATCTCCAAAGTACTCAGCTAAGTCGCGACAACCTTCTTCTTCTAAAATTGCTCTAAACTCGTTGATATTGTTCTCATCACCTCCGTCACTAATCTCATCGCAATCCTCATCACCAGCAACCGCACAATCATCTTCTTCTGCAATTGCAAGCCCACTCTGATCTTCATAATCACCGCCTCCAATACCAAGCTCTGCTTCAGGTTCTGCTTCAACTGCAGGTTCTACTGCTGCTTCTGCTTCAACTGCAGGTTCTTTTGCTTTGCGTTTCGAAGCCTTCTTTCGTTTCCCTTTTGGCGGCATTTCAATTCGGAGAAATCGACGAGGGGTAGTGGTGATTTCGAGCTATGGATCGATGATTTGTGAGATTTGGGGAAAAATATAACGATTTTAGATGTTAGGGTTTGCGAATTGGAGATTTAGTCGAATTGAGGATTTTATGAATTTGGGAATTTCGTGTTTTGAATACGATGTCGTATCCTCTCTAACAGATAATCAAACGGGGTTTAATTGGGTTTAATCAGTCCGTTTAGCAAGTTAACGTCGGGTCTAATTTTGTTTAGTCAACATAAGTTTCGTGTTTAATCGTAAGTCAACAAAACGATTATTCTTTAGATGGGCCAAACAATAAATCAGACATAAAATGACGGAAATTTGAAAGTTAGGCATTTAAATAGTCATTTTCCATAGAATAAACCAAACGGTTTAGTATTGATATTTCCCTGTAATCAAATAAACTGTAAATTTTCTGCTGCAGCAAATCGACTGTTGAGATACGGCCAATAAATTAGTAAATACGGTAAGAGAAGAAGAGTGGTAGAGAGACAAAGAGAGAGCATAGTGGAGAGTGGAGACCTAGAAGAAAATGGGTATCTCCGATTAGCGGGAATTGCAATTTTTTCAATTCGAAACCAAAAAAATGGCGTCGACTGATGACGTCCGTCTTCTCTCTCTCATCGAATCTTCCCACGCCGGCGATGTCTTCGCCTCCGTCTCCGATTACCTTCGACCTTTCACTGCTCTATCATCGGCTTCCCGGAAACAAGACCGTACTCTTGTCGTTCGATCCCTCGGCAAGCAGTTCCTACCTTTCCTCAACAAATCGATCTCGCTCTTACCCAAACGCCTCTCCGTCGTCTCGAATTCTGACAAGGAAGCTCGTGAATCGGCCGGGAATTTGTTCCGCGCGTATGAACTCTGCTTGGATTGCCTTGAATCGGTCTCGGCTCAGTTAAACTGCAAGCCTCATACCCTTCAGCTTAAGAGGCTGCAAATGATTTACTGTCTCGACGCTTGGGGTTTCTACGAGAATGTTAATTCCCAAGCGTTTAAGCTTCTCGAGAGGCTTAGAGGCTCCGATGTTCGCTCCCGGAAGTGTCGGTTGTTGCCGGAGGTCCAGGACGGAGAGGCGGACCTGGCGATGGTTATAGTAGAGGCTGTGGCGGCTATCTTCAAGGCTGTGGCAATGGGTCAGCAAACAGATGATAAGCCGTACAGAAGAGTCCTTCTCTTGCTCGAGGAGGTCAGAGCCTGGTTCAGGTCAGTGTGGGACTAACTTTCTTCTTTGATTATATATCAATGCAGCTTCCATTTTGCAATTTTTTTTCTTTCAAGAAGTAGAGCACAGCCTGAAATTTTTGTTACTGTGCAGGGTCTTAGATGCCAAGGTGTATGAGAAGTTGCACAGTGTGCTCGTGAGAAATATGGGTAAATGTGCTCTGTCTCTGGTTAGAGAAGCTGAGCGTTTTGATGAGGAGTTCGTGCGTTCTTTCTGCGACTCAACTGTGAAGGAACACTATAAATGTGCATTGTCAAAAGATGGAATTTATACGGTGACCTTTCTTCCTTTGATGTCTTCCCTCTCTTGCTGCTGCTTTTCTTTTGCATGCTGTCGTCTAATAGATAATGAAATTTTCATTTTCAGTTTGCTCGTGAGGTGCTTTCTGTTCTGTTCAGATTGAAAGATAGAAGAATGCCAGTGACCATTGACATTTCAATGTCTTTGTTGCGCAGCTTAACTTGCCAATTCGTGGTAAGCTTTTCATCGCACTAGATTTGCTGGATCGGTTGACTTTACGATTCTGCTAGCTTCTCAGTTTAAGCTCTACAGCAAACGTGCAATGTCCTTTAACACTGCTCTTTTTTTCAGGCTGAAACTAATGAGGATTTAGTGGATTTTGTTGACCTAGTCTCTTACTGCGCTCACAAGTTTCGAGCAGCAGGAGACATGTACTGTGCACAAGTTTCCAAAAAAATCAGTGAGATGGTAGCTATTTTCTCCGAGGTATATCTACTCTCCTTGCCATGTAAACCCGCCTCATCTTATTCAGGAAGTATAAGTTGATTTGTACATTAACGGTTTGGCAGGCAATACCGCAACTTAATCTGATTCTTCGACTTTATTCGTCCGGGCTGTCTATCACGGTTTACGATTCCAAGTTTGGAGAAAGTAAGCGTAAAAGTGCAACAGATGATTGGAAGATTCAAGCTTTGCTTGATGATGAGGCTAGATGGCAAAACTTAGTATTGTTACTTGGTATGGTTGATAGTTACTCAGGTGATATGCGCGATCAGACTAATTTGTCATTGATTAGTGGACAAAAGAACTACAGCAATAAAACAAATGACAGAAACAAGAAGACTTGCTGGCCACAATATGTAGATGCCTTGGAATTCTTGTGCCAGCCGCTTGCGGACTTGATACATTCAGTGAAAAGAAAGATTGTGTTGAAGACAGAATTTCCTTGCGTTCCTGCTCACCTGTCTACTATTCATGATGCTTTTCTCCTATTTTGTGATGGTTGTCTCCTTCTTCAGAGGTAAGGTGATCATTACCTCTCTTACGCTATACTATTTTTGTGAAATCTTGGGTTTAATGCATTTCTCACCCCTCCTCTGCCTACTTTTCAGATGCTCGTCTGACAAGGAAGGTAGGGAAAGTGACAATAACAAAGCTTTGTTAAAAGTGGCTATGGCTGCTTTCATTGTCTCACTCAGAACCCAGTATAAATTGAAGGTTTGGTATTTATGTAGAGTGCACACAAGTCAATAGAAAATATCTTGTTCGAGTTACTGAACATGTCTTCATAATTAACTTAGTGATCCGACATCTTCCTTTCCAGATCAGTGCCCATCTAGTTGAGGATCTAATTGCCAGTCCGTGGATTCAAACTCAAGAACTCAAGCATCTGTTAGCGTCGCTATACAATATTGGTGTCGTTTTGTACAAAAATAAGGAGCTAACTGAGGTGGAGTACATGCTTTTTGGCTTTTTATAGCTTTTCTATGCAAACAAGTATGAGGGTGGATAAAAATCTGCGCCTGCTTGCATTTTATATAATGTATTCTTCTTTTTCTTTTGCTTAGCAGATTTTATAGAGCAAGTGTTCTACTTTGCAGGCTTGTAAGGCGCTGAAGCTGTGCTTGAAGGCATCATGGAGATGTGTTGAACACCTTTGTCAGATGTTTGTAAATCAATCTAGTTCATCTGACAATGACCTGTCAGAAGATGACGTTATGGGTTTTGTGGGCGAAACATGTAATAGGTGTGCATTCTACCTGGAAATACTCCATCAATGTAGCAGTTGTAAGATTAAACAGACTGTTGTGCCTATTCTAGAAAATTGGTTGACAGCTGAGCATCTGATTAGAAGGTTACCAGGCCCTGCGAAAATTGTAAAACAGTGGGTTAAGGTAACTGTTTGATGAAGTAACTTTCTTTCTTTTTATGAACTTCAAGTATCTGAATGTGTGCTATCAACAGATCGAATGGGGATGTCACACAAATCTAGATGCGGATGATTCTTGTACAACTTTGTACTCATTGTTATCATCTTCTAAAAAAAAGTCGAAGCGGGGTATCGGAAAAATCCTACAGCAGGTTAGAATCATAACAACCTTTCAGTTAGTGTTTAATAAAGTTTGTGCATGTCCTAACTTGAAGTGGCATGATACTATAATATATTTTGAAGTGATGGATGTACTTGACCTATTTCTATTAATGCGTGCAGGAACTTCTGGCCTATGAACCTTTAAGATCAAATCTAGGTCAACAGACGCAAATTAAAATAGCTGATATTCTTCTGAAGGATGTTTATGTCACAGAGGATATGCATATAGATAGAGCAAGAATCTTAATATGGAAAGCAAGAATGACAAGGACATCTGGAACTGAACATCTGACTGACTGCATTCGTTTTCTGTCAGAAGCAATCTCTATATTGGTATATATCTTACCACCTCAGAATTAACATCTAATTTAGTACTTGAAGTATTTTCGTGACCAAGTTCTTGTGTATGAAAGCAGAGTGATGTACATCATAGGCCAAACAAAGAGGGCAAAGAGGACGCTCCATCTTCTCACCAGTTACCTATTGCGTATTGCTTGAGAGCTTTTTGTATCCAGGAGGCTGAGCCAAACTCAAAGGTGCAAATGCGTAAAACACAGCCTCTAACTATTGACAGATCTTTCAGTTGGTGGTTTGTGGTTCAGTTTTTAAATTATCATTCTTGAAACATTTTGCCTCTTCTCATTTGCGCAGAAAGTCTTTCAAGATATTAGCACTTCGCTAAGTCTCTGGCTGGGGATTCCTAGTCTAGATGACAGTGGAGACAGTCTACCTGCAGAAAACATACTTCCGTTACTTTATAATATGATCGATTTGATGTCAGTGAAGGTATCTTTTACCTACTATCTAGCTGGACTATGGTTTTTTTAGTGGCATACTTTATAGCGCGTGCTTCATTTCTATCTGCCCCTTGATACCTTTTTCCATGTCCAGGGATGTACGGAGCTCCTTCCTCATATATACCAACTGATTTTCAGATTATTTAAATGGAAGCATGTCGAATTGGAGGTCTGCCTTGCAATGCTGTGGGAACGTAGAAGGCTAAGTCATGCCTTATGCCCTTCCCCCATAAGTGATGCCTTCATCCGGAACTTATCAGATAATTGTGGTGACAAATCTACGTGCATTAATTTCTGGATAGATTGCCTGAAAGGTTCAAAAGCAAACTTAATTGGGTTCCAGCAGAACTTCCATGATTTACAGAACGATTTCTTGCGTACATCAGACATCACAACAGATGATATCACAGATGCAGCTTCGGAACTCATTTCAAGTGTAAGAGATTTAACTTATCTGTAGATTGTTTTCTCGCCTGATATTAGCTATGTTGATATTAAATTTTGCTAATGAATGTCGTTTCAGGCCTCACTCTCTGATCATTCACCTTTTGTGGCTGCATATCTCTATTATGATCTCTGTGAAAGGCTCATATCATTTGGAAAAAATTCTGAGGTGAAGTTGTTATACATATATTGCATCTTTTTCCACAAATTTTGTTGTTATGAATTATTGCCAGGTTCATTCTTACAATCTCTTGATGATAAACTGTTTTCGTTTACAGGCTCTTTCATATGCAAAAGAAGCCTATAGAATACGAAATCGTATATTTCAACAGAAATTTGAGTATACAGCTGAGAAGCAGTTCGAGGAACACAATGACGCAGGGAAAATATCAGAGATACAGACTTATAGCATAACAAAATTCCAAGTGTTCAAATCGGAAGCAACTGATTTTTGGCCCTGTGGAACTTTTCTCTGGGACATCAAACGCTCTTACTTAAGTTGTTGGAATGTACTCCAATGCTATTTGGAAAGCACCCTTCAGGTTCTGTTTCTGCTCAGACCTTCTTGTCTAGCCGGATTCCAACACTTCTCTGTTTATCAATTTGGTGCTAAATGTGCAGGTTGGAATTGTTAATGAGCTTATAGGGAATGGGCTGGAGGCAGAAGCTTATCTATCATTGGGGAAAGCCATTTCATGCTCGCAAAGTCTATTCCCTTTTGTAGTTGCATTTTCTTCTGCTTTAGGTACGAAACTACTCTTTTCTTTTTTCCATAAGTACTGTCTTTTCTTGTAGTTTCCTTACTCCTTTTGTTAATAGGCCACTTGATTTTTTTTTAAATATTTTTTCTTTAACTCCACAAGGAAATCTTTACCACAAAAAGCAAAGCCTGGATCTGGCAGAAAAGGAACTCCAAAAAGCAAAAGAGATATTAATTGCTAATCAGCAGGACTTTTCTTGCGTAAAGTGCAAACTGAAGTTCGAAGTTACATTGGATAAGCAACTTGGAGACATATCTCAAAAAAATGTTGATAGAGTTACCCAGACAGATGGATTCTTGCATGCTGAAAGCTTGTTTTGTGCTGCCCTGGGAAAAATCTGTTGCTCAGCATGGAAAAGCTGCCTTAGATCTCATGGGGAAGAAAATGCTGAGGGAAAAGCGATTGATAGAATTGGAGGAGAAGTTTTAGGCTCCAGGAGGGGTCGGAGAGCAAAAAGTTCCCAAACTTGCGTGTTAAAGGACCATGATTTGATATCTGAGCCAACTTCAAGGTTGACTCGCTCAATGCGTCAGTCACTTAAAGAGCAATGCAAAAACTGTTCTAATGTGCCTGAAGCTGCTTTGAAGAAGCCTAGCGTCGGTAATGTATCTGATGGTTCTGGGGGTGAAAGGATGTTGTTGGACGCAAAAAACGCAGTCCATGGCTTTTGCATTTGCTACAAAGGAAAATGTATACAGTGCCGCTCTGTAGAAGTAACGGAATCTGGGTCTCTCTACAGTTTAGTAACGTTGAAATGGGAACTCTGCCATAGGAGGCTTGCGTCCTCAATTCTTGTTAACCTCGGTATGCTCTAATACCTTATGCATCTGCTCATGCAAACGTGAATGCATGCATATGAAGTTGGCCTTTTGACTGTTTCCTGTTGAATTCAATCTAATAGCTTAATAGGTTAGACGAGAACTGAGATCCAGTAGCCATTGAATTCGTCCATTGTTGATTAAAAAGTAAAGGGTCTTGGAAACCTTGAGTGAGTTTCAAGCCAAAATTATTTTCATTTGTAACCACTTCCATGTTTTTATTTTGTTTTCTGGCCGTTCTCCTGTTTATTCTCTGGAAAATAATACATGGCATCTCAGTCACTAAGCATCGTTAGAAGAAGTGTATATCTGCTTACAATTTGGTTTTCCAACTCAGGAAAATGTTTGGCGGACTCTGGTAAAGTTCATCTAGCTCATGAGGCACTACTGCATAGTATCTCTGTTTTGTTTAAAAGCAACTGGTCCAGCCACAACCAACCTTCTGTCAGTCAGTTGCTGGATTTTATTGGGAAAGAAGTTACAAGTGATCTATTTGCGATTGATCGAGCAATAATACTATACAACTTGTGCTGGTTAAGTTTGCGGAATTACCACTGCAGGGAGAGCAGGTATGTATGACATCTATTGGTTCTACTCTTTCCAGTATTGCCACGCTTAAGCTTTGTCCTCCCTGATGCAAGCTTTATGCAATGAGAAAACTCATATGCTAAATTGATCAAATATTTCTCTTAGCCTCTTGAGTGTTACCTTTAACAGGTCTACTTGCTGTGATTTGTCTCATATTCCTTTTACAAAACTGGTGTCATGGTTACTGTTAGCATTTATACTCAGCAGAGAGGTTCCAATAGTATTTCAAAAGGTAAATGCTCAGCTAATTCTATGGTACCTGTTTTTGCCTATCTTAGTTATTGTTTGGTATAAAACTGATTTTTGCTCCATACAGGTTTCAAGATTGCTTGCTTGTTTATATCTGCTTTCTGCCTCAAGTGTTGAATTCTCATTCGAATGTGATGGAAATGAGCTGTCTGCAAGTCATTGGGTCTCATATTTCCATCAAGCCTCGGTTGGTACCCATATTAGTTACCAATTCATTTCAGATTTGAGCCGAAGACACAAATCACAATGCCTATCAGATAAAGAGGTAACAGAAAGAGTTTGTATAAGTATTTTTAGCTTGTGAATTTGTGGATTAACTCCTGTCGCGTCACTGATGGTATTTTGCGTGTTTATTAGTTTTGTTTTGGAAGTGTTACATCTCTTATCTGATAGCTTGTATATTCACTTTTCAGTGTACAGAGGCTACTTGCTCGAGTTGCATGGTTCCTGAGGAATTTGACTTACCCAGGTATGAGATGAGTTAACTTAAGCAACCAGACATGCTATATAATTTTCTGATTGTCTTACTATATTTAACCTTACTCGCTACTGTAGGCTTGCTCCTGAGGGTACTCAAGATCTTGTACAATTTGCTAAAGAATTCTTCAACAATCTTCCAAGCTCAACAATCATCTGTATTAGTGTGCTTGGAGGCTCTTTAAATCAATTGTTACAGGAGCTAATGCGTATTCGTTCACCTGTTTGTGCCTGGGTGCTTGTATCACGCCTCAACTTGAAAAATCAACCGGTTGCCACACTTCTGCCGATTGATTCGGTTCTAGAAGGTAAATATGAACTGCCTCTTGGTTGATCAATGGTGTTTCCTCTTTGTACTCATGATCTCATTGATTCACTAGACATTTCAGATGACGGTGCAAATCTTAGTTCTACGGAAGCGACTCAGGTCAAGAATTTGGAGAGACGCTGGCTTTGCCCATGGGGCTCCACCGTGATTGATGATGTAGCTCCAGCATTTAAATCAATATTGGAGGAAAGCCACGCATCTACTCCATTTCTTGGAGAAGACACGGGAGATAATAGATCCTTGTGGTGGAAAAATAGAAAGAAACTTGATCATCACCTTGGAAAACTCCTAAGGTATGATGGCTCTCTTTCTATACACGTGAACATATCAGTCTATTTTACAGTCTAGTAAGATCGACCATATTTCTTGACACTTTGCAGAATTTTGTCATGCCCATCAAAAGCTTTTACATTTAAAACCTATTCTTGATAAGCTGTGGACTTATAGAGAACTGTGTTTTGATCCATCCTCTGAATCCACAACACAGCACGAGTCTTTTTATTTTATTTTTATTAACAACATTAGGTAAACCACTCTTTTGTTCTAGGATTCTAGAAGCTTCCTGGCTGGGTCCCTGGAGATGCCTGCTTCTCGGAGACTTGCCAAACTACAAATTGCCCGACTCTGTACAGAAAAAATTAGTAAAAGATCTCAAGTCCAAGTGCAAAATGGAAGTAAATGAGATTCTTTTGAAGGTTATCCTTGGAGGTGGGATTGAAAACTTGAAAGGAGAAGCATGCGTTGCTCAGCTTTCTCTAAGAAATGGTTGCTATGTAGGTAGAGAGGGCTATCTTTATGATGAAGATAGTTGTAAAACTCCTACTGCCTCGTCTAATATTTCTGAAAGTAGACATGGGTTGGCCTTAGAGCTGATACATGAAGCAGCAGCCAAACTGGAAGAACAACATGACGGCAATGAAAATAGAGAAGCTATCATTCTTGTGTTAGATCCTGAGGTTCAGGTTGGTCAGTTATATCCTTTTCACTTTCGTACACATGTATTACAATATTTGACTGTCATCGAGAAGTTGTGCTTGGTTTATCTGTTGCGATTCCAAGGCTGAACAAGATCTTGCCTTGTGTAGTATGCCTTCTTTTTTTCCCGTGCGCTTACAGAAATGTGTTGTGATATTGATTAGATGCTTCCTTGGGAGAATATTCCAACACTAAGGAAACAGGAGGTGTACCGAATGCCTTCTGTAGGTAGCATATCTGCTGTGCTAAAGAAGCGGTGTCTCCGGGGAGAGGCATCAAGATCTCATGTCGCTTCCTTCCCTCTTATTGATCCGCTAGATTCATTTTACTTGTTGAATCCCGGTGGTGATCTCAGCGGCACACAAGTCGAGTTTGAGAGCTGGTTCATAGATCAAAACTTTGAGGTAACATATGATATAGTAGAGGCAGCATACTTGTAGTAAATCCTTTTCCTGATGCTTGATTTTCGAACTTCCGTCATTTCGTATACTTTTCAGGGAAAAGCTGGATCAGTACCAAGCACTGAAGAATTGACAGAAGCATTAAAAAACCATGATCTATTTCTATATTTCGGTCATGGAAGTGGTATGAATCCTCTTTTTAAAACTGTTCTAATCATTAACCTGTCTTTGGTTCAATTTTCGTATACATTAAGATTGGTCACTAATACTGTATATGGTAACGCAGGAGCGCAATATCTGTCTTGGCGTCAAATAGAGAAACTAGATAACTGTTGTGCAGCTTTCCTAATGGGGTGCAGCAGTGGTTCAATACGGCTAAAAGGCTGCTACATCCCACAGGGCGTACCACTCTCTTATCTCTTAGCTGGATCTCCAGCCATTGTGGCGAATCTATGGGACGTAACAGACAAAGACATTGATCGGTTCGGGAAAGCGTTGTTGGAAGCTTGGTTCAAAGAGAGGTCAGATTCTTCGTCTTCAGAGGGTGGTTGCAGCGAGTGTGAGTCATTAGCTAATGAACTTGCAGCCATGAATCTAAAAGGCAACAACAACAACAACAACAACAACAAGAGGTCAAGGCGTAACAAGCCAGCTCAGTCGAATGGTGATGGGCCAGGGAAGATTGAGTGTAGCCACAGGCATATACGCAAAATCGGATCATTCATCGCTGCGGCTCGAGAAGCTTGTAGATTGCCGTACTTGATTGGGGCTGCGCCGGTGTGTTATGGTGTACCAACTGGTATCACCAGGAAAAAAGGAATCGAAGCTCTTCTTCCCTATTCTTCTTCATCTTGTTAGACATAACAGTTCTGAGAGATATTTATATACTGAGATGAAGTCTTTAGAGATTCCATCTTTTTGTTATATAATATATCACATGGTTTGACCTCCTCGAATCTCATGTTATAAAAAAAAAGTTGATAAGTCACATGTGGAGTATAATGAATACAGAAGCTTTGGCTCAATATGTTGTCAGCCAAAAATTTATATCTCTCAAGTCTCTGAACCTTACCTTGGAATCTCAAAGTCACCTTTCGATTTGAGATCCCTTTCCTTCCATAGTCCGATGTTCTCAACAAATTTAACTAGCTGCAGACGGTGGAGGTAGATTTAATTCAACTTCATTACCATTTTCTTTTCGACAAAAAAAAAACGTGATTTTATTTGCAAATGGTCTATAAATCCGGGGGAAAAAAATCACTTCCATCTCCAAGAAGGACGATGGTGGGTCTCAAGGAGGGATATATGACTATGGAGGAACGAATCTATCGTGGCACAAAACTGAGGGGCAGGTTTCACATATGATTGCATTTGAGGATCATAGTGATGCTATAAACGTAACCATATTTTGCACGTTCATTTTGTTGAATACCCTATATTCTCCAGTGAGGACATTTACGAATTAATTCTCAAACTGTAAAAGCCTGACCCAAATATAACTTAATAATTTTATATATATATTACCTATAACAAAAAAAATGTTAAACATTAAGTATGTTTAAATCATTACCATTCTTTCATAAGTATGCAAATATTAAGTATATTTAACATTTTTTATGCTTAATATTTATTTTATTACATAATTAATAATTTTATATTTATTACTTACAACAAAAAATGTTAAATATTCATATTTAAAAATGTACAATTTTATATGCTTCATCCGTTAGGGTCAGGGTTTTTAGACAGGATGGTAAATTATCAATATATAAAGGTGGTTTAGTTTTTTTGCATGGTTAAAAGTCCACCATTCTGTGAAAGTACATTAGAAAATTATAAAGTGCCTTGCAGCATAATCAACTCTACAAAACAGTATGGATCCCGTATTATTCGCTGTTATAATGGGTTCCGTATTCTTCGCTGTTGTAGTCATACTCATGTGCTGTTCTTGTCTTCATGAGTGGGGTTGTTGCAACCGAGATCGAGTAGCGGTTGCTCCTTTTCCGTAACTATTTTTATTATCATCTATATTGTCCACGTTATGTTCGGTTTTACTTTTGTTTTTAATGAATTAGTTAGCACTATGACCAGATTTTGATTACGCGACACTGCAATATTATTCAATTGTATTTTATCTTACTTCGGTTTATATAATGATATTGTAACCTCTATTTTATATATTGAATTGATTTTTCAATGATTTTGTTATAATTTGCAGTGTAACATTACATGATTATTAGTGTAGTAGTGATTTATTCAATGTGGAAGATCGTTATTCCAACTATAAACTCAAGATTTTCAGTCTATAAACGAAAGTAAATAACAAACTAAGAAACAATAGAGAAAATTAAGGCATGTGTCTGAGTTTATCCGTACCGCACACGGTACTGTTCTCGATTTCTAAAGTACCTAACGAGGTTGACCAAATTCATAACCTAAAAAAAACCATAACGCATTTACTACATTAGAACGTTAAGTTTAATGCAATGTTTTGAAACCCGACCCAGACCGATCGGTTCGCCCGGTTAAATCGGGACCCGATCACTTATCTAGATTGGTTCTATTTTTAAAATCTAAAATTTATTAATATGGTAAAATCCAGAAAAACCTGCGATTAATCTGTAACCCAGTAATTCGTTAACCCGGTTGAACTAGCAATTTTAATTTTTTATAATCTTTTTAAAAATAAATAATCTATAATTAAATTATAGAATTTTGTTATTTTATGACTTTTGTTGGTTTTAAGATTTGTAATTTGTATCAATATTGAACGAGAATGTTATGTTTTGTTAAATAGTTAATCCGCGGTTGACCATTGGGAAAAAATACTTAAAAATAATCAATTAATGATCCATCGACAATAACACAAATCCACGAATTTTCTCTTCGTGCATACAACGAAAACCCAACCAAACTACCCCACATTCCAGGCTCATGCTTCTTGATTCCTTAACAAGAAGGCCACCCACGGTCGTACCCATCCACATATCCCCACCCAAACACACGCCAACAATCACGTGTATGATTCAAAAGGACTATGAATCACTTAATCCGGCCAATCAGGCATCATGGAAAATTTGTTTAGTGGACAATACCGTCATCGAGCTTAGCATCGACCACACAACACCGTCCACAAATCAAGCACAATATGGCATAGGCAATCTTATTTTCAAGTCTTCCACAAACAATATTTCCCCAATACGGTCCAGTAACATAATGTCCACAAAATACACTATTCTGTATGTTACACTCAAACCATTATTGTGGATACCCGTCCACAAAATATACCTATTACAAAACAATTGTCTTATACGAACTAAAAAAACGTCTATATTTTATTATCCATCTGGACGTCACTTTCCTACCATTTACACACGAAGGCACTTGAGAAAAAATTGTTGCGAAATAAGACACTAATGTGAGAAGAGGCACTTTGTTGTACTTTTTGGCATTGTTATGTCTAATTTGTCTCTTTTAATATTTTGGATGTTTTACTGAAAACTACAGTTTACCCAAATGGTAAAAATTGGTATATGGGCATTCATAGTTCACGCGCCGTCTCTTTGGAGGCTAGGTCGTTAAGATTTGAAAAAAAACCAGTAAAGGAAGCCACCGATCTACCATCATCGAAGGCGTGGGTGGCCTTCTTGTTGAGGAATCAAGAAGCATGAGCCTGGAATGTGGGGTAGTTTGGTTGGGTTTTCGTTGTATGCACGAAGAGAAAATTCGTAGATTTGTGTTATTGTCGGTAGATCATTAGTTGATTGTTTAGTTGTGAACCCAGAAAACACATGATGGTAGGAAAGCGACGTTCAGATGGATAATGAAATATGGATGTTTTTTAGTTCGTGTAAGACGATTGTTTTGATACTTAATCTCAGTCTCAGTTCAAGTTACAAATCAACAATAGACCTGTTAATTGTTTTTTTTGTCTTTCTCCGCCATCGTTCACTTGATTTTGTCGTCATATCCAATCCACCATCTCATAATTAGTACATTCATGGGCGACATCCATATAGTTCTTTCATTTTTATGCATCCACATATAACATCCACATCAAACATCCACATAAATTACGTTGAAACAGTGTATTCATAGGTTATCTCTATATACCTTATTCATATTTTGCATTTAAATATAGCATCCACATCGCACATCAATATGATTCATCCACAAACTTCATCCACCACTGCCATCCACACATATCATCCACATATTGCATCCATATTGAATCCATATTACATATTACTGAGTTAGCCTCATACTCTGCAACCACATAGAGCATCCATGTACACGAGAAACATAACTTTACCTCGTCTATGTAGATCATTCACACATCACCGCCATGTTGCATATTAATGAGCTATCCACATACTCTGAAACCACATAGAATATCCGCTACCAAATAATTAATACATCCATGGGCAACATCCACATAGTTCTTTCATTTTTACGCATCCACATATAGCATCCACATCAAACATCCACATAAATTACGTTGAAGCAGTGTATTCATAGGTTATCTATATGTACCTCATTCATATTTTGCATCTAAATATAACATCCACATCGCACATCCATATGATTCATCCACAAACGTCATCCACCTCTGCCATCCACACAGATCGTCCACATATTGCATCCATATTGAATCTATATTGCATATTACTGAGTTAGCCACATACTCTGCAACCACATAGAGCATCCATGTACACGAGAAACATAACTTTACCTCGTCCATGTAGATCATCCACACATCACAGACAACAATCGAAGGGATGTATGGCAAGATGTAAGGTTTGGCGACGCCGTCAACCAGAAGCGGCGATTCGGAGACTGCTGAATCTCTGACTACGTTGAAGCAGTTTCTACACCGGCGGAGACGGAGGTTATAGATTTCGAAGTCGCCACTGATATTTCTGGTTTGTTACCGAGAGTAAAAAGGTAATTAGTGGATTTGCTACAGATATACGAAGAGTCCAAGAGAAACAGAAAATGTATACAGAGGGGCATGGAAGTTTTTTAATCAAACGAAAGTGTGTTAGTATTTTCAAGTGTCTTAGTTTGTAATTAGAATCTGGGAAAGTGCCTCTCTCTGTAATTTATGTTAAATATAATCGTTAATCCGCGGTTGACCCTTGGAAAAAAATTTCGCAATAATTTTCCATCTGCTTATGTTATGTTTTGAATAATTTATGTTATGTTTTTTTATATTTAATAATTTGAACAGTTTATGTTATATTTTTATATTTAAATTTATTTTTCTATTTTTAAAACTATATAATATATATATTATATAAAATTTTATTAAATAGTTAATATGCGGTTGATCCGGATCAATCCAGATAAACCCGGAAACACAGTGATCCGATAGATATTCCGGTTTGTTTTTCGGGTCGGGTTGACCAAAACGGCCACAACTCCGTTCTCTCTTCCCGTCACAGGACCCTACTTCACTTCAACCAAGCAAGCATCAAAAGGTTCTGACTGCTGGTTAAACTCAAATCTACAAATCTTTTGTAAACCCGTAAAAATTCAATAAAACAACTATCTTTACAAAGAAAACAAAGACGAAGTAGACGCAAGTGATAAGGGGGGACATGAGGAAGGTTTATATGTACATCACTGTACATTTACCATCTTTGGACTGCTTTTACTTCTTGTATTGAAGAAGACAGGTGATTGCGTCTTATTGATACCTCAAGAGATATCACACTAAGACACACATCTCATGATCAACATTCCTCCCTCGAACTGTGTCTCTTCAACACAGTTAACAACTGCATATCACTTATGACATTTGGTGGTTTCATATTGGTTTTGAACTTACACTTTCTCGGATCACGGTATGTATAAACCATGATCGTGTAAATGGTTATGGTTAAGTCTTTTTAGAAAAATACACTTGCTCGTTTCACATTTTTAAGGCTATGTGGTGTGATGTGGTTTGGTTAACATATTTATCTGGATCATGAGGTGTGTAATAAAGAAATGCAAATAAACATTTTCTGGGGTACATTCGTTTGTTAATGTTACATTGTACTTTATTTGGTATTTTGTGGTAATTTTGATTAACTCTTGAACTTTTACTCTTCTGTGGTTTTAGTATTTAATTCGTTTTTTTTTTTAGTTTTAGATACGTCATAAAGGGTATATAGCTATTCGGCACAAGAACATACAGCAGAAGTAGGACACAGATGGGATTGGCCATACGTATCTTTTTATTTGTCTCCTTATGTTTATGGAATGACATGAAAACGTATATATGTACTAATTACTAAGAACTAACAGAGCTATTACGTATGAACATGCGACTTGTGATATCTACACTTACTTATAGGATAGTCTGTAAATTCGGATGCTATGAAGACTACGTACCACCTAAAGTACATCGAAATCACCGCCTCCACTCAACTCTTGTTGCTGCAGCTCCATCGCGATTTTCAGATCGGGACTGCGTGTTACCATATATATAAACCAAATAAGAATTTTAAAAAAAAATGTTATAAATTTAGAAACAATGCAAAAAATGGTCTAATTAGAAAGTAGGAGATATTTACTCAATCTCCATGCCTTCTTTTGAAAATCTGTTGATGTTGAAGATATAATCCTGATATAAAACAGAAAAAAAAAAAAAAGAAATTTAATAATGACAAAGAATTATACGCGATAAAGAAAAATTAAAAAAAAAATCCAAAAGCAGGCGAGGATTGTTGTTAATACCGCAGTGTTACTAATTGCACCCTGTTCATCCCATTTGCCACTGTAATTGAAGACCTTGAAGTCACCAGTCATGAAGACCGAATCACCATTAACCTAAAAATATTGAAACCAAACCAAAGCAATTAGTAACGCTGCGGTATATACTTTGTATATAACCAAAAAAAAATCAATCTTCCGCAACTACCTGGTTTAATGTTTCCCAAACCAAATCTCCTTTTTCCTGATAGCCTTCATCAGTAACCAAATTATAGAGTGCATTGTCATGCTGCAAAATGGGAGCAAAAACTATTAGAATTAACGTTCTAGATTGTTATGTATCAACTGTTGAAAACCGCCTCTAAAAACACTTCCTGATTATAACTCGGATTCAAAAAAATGGTAAGTAACAACAACCTTGAGCATGGTGTAGAAGTGATTGTTGCGGAAGAAGACACAAAGTTCACCTTCTTTAAGGCCTTCTCCCAAGAAAAAGAGCCTGGAGGAAATGATATTTAATCAATAATTAATCAAGACAAAAACCAACTACGGAAAATCTTGCCTAAGCAAACAATACCATCACGCACCCAGTAAAAGTTAACTGATTGGCATTGTTTTCCAAGAAGCTTTTGATCACTTCACCTGAAATTTTTAATCATGGTGGAGAGTTTTCTTAAAAAAGGTCAGGAAACGTATGGCACAATAAATATAATGCATATGTGTTAATTAACTTTACCCTCTCCTGGCGTGAGTCCATTTGCATCCTTCCCTTCCGGAGAGCTTTGTCCAACTAGTGACTCGCCTTCATACACTGGAGAACCCAAGCTTTCACATTTCTCATCAGCTTCATACAAGGGTACATCAACATCCTGGGATCTGCCAGCAAGATCTGGAGATGCAACGAGCAGATTTGAGTAAGAAACGTCATGTCTAACATATGTTCATACAGAGATACCAATGAGTTTTACCTGGGCTAACAACAGTTACAGCTTCAGACTTGAGTTGAATCTCAGAACTGCTGTCATTCTTGGTTGATTCCAGATTAGTCTTCTCCAAAGTCACATCCACACCAGTCATTTTGCCGCTACTCTCAGCCTCAACATCATCAACTGTCTCATCTCCCGGTGCCGTTGAAGGTGACTGATCATGGTCAAGAGACCCACTCTTTGTAACTGATGTTGTCGAACGTACCTCTTCCCCTACATTGATCTTATTCCCAACATCACAGTCCGTCTCATCTTCTGATACCTTGGAAGAAAACTGATCATCACATTTGGACTGCTGACAGATATTACTACTGCAAGGGGTAGTACAACCAGACTCAGCTCCCACAGAATCTACCAATGTGCCATCCTCAGACATTTGATATCCGTATGAGAATCCAGACACAGACTCTCCTCCACTGCTTGAGAATCCAGGCATTTGATATTCATATGAGAATCCAGACGCAGAGTCTCCTCCACTGCTCGAGTCTCTGCGAGTATCAAGACCAAGATTTTCCCTTTCAGATAACCGCAAGGCTCTCATCAACGCTCTTTCTTCTTCAACATCTCCCCTTCCCAATCTACTATGCTCTGCAGATGTAGGTGTAGAGTAAGCAAAAGATCTTGTTTTGGAGCAACTCTGTGAAGGATCAACAGAGCATTCTCCAGAACTTTGACTGCTTGGAATCTTCAAGGTAACAAGCTCGGTCATCAGATCATTATAAGATTTGCATCCAATTGCAGTAGCAGTTTCAACATCCTGGAGGTTAAGCAGAGGAAAATGTTATACTCCAAATTTCAGAAATGTACAAATATAGGATGCCATTGTAAAAACAATGTACCTGTGGATCAACAATCCATCCGTGGTATAAAGCAATCTCCAGTAAACGAAATATATCTAGCTCAGGTGTCAGCTCAAAATCGTCGATCCTGCAAGCAAGGGAGCATATCTAGCTCAGGGGATTTTTCTATGTAACGTATTGAAACGGTTTAACTGAGGATTAGATTAAACCTCCTAAATCTGATATTGACATTGATGCCTTCTGCAAAGCGTGGGAGGAGCTTAATGGCATTGGTGTACTCTTCACCATCGCTCTGCCATGAGAATGAAAAATCGAAAGTGAAGCTCATCGAGTAAGGCCAAAAAGATAATGAACTAACGAGAAAAGAAAACAAGTCAGATTGTTACATAGAACAGTGCACGATCCACAAGGCTCAGCAATCTCTCTTGAGATACTTCTTCCTTCAGATATTGATTCTTCTTGTTTCTCAAGAGAAGAACATTGCCTGTTGCATATACAAAAAAGGAAACAAACAAACGAAATCTTAACACGCATAAGAATAGCAGAGAGAATCAGCAATCTACTTGAATGTGTGTAAATCGATCACTTCTCGTTTCCAAACAAGATAACGATGAAAAAACGAACGGCTCTAATCACAGTTTCTTCCATCAATCTTTCCGATTATCAACACCGGAAACCTAAAAGATTGCGAGATACTAACACCGACATTCCACTTCCCTACCCTATTCGACCGTCTAAACGAAGTTCATAAACCCTAGGAAGCGAAAATTGGGGGCGAGGAGGGAGAGAGAGAGAAAAAAGCAGCATACAAATGGCGATCAGAGGACAAGGTCCATTCTTGTTCTGGAGGATGATTCGCTTCTTTAGGCCACGAAACGTAATCTCCTTCGTCTTGTAAACGGCGTCCTTCCGTGCTCCGTTCCGCGACTCCTGGTTCGTCTTCGTCTTTTCGGCGGGAAAATTCGGAGCCGGAGAAGGAGGATGAGGGGATTCGTTCGCCATTGTTGGTTCACGAAGATCACTGGAAATCCGAAAAGGTGCTTGCTGATTTATCGTCTCTAGGTCAAAGATAAATTCAATTGAAGAGGAATTTTCTGGAAAATTTTCTGAAGAAGTTGTTTATCCAACGGAAGAAGCAAAGCAAAGTGAAGTGAAGCAACGTGGGGAGAAAGAGTTATATGAAGCAATGGGAGACGAGAGAAAATTGGTTTTTGAAATGGGTTTAGTCACCAAACCAAACCGAAATTACTATGGTTTAGCTAAACCGCCACAAAGAAATTAATTCTCGCATCGCAATAGGCAATAGCTACGCGACTGCGTTTGGGTTTGGCTTCCTTTATTTTGTTTCTCATTTTTGTCATTTTTAATTTCTACTTTCCATTGAGCTTGTTGTTGAAAACTGAAAAGCTTATAAATCAAATTCAAATGTAAATAATTTCTTAAGGTTGCCGTTCGTTAGTAAGCCTAATAAAAATATAATCCAACTTTGGTCTATTATTTATATACAAAAATTAAGCCATTATGTTATGCATTATATAATTTGAATAGATCAGAATAAAAATCCTCACCACGAAGTTTCAAAGACCAAACAATATTTCTATCAGAGTATTATAATTAGTAAACACTCATTAACTTCTCCATCCACTAATTTTAATTTGAACCATATTTTAATCATTTAGCACAAACGTTATGCTCGCTATGAATATTTCTATGAGAGTATTATAACTAAGAAACACATTTTTACTAGCCAAACCCCTGTAAGACACTACATTCATTAACTTCTCCATCCACTAATATTTTAATTTGAACCATAGCTTAACAATTTAGCACACACGTAATGCTAGCTATGATCACAGATATACATTGGTGTTAGCCTCAAGAAACATATCTGTGTTGGAAAGACGTTCAGAAAAGTAAACTTTACCTTGATAGATTTTGGAAATCAGGTCATTTGATTTAAAATAACTACAACTTGTACCAAGTTCTGATGTCGTTTATGCTTGCTTTATGGGCAGAGGTATTATTATCAATTATAAATTCTTTGGAGAAGTTGATTCTCGCATAGATCTCTTGTTTTTCTTTTCTTTTTTTTTTTATGCAAGGTAGGCATTTTAACAAGCATAAATTGGTGAAAAGAAGTGGTCCTCCTAGCGTGCGACACCTGTATCGAGATATGAAAAGATGAATAAATACAGATGTTAATTAAATAAATGTCTTGTTATGATAATTCATAATAAAAGCATCCAATAGTGGAAAACCACTTGCTTATGATAGTGATTAGTTACAATAATTTTTTTTTTTTTGGCAATAATTAAAACATTAAAAACGCGGGGAAGCGAATAAAGTAAAAGCGAGAGGGGTGATTAAGAAGTGCACCAAACAAAAGGCGGAGCTGCCACGTGAAAGCGTGTGCACGTGTTACCGTTTAATTGGTCTGTCACCCACGAGTTAGCACGGCGAGAGTAATATGGTTTGTACGAACGTATTGTTTATCATACGATTAAAGTTTGGGTTTTGTTCATAAACTTTTGTTTCCTCTGCGTAAAAAAAAGATTAAAGATACTACAATTTTTGTTTTTAATTTATATCACAGTGTATGTAGAGTTACTTGGTAAATTCAGACGCAGGCTATAATCACGAAAAGTAAACAATATACTAGTAGACTAGTAGTAAGTAGTAACTCTTTATCAAATCTATCCACGTGAACTTTAACTTTTGTTCATAATTCTTAAATCATAGCTATTTCAGTAAACTTTTAAGGTATACGCTCACATCTACATATCATTATCAAAAAGTTATATAAGAAACGTTTTTCAAGTTTTCTTCTCAAACTTTTAAAACCCATACTGGACTTTAAAACTTGTTCTTGTTATTATTACGGTGCGTGCGTCATTAATATAGAGCACATTTTGTCCGAGAGAAGCTGGCAACCGACAGAGATGCCGGTTGTTCACAGATGAACTAGTGAAACCCACTTTGACGGACACCGGATCTGTAGGTTTGTCAGTTAACATGGACGCGTGTCAAGATCTCCTCCACTACCTTTAGTAATTTATCACCTTCGCTCTCGATTACACCAACATTATTATTTAATTATCTCATAAATCTCTCCATTTACCTGTAACAGTCCCGTAAAATACGTAGAAGATTTTCTTTTTCTATTGTCACGAAATAATATAGAGAGAAATACTGATTTTATTACTTGTATATACGTCGTACGAGAGGTTCTTGTATAGTTGTAATTTAATAACAACTGACAATTTAAAACTCAAAAGAAAAAAATATATCTTTGCCCAAAAAAAGAAAAAAGAAAAAAAAAATCAAATCGTGTGATTCATCAACTTTGTCATCCCATTGGTACTTATTTTATTAATATATATGGGGTTCAATTTGGATTTAAAGCTTTTACCAAAAGAAGAAAGAAATTACGTAATGCTGTTTCTAAAAATAAAAGTGCAATAGTGCAATGTACTAATAAGACAGGTCTAGCTAGGGTTATAGACCACTATAGGCATAAGAGAAAATAGCAAATTTAATAAAAAAAGCCAAAAATAAAATAAAGATCAAATCAAATATCAACAAGCATAATGAGAGATATCTTTCTTTTCTCTCTCTCCCCTCCTCCTTCATAATAAATCTAGGGTTTCTATAAGTTTCCCAGCAATCTGTATCACTCCCCTCTTCCCCAAATCTCTCTTTTCTCTCTCTCCACCCACAGACACATACAAAGAAGGTAAATCTCGAAATCCGTCTTCAGTTTTTCGTTGATCCATTTTCTATTTATAGCAATTAGTTGTTCCTTTTATTTTCCTCTTATAGAAGTCAAATTAAAGGTTTTTCTTTCTTTTCCAATCCTACTTCTTGTCGCCGTTGATGTTATTCTGAACCATAATCCATCTAATAAGTTTTAATTTCAGGATACTGTTCGTGTTATTGAGAGTTCAGCAAATCTTTTTTTTGTTTTCTTTTCTTTTTTTGGTGAGATATAATTATTTGCATTTGGGCATTGGATTAGGGATAAATAAGAAGTAAAAGATGGTGAGGGGAAAGACGGAGATGAAGAGGATAGAGAACGCAACGAGCAGGCAAGTGACTTTCTCCAAGAGAAGAAATGGACTTTTGAAGAAAGCTTTCGAGTTATCGGTCCTTTGTGATGCTGAAGTTGCTTTGATCATCTTCTCTCCAAGATCCAAACTCTATGAGTTCTCTAGCTCTAGGTACATATGTCTTTTTCTTTAATCCTCTCCTTTTGTTTATCTACTTGTGCTAAATCAATATATTGATCCGGTTCGATTAGGGACTAATCCGATCCAATTATTACCGTAATTAGTAGATTCGATACGTTTTATGATTTTCAAAATCGTGATGGAGAGTGAGATGATGATGATTTTGTTAGAGACAAATTAAGTAGATTGGAGAAAGAAAAATTAAGTCCTATCATAAGATTGTAGTAATAAGATTTTTTTCATGGCACTGCAATCTATGATGTTTAGATTTATGAATATGTATGTATATATATGTGTGTACTTGTTGTGAGCCATCCACTTCTCGCTGTAGATGAGTTGATATTTCCGACTCTCTCTCTCTCTCTCTCTCTCTCTCTCTCTCTCTCTCTCTCTCTCTCTCTCTCTCTCTCTCTCTCTCTCTCTCTCTTGTGAGATCTTTTTTTTTGATATGGAAACAACTTTAAGTTACAGATATTTTGATGTTTATCCGTTTATAACAAAGAAAAGTCAATACTAGCTATCACTACATATATAGCTAGTTATATGTAGTTTGTGACTTTTGTGCATAGTGTCAGTCCTTAACTACTCAAATTAGGCCTATATGTGTTATAAGAATGTGTTCATGAATTAGGCAAAATAGCCATACTTGTAGGTAACCATCAATTTCCTTATTTAGACTAGCCATACTTGTTCATGAATGAGTTTGGTTTTGGCATGGTTTTTTGTACTAGTTTAATAGAATAGATACATTTGGTCGGAAAAACAATACATTAGAAGTAATTATTTTACACATGTTTGAAATTGTCGATGGATTACTCATTCATGTGTGAACAGACATGTCTAAGCATGGTGAGTGTAACATGACATAGCACATTTGTATTCGATATATATGAGTCTACATGCTTCTTTTGTATATGTGTGTGCGTGTGTTTGTATGTATGCATAACTATGTAAAGAGGCATTTTGCTTCACTTTTCACACACAAGCGCTTTTATTTACTTAAGCAATGTTAGTGAAGGAGTCAGCGCATGTGTGTAGATCAGAATTATATTCATTCTTTATGTTTTCTCTTATGTTTATCTATTGAGTTATGGTTACATTGATTTGTTTTTTTGATTAAAAAATTTTATGCTGATTAAACATAGAGTAAAAAGATTAAGACACTTAAACAATAAACGTGTGCTTAAGTGTCTTTTGAGCAAAGCTAAGAGAGGTTAATCACAATTAACTAGGCATTGTTAACCACAGAATCATAGTTGTTAACGTAGTGATTAATGATATTTTAAAGGTAAAGCTTATTATTTCAATATCGGTCTGAGCATGTCCATGTGCATCTATATATTATATACGTCTGCCTGTCTCTGTATATATGTATATTGGTGTATATGATGTTGGGTATTAAATGTGTACAATTTCAATAGAAAATGAGATCAAACATATATAGTATTTTTATTCACATAAATTTTTAATATAATAATGTATAATATAGTGAATTTTCTTGTTGGAAAATTCAAGTGAAAAGCTTACGTTTTAACTCCACGATTTCGTTTCTTTGATTTGTATTTGATTGTTTTCAGTATAGCAAAAACGATAGAACGATATCAGAGACGAGTGAAAGAAATTGGGATTAACCATAAGAAAGATAATAATTCTCAGGTAATCAAAACTCTTTCTCAATATTTGGCTTTAATTATGCTTTAAATTAATTCTCATTCATATAATACGAATCATATTTTATGGTTTACAATATATTGTGGATGACATGATGAGTAAATTTTCATAAATATTATTTTTGTGTTTTAAACGTTTTCACCGACTTTACTAATTTTACAGCAAGCACGAGGCGAAACATATGGCTTGGCAAAAAAGATTGAACAGCTAGAGATATCAAAACGGTTTGTAAAAAAACCATAATATTTTCTGAAGAGTTTTGTTTTTCATATGAATTAGAAACTGTAAGATCAGTTGATAGTGTATGAAATAATTGCAGCAAACTGCTTGGAGAAGGTGTTGATGTATGTTCTATCGAGGAGCTGCAACAATTAGAGAATCAGTTGGAGCGTAGCTTAACCAGGATAAGAGCCAAGAAGGTATTTATTTGCACACACAAAAAAACCTGCATAATATCACATCAAACGTTCATTAAATATAACATTTTTAAATATCGATTCATTCATACATACACTCACTTACCACTTCCAATGATAATGGTTAATGAAAGTGGGATTCATTCAAATATGCTCGTTTTTTTATGCGATAGATGAGTACTATATATTTGATGTTTACTTAACATGATGGAAGTCATATGTTTATGTCTTTGCATTTTCAACTTCACATATTAAACCAAAATTCAATCTGTAACATATTTTTATTACTACGCAAAAATGTTATCTAGAACAAGAATTTGCTACGCAAACATGTTTATTAATTTAAATAAGGTCTTTAGCGATCTATGCATGAGTATATCAATAATGTGTGCATGGTTTGCATGGCTTCGCCAATCATATTATCATCCTCAAGATATAGTATTATAATAAAGAATATCTAAATGCAACTGCGTATAGTGTGGATATATGGCTTAATGATTCATTGCAATGTAAATGCAAAAGGATCGTTTCATTGAATTAGACAATAAGTATGGAACTTACATCTCTTTTGTATATTCAATTATTTTCAGTACCAATTACTCCGTCAAGAAATTGAGAAGTTGAAGAATGAGGTAAAATAAAACTCACCTTTACATTTTTTTTTTCTCTCTCTCTCTCTCTCTCTTAATGTGTGTACACATAAGTAATCAGTCCCAGCTACTTCGATTTTGAATATCTCAAAGTAAGAATAATTCTGCGTTCCTTGTCAAACGCTTAGGAGAAGAAACTCACTCAGGAAAATAAAGAACTGAGGGAGAAGGTACAATCTCTAGTTAGAAATGCTATTATTATATATCATAATTGATTATGATATATAAATAGTTTTTGATTAATAGTTTTGGTGAACTGTGTACATAATAGTGGCTTGGAATTGGAGCTATAGTAGTAGCATCATCATCATCGACCTTATCATCATCAGAAGGGAACACTGACGACAATGACGGCAATATGGAAGTGGAGACTGGTTTGTTCATTGGACCTCCTGAGACAAGACAATCCAAGAAAGCCCCTCCTCAAAATTGATCTCATAACATCTTCATAAAGACCTTTTTTTTTGCTTTTTATATGTTTTCGTCCATAAATCTGAGATGTCAATAAATTCTGAACCTTGTGTATTTAACTTGCTCTTAGTCACGTACGTGTTTAAACTTAAAAATTGTCCCTGTAAAATACGTTTATGTGACTTGTGTATTCTGACGTATTAGTTAAAATATTTTGTGTATACATATAATTTTTATAAGACATTTCTGCTGTAAGACATATATCCTAGTTTTTCGTTTCATTGATTTCTCGCAGTTACGTTGTTTGGCATGTTTTTTTTCATTTCAAGGACGATTTGTGGAAGTTAACTATCTATATGTAACTATATTGAACAAACCAAACTAAACCGAATCGGTTGACTATTATTTACGCAATCTTCTAAAGAGAATAAAAATGATTAGCAATTAGCCTTTTGGAGTGGGGGCCACACCAAAGTTAGATTTGAGTCCTGTCGCTTTCCGGCGAATTTGGTTCTGTACAGATTTCAGACATTTCCTCTTTTAGTTTGCGTTTCTTCATTGCAATTTCTATATTCTCTCTCTTCAACATCATATTCACAATGTATCCACTTTGTAACACATTCACTGCCGTGTGTTTCAAGCTTTTGTCAATATGGGTTGCATCATTTCTTCTCGGAAAAAGAAACCGGCGAAAAAAGAGTCGCCGGAGTACCGTCCTCGCTTCCACATGCCTCCATCGGAAACAAGAATAGCTGATGATGGTCAAGCCCGAAAGGTCGCAGAGTTGTTGGATATGAGTGATAAATTAGGTCCCAGGGAGCTCAAGAGAGAAGAAAGCGTTCTTGTTAATTCTCACCCTCGCTCATCGGAACTAGCTTCCTCCGGTTGGCCACCGTGGCTTATCTCCGTCGCCGGTGAAGCCCTTGTCGGTTGGATTCCTCGCCGTCAATCTCAATTCGAGAAGCAAGAACAAGTCTCTCTCTTCTCTCCCTATCTCTCCTTATTGATTCTCATTTGATAAACAAACTTCTCTGTATCTCCCAACAGATTGGTGGAGGAACATTCAGTAAGGTGTTCAAAGCTAGAGACCTTCTCTGTAACAAGACCGTAGCTTTAAAGCGAATCCGGTTTGATCTAAGCGACTCAGAAAGCACCAAGAGTATAGCCAGAGAGATCATAATCCTGCGCAAGCTTGATCATCCCAACGTCATTAAACTAGAAGGGCTAATGCTCGTGGACCACGATTCCTCTATCCTCTACATGATCTTTGAGTACATGGAACATGACCTCTTGGGACTCTCTTCATTACTCGGTGTTGAATTCTCAGAACCTCAGGTACTGTTTTATCACTTGGACTCAAAAAGCTTCCCAGCCATCAATCACATCTCTCTTCTTCTCTATCAGGTTAAATGCTACATAACGCAGCTCTTGAGAGGGCTTGATCATTGTCACACAAATCATGTACTTCATCGGGATATAAAAAGCTCGAACCTTCTCATAAACGGTGATGGAGTCCTCAAGATTGCGGATTTTGGGTTATCGACCTTCTTCGATCCTCACAACAGTGTTCCCTTGACAACCAATGTTGTGACTCTGTGGTATCGACCTCCTGAGCTTTTGCTTGGAGCTTCTCATTACGGTGTTGGTATCGACTTGTGGAGCACAGGCTGCGTCATAGGTGAACTGTACGCCGGAAAGCCTATACTTCCTGGAAAAAACGAGGTAAACCGTTACATTCCAATCAATCCTATTCTTACAAGATAAGCAAAGTCTTCAAGACTTTTTCTCTGTATTCTCCAATGTTAGACAGACCAACTGCACAAGATATTCGAGTTGTGCGGATCGCCTTCAGAGGATTACTGGAAAAAACTAAAACTAGAGCTTTCGACTCCACTGAGACCAATGTTTTCATATGGATCGAATATAGCAGAGACATTCAAAGAGTTTCCAGATCCTGTTATCTCGCTTCTAGAGACTTTGCTCTCAGTAGATCCAGAGTTTCGAGGCACTGCAGCTAGTGCTCTCAAGAGCGAGGTACATACTTGAATCTTTGGATCTTTACATGCTTCTCCTTGAAATGTGGTTCTTATGATTTCGGTTTTTTTAACTTCTTGGACAGTACCTCAAGACTGAGCCATTGGCTTGTGATCCATCTTGTCTACCAAAATTCCCTCCCAGTAAAGAAATGGACATTAAAACGCGGGACGAAACTAGAAAACAAGCTTCACAGATTAGAAGAACAGACGAGTCTCAAGATGTCCATCCAATTCTAGCAGATTCTTCACTCACAGAGCAGCTTCAGGTATCTCTGATACTAGGTTTCATGAGTGTTTTGGCAGAAATCCGAAATAAAAGATGTATGTATATGCAGAGAACGTGTTCAGATTCCAAGAGCAGTGACCATTCATCATATACAACGTCTTACGAGGAAGACGAGAGTTCTAGTTTACCAGATCAATCTCCTAGACATATGCAAACAGCAGAGGACATGATAACAGAAGATGGAACTGGAGAGGAAGTCTCTTACACGGACCCATCTAGTGAAGACAAGAATCTAGGTGGATCGACGACTATGGAGGAACACATACCTTGGCCAATGAGTCCATTTAGAGTTGACCAAACAGCAACTCTGCCAAGCGTTTACGAGAATGGGACATCTTCGTCGGAGAGAGTAGGCATCAAGCACACTCTGATTGAGGATTGTACTGTCAATTAGTAGATTCAATGGAGAATAAAGAAAAAAAGATAACATTCTTGATCAGTATCTTGTTTTTATTTCTCAAAAAAAATTGCAGAGCATAACTCAGCCGTAAAAGAAAATCCAATCCAAAAGATACAACAGATACTCTGATTTTGGGATGAAATTGTTTGAAAACTCCAAACAACTAAATTATTCGAAGAACGGTTGCCATTGAAGGGTTTCTCCAGCAAACATTGGAATGATCTCTCCAAAGGAGAAGGAGAAAGCCTCTGGAACCTTCAAAGGAACTTTCTTCAGTGTGACCTTTGACGAGTTTCTCGGGAGGCCATAGAAATCAGGTCCATTGAAGCTTGTGAAAGCTTCCAACTTGTCAAGCGCACCAGCCTTAACATTAAAGAAGTAACATCTATGAACATAGGAAAATTCCAAACCCGGGAACGTACACTGTTTCAAATTGTAAAGTTTATACCTCATCAAAGACCTTGGCGTATAAAGACAATGCAATGGGAGCACTGTAAATACCAGCACATCCGCAGGATGTTTCTTTTCTTCTCCGTTCATGTGGAGCACTATCTGTGCCGAGGAAGAACTTCTTGCTTCCACTAGTTACAGCTTTGACAATGGCTTCTCCTGTACATAGAAGTAAAAAGCAGTAATCTTCAGAGAGAAGTTGTAAGAAATGAAATCTTAATGTGTTCAGAGGAAAGTGACGAACATACGGTGTATCTCTCTTTTGAGAACGGGAAGGCAGTAGTTGTGCGGTTGTAATCCACCTTGGAAAAGAGCGTTCCTGTTGAGAAGGAGATGTTGTGGTGTCACTGTTGCACCCACATTCCCTAGAACCAGCAAAATTGTGATGATGCGTCAAGCAAGCAGATTCACAAAAACCAAAAGAGACAATGAATGAAAGCTAAGAAAGTTACAAAACCTTCTTTGCAAGATTCAACAAAGTTCACAGCATCCATGGTAGTGATGTGTTCCATCACTACTTTCAGCTGTGGAAGGCGTTGGATTAGAGGCTGCAGAACCGTCTCAATGAAGATTTTCTCGCGGTCAAAGACATCAATACTCGGATCTGTGACCTCTCCATGAACCTAACCAAAACATTCTTCAGACAAGAAAATTTCAAAGACAAAGAAAGAGAAGTTTAGTGTGCTTGTGTGATTTATTTACCAGCAAAGGCATGTTTTGTTTGACCATCTCTTCAAGTACAGGTAAGCATTTTCCAAAGAGGTCTGTGACACCATCTTGAGAGTTGGTTGTTGCTCCGGCAGGGTACAGCTTCACCGCATAAACCACACCACTTTCCCCTAAAAACGAGCTTATATAAGCATAAGCTGAACTACTTCAAGTAAAATGCCAAATTTTGATGGAGAAAACATGGCAAAGGTACTTACGGGCAAGCTTGATCTCATCAGGATGGGTTTTGTCTGTCAAATAAAGTGTCATTAGTGGATCAAAGCTACTCCCATGTGGCAAAGCTTTCATGATAGATTCTCGGTAAGTAATAGCAGCTGAAGTGGTTGTAACAGGCGGCTTCAGATTCGGCATCACAATCGCTCTCCTAAAGTTACTCGCACTACACACATTTACACAACCGTTTTCCCATCAGACAAAACACAAGCATCAAAACAAAATATAATTTGTAACTGAGTAATTCATATAGAATACCAATAACCATCAAGCAGTGATGTGAAAAGACACACACACAACACACAATCAAACTTAAGAAAAATCAAACATAAGACTGCAGGAAGTTATATGACCTGTGGGGAACAACAGCATGAAGAAGATCACCATCACGGAGATGAAGATGCCAGTCATCAGGTTGAGTGATTGTGAGCTCCATGCTTACTGTTCTCGGCTTCAGTTTCATACAAGATCTGTCAAAATCGAGTTTCTGAGATCCAAATCCCTAAAGAAAAGAATAATATTAGGTTGACATCACAATAGATTAACTGGACAACGACATGCTTCTGGATTAAATAAATTATAAATTGGGTCACATGGATTGAATAATTAGGACTAAATAAATAAAACAAAATTCAAGAGTGGAGGAGATACAGCACATACAGTAGAAGGAGAAACAAAAGTCTTTATCATCACCAAGGCTTTGCAAGATTCACCTGTTCAACTAGGGGAAAATAAAACAAGACATTTCAATTTCAACAAGTGAACCAAATGAGCGTAGACGTAAACAAGAAAATAAATTTTGCTTATTTAGAATTGGCCAAAACATCAGATTCAACGGAAATGATTCGAGTTTACTCAGGCGTTTACGTTTTCGTCATGACAATGCACTCAGATGGCCGAAATCAAAACAAAATAACATACCAAAGTAAAGTTTGCAACCTCTGAGACAAGAAAAGCAGTGATTCTGAATGAAAGAAGAGAACTTTCATAAATGAGAAGTGGACAAAACCAAAGCGTTTTCAACAATGCAGTAATGAAGACGCTGTCAACAAAAGCAATTCGCATCTGTAAGCTACTCTGGACCTCGCACTTAAGATTTTGCTTAATAATTGTGGTAGAATGTTCTTGTCGGAAAACATGATGGACGCAACGAGGTTTCAGGATTCAATAGATAAATCTTAAAACAAATACCAGAAGAAACTAAAAGAGCATCATCTCTATAAAGGTGTCATCCAATAGCTTTGGTACAGAGAAAACGAAATCTTAAAAAAAAATGGTTTTTTTTTCCAGGAACCTACCTTGAAAGAACACGATTCAAGTAAAAAGGATCAGATGAAAAGGTTGTAATGAACTTCGGAATACGAAAATGGCGAATCAATAAAATGGCTCAACACATCGGCAGATGCAAATTGCTTCGATCTGGTTCGTCGTCTTTTGTCTCCTTCTTCGAAAATCTGAGAATGACGGCGGAGGTGAAATCCGACAAGTTTGATTAGAGATCGATTTCCGGTTAGAGTTTGTAGAGATGGGTTTTCAAGAAGTTGTAAAAAAAAAAAAAAAAAAAGCCCAGTATCATCATCAAGTGGGTCAACACAAGTATATTTTAAAATTATTTTCTTTAATAGAAGCAGAAACCCACATGAAATGCTCAAGGTACAAGCATCACTCAAATCTGCACACAGAGAATACTTTCAATCTTCAGCGAGGCTCCAAATCAGTGATGGACACATCGTTAACAGAACAACAAACGGGTCTTCCTATAGATTCTGATCCTTGAAAGACATGGTTCAGTTTGCGCCAGCTTTGTGGATAAAACTTGGGTAAGCGAGGCAATGGTAGAGTGATTGTGTTACTAGTGAGCATCAGTACGATGGTTGATAACATTGGACGGTCTTCTGGATTTTCTTGAACACATAAGAGTGCTATATGGATGCATCTAGTGACTTCATCACTCTGATAATTCCTTCCAGTGGCAGGATCCACCAGCTCTAATGGCGTCCCGTTTCTCCAAAGCCTCCAAGCCTGAAACAATAAACAAACCAAGAACCCTTTGTCTCATTATGTTTAAAGATGTGAAGTTGTTTAAAAGTTGAGATTTTTATGCTCACGTTGGAGACCAAGTTTCCACAAGTACTAGTTTCATCCATCTGGTAGAGGCCACTGTTTTTCTTGCCGCTTATAATCTCGAGAACCAAGACTCCAAAGCTGTAAATGTCAGATTTCATCGAGTATTGACCATGCATTGCGTACTCTGGAGACATGTAACCGCTGAAAAACATACAACTCGGGTTTAATATGCCATAGAGAAATGTGTTTAACGAGCTTTGTGTGTGTTTTCAGCTATTGTGAGCACAACTTACTAGGTTCCAACAATTCTGTTGGTATTGCCTCGAGTTTGCTCCATTCCAACGATCGTCGACAATCCAAAATCTGCAATTTTAGGGTTCATAGCAGCGTCTAAGAGGATGTTACTTGCTTTGAGATCACGGTGTATGATTGTGAGTTGTGAATCTTGATGAAGATATAAAATCCCTCGAGTGATTCCTCCAATAATGTTGTACCTCTGAGTCCACTCTAGCTGACCTTGCTTTTCAGGGTCTGCACATTACCATGTACATTCAACCATTTTTAAAGCCGAGGAAGAATCCTCTAAATAAGCAAACTATTGAAGGGAACCATACCGAACAGGAAATAGTCAAGGCTCTTGTTGGGAACAAACTCATAGATGAGAATCTTTTCCTCTCCTTCCACACAGAATCCAAGAAGCCTAACCAGGTTCCTATGTTGGAGTTTTGACACAAGAACAGCCTCGTTCCTGAACTCTCTTGTGCCTTGTCCTGAATTTTTTGACAGTCGCTTCACAGCTACTTCAGTTCCATTTGCAAACTTACCCTACATTACCATTGAATGAAACAAACATACTCATAAACCTATTGTAACTTGGAAAAACTAGAAAACAGAAATCTCCTTACCTTGTAAACCTCGCCGAATCCACCTTCACCGAGCTTATTACTCATTGAAAACTTGTTTGTCGCAGCTTCAATTGTCTTAAAATCGTATTGAGTTGAACTTTCACTTGAAATATCAGTAACAGCTGCAAAGCAAGGGTGTGCTAGTTATGCTTCTTGTTTGTCTCTGTTTGGCTAAGGGGAAATATAACGAAAGAAAACCATAAACAGATCATAAAACTCAAGAAACTAACATCCAGCATCAGTTCTTTGGTATGGTTTTCTCCTCCGGTATAGAACAAAAGCAAGAACAAGCAGTATCAAGATGGTAACAAGAGTTGGAACGGTAATCTCGGCGACAATTGCAGCTGAGATTCCTTTGCTATCTTCTTCTACCAAATAGAGATATAATGTCATATATATTTCACTTCTTCATAGTTTTACCTGTGGGGGAAGACTTACCATTGTCAGTCGTGTTTTCCCGGTCGGCTGCAGGAGGAGGAGGAGGAGAAGCCACCGTAAGATTAAAAGCCTTGGAGTATGTATACAAATCCCAACGGAAAAAGCAGCTTGGCCGCATAATAACGCCTCCTCGCTTCTGACCACAGCATGACTGGTAGGCACTTGCGCTTTCTCGAAGACAAGTTTCACAGTCGGGAGTAGAAAGATCCGGCGTGCATTGCATCAATGCATATATATCCTCGAAACGTGTCAAGGCTGCTGTATCAGCTGCGTAATGGTTAGCACTAGACGAGGGTGAGCTTTTCGCTTTGGAGGCTGCAGCAGCCATACGAAGAACTAACTCTTCCCATATTTCTTTGAACTCTGTTTTATTTGAGGTTAGATCTCTAGAGTTGGTGAACTGTACACGCGGCTCCAGATCTGCATATCCAGAGAAAGATGTGTTGGAGTAGCGCACGTAGCAAAGCGTGAGCTCACCTGGCCATGTATACGCGTTTGTTTCGTTAGGACAGCGTGCAAATTCACCAGATGCACCCTTGATACAAGCAGAACAGTCCTCTGAAGTTGATCCTGGGATGCACATCGCTATAGCGTAGACACGGTTCGGTTCTTGCCCGACAGAACCCTTGTAGAAGAAGTCGTTTTGAGCCGTGACTTTGGAGTGAAGAGAAGAGAGGATGAGACGGCGGTTTGCGTCGTAAGTTCCGTTGGGTGTGAAATACCCATTGTCCATACATACTTGTGCTGAAACTGAAGCAACACCAAAGCTTATGAGGACAAAACAGAGGACCATGAAGGAAATCCTCTGCTTCATTGTTCCTTTTAAGATTATAGCAAAGACAAATTTTTGTGTTTTGTTTTGTAGCTGTCCGTTCCTCACCAGCTTAAACGGCAAATCGAAGCTTTTATCAGAAATATCTAATATTGAATTTGTCAAACAAACAACAGTACCTTAAACCTCCATACACGGTGATAATTAATGAAACAAGTGCTTGAATTTCCAAATGTGGACCAAGATCATTGACATAATTGAATTTTATAGCATCGGCAAGAAAAGACAGGCAATTGACATAATTGAATGTAATAGCATCGGCAAGAAAAGACAGGCAATGAAGAAGGAGTGCAAAGGAAAATTGGGCTAATGTGTCAGTGTCTTTGGTTTCACAAATAAACCCAGTTTACAGTTGGAGCAAACCACTTGATCAGGGCAAGGACGGTTTTGGGTTAAGACCGATGTTTACAGTTTCGGGATAATGGTTCTTTGAGATAATATGTGGCCGGAAGAACAAATAGCTTTTCAACCAACCGGTGTATCTTTTCATGCAAGTAACCTTTGAGTTCATTAACTTAACCAACAAGCAATTTGTTATTTTCAGTCACTGATTTAACACAAATTAAAAACGGTTTACGCCTGGATAGATTGACGCGCAGATCGAGCACTGGACATTGTAGATTTAGCAACCACAAGGAATGATTCATCAAACGAGATGATGAAATCCATCAACATAGGAGTCTCTTGTGTGTTCAGAGATTGTGGTGAGAAGACCAAACACGAAGTCAGTTCTTCATTGGCTCAACAGTCACTCTAATGACTCTTCCGGTTCCATCAAATCCCGTCAATGGCGATTCAGGTGAAGCTTCTCGGATTTCTAAGGTCAAGGTTTTCTATCACTGAGCATGAGCCACTGAGCATAAGTTTTATCTGTTTTGAGTGAACCAATTAAAGTAGATTGAACCGGAACTAAACCGGGGAGATTGGGTTTGGCTCGGCAAGTTCATTATCAAGGTTCGGTTAGACCCGAATCTGTGTCTCTTTTGTCGCAACGAGATGGCTAAGTTATCCAAAAGACTGTTAAAGCCACTTGTTAGCCCCACCACGACGACACATGGGAAACTCATGCAAAGAATGGAGAGGACACGTGGCACTTTCTCTTGCTCATAAAATTTCCAAAAGAGTGTTCAGATTTGGTGACGGAAAGACGAAAGTGTGAAACGTGAAGCAACAATCCCCTTTTAAAACACCAAAACCAACCCAATACGCATCAGAAGAACCCTAAATTCCAGGAAGAGGAAAAAACCAAAAAGAACCCTAAAGACAAAATTAAAGCTAAAGCTTCAAGCAAACGAAATCTCGGTTTGGTTTTCTTTCCTAAAGTCACAAGCTTTCGAATTTTGGTTTCAGTGTACGAATACGCAAAAAATCGCGTGGAGATTTGGTTCCGAGCCTTCACAGAAGGGTCTCTCTGTATTTAGGGCTCCTCTCTTTCAGTCGTAATTCTGAAAAATTGAAGCTTGATTTTGGTTAAAGAGAGCAGCGATGTGTAGTTTGTCGGCGACTCTGTTGTTACCGACCAAGCTGAAACCAGCTTATCCAGACAACCGGAGTAATAGTAGCAGCTCACTCTTTGTCTCCAATAGAAGATCCAAGAGGAAGAACCAATCGATTGTTCCCGTAAGGATTTGTTTCTTTAGTCATTTCGTTTTTTGTCTCGTCGTTTGATATATCATCGTTCAGAAAATTCAAGTGTGATTTAGCTGATGTACTAGTGTTCTTACAGTATCTATTTCGAGCTAGAATTTCAATTCTTCACGGCTTTCCCCTTTTAAATAAAATTCGTAATCATCACGGTTCTTGTTGGATATGGATAATCCCAAACCAAAGTTTAAGTTTTTAAACCCTAACTTTATGTGCTCAGCTATGGATTCCATATCTATGGCTCTTGTCTGTATTAAGGGAACTTGAAGATTCTTGCTTACCTATGTCTAGATTCAAGATATGATTCCTTAAATCTAAATTTTTTTAAGGGGTTTTGAATGTGGTGCAGATGGCAAGATTGTTTGGACCGGCTATTTTCGAATCATCCAAATTGAAAGTATTGTTTTTAGGGGTTGATGAGAAGAAGCATCCATCAACGCTCCCAAGAACGTACACTCTTACTCACAGTGACATTACAGCTAAATTGACATTAGCTATTTCTCACTCCATAAACAATTCTCAGGTAAAGATACCTCTCTCTGCTCTTTACATATCTACACACACTTAAACCACATAGTAGTATATATACATGCCTCTGTGTATAAGAGCAGACAATTTATGTAACTGACCATTTGAAATTATATATTAGGAGCTGATGTATTTAACTAGACCCTATGTTTTGGCCTATGTATATATATCTGAATGTAAATCTCTGGGATGTGTAAGCATTTCTGGACAGAAAGATTCATGGGATTGATCTTGAAACACAAGTGCTATTGAACAACACTACAAGGATTTAGAATATAGAAGCTGATGTACATACGTATTCTATGTAGCTGCAAGGATGGGCTAATAGGCTATACCGAGATGAAGTGGTAGCAGAATGGAAAAAAGTGAAAGGAAAAATGTCGCTTCACGTCCACTGTCACATAAGCGGTGGCCATTTCCTTTTAGACCTCTTCGCAAAGTTTCGATACTACATCTTTTGCAAAGAACTACCAGTGGTAAGTTTCTAATATCCAAGATTCTGTTTTTTTTCTTCATTGGTTTCATGTAAACACAAATGTTGATCACTATGATTGTTTTGATACATGTATATTCAGGTGTTGAAGGCTTTTGTGCATGGAGATGGGAACTTGTTGAACAACTATCCTGAGTTGCAAGAATCTCTTGTTTTTGTTTATTTCCATTCGAATGTCGATGAGTTCAACAGAGTCGAGTGTTGGGGTCCGCTTTGGGAAGCTACTTCACATGATGGTCACAGGACTCAGACTCTCCCTGAGACTCGTTGCACGGACGAGTGCAGCTGTTGTTTCCCATCTGTTAGTTCGATTCCGTGGTCTCATAGTCTTAGTAATGAAGGTGTTAGTGATTACTCTGGGACTCAGGCTGAGGGAATATCTACTCCTAATCCGGAGAAGCTCTAGTGATTTTTAAAAATCAATATACAAAGTCTTTTATTAAATTTTCCTTTTCCCTCTTTGGTGGTTTGTAAAGTCAAAAGGAAATTGAAGATATTTCCTTCTGGTGGATCTACTAATATTGGTTTGGTTGGTGTACATAATGTGGTATAGGCAAATAATGAATTATTTGTAGGTTTTAATAGTTTATAATGTTTGATATTTTGTGTCTGCTCTTATCTCTTTGACCATCACAGCAGTATCTCATTCAGTAAGATCAAAATGTAGTTGTGCCATGGAGTAGCAGCAACTAAAGAGCTGACTGGTAGAATAATAATGGATTGAAGGAATAAAAAAAAAAAAAAAAAAAAAAAAAAGCATCAAAGTTGAAGTAGAATAATTTTTTTTCGAATAATCGCAAAAGGCCCCCAAAAAACGAAAAACAGTTACCAACTTACTATGTACAGAGTTACACTTTCAAAAAGGTGAAAATTTTGACGAATACGAATAATTAAAAAGTTGAAAATATATATATTTATAGTATGAAAAAAGTAATCTCATAAGAATCATCAACAAAGTAAAGTAGTAATAGTCGTGTATTAGGACACAAGTCGAAGGTGAAACAAAGGAGAAACGTGAAGGTAAAGAGATAGGAGTGAGTGACGGCAAAAGACTTGTCTGGTTTACGAAGCGTACTGGCCACTCCTTGCTTCTTCTAATGATTCCAAATCATTCTTTTGGATTTATTTGGCTTCTTTCTTAATTGTTAAACCAAAATAAAGACGACTTTCGTTTGCTCTGACCCCATTCGTCTAATGCCTTACCTGTAATTGACAACCAACAAATTCGACAAAAGAAGAAGAAGAGAGAATGGGGGCAACGAATTATTGCATTTATTACTATGACTCATTATAAAATGGTGTGTTGTGTTTCGTAACTAAATACAACAAAATTATATATATGATATGATGTGATGTATAAAAAGAAAAATTTGAATAAAGAGATATACAATTTTTGAAAAACTTTTGTTGTGCAACTTAGACGAACCCAGATGGTATTATTATCAAAGGGTTAGATCCTTTTGCATCCCGTCGTGTGAAAAAAGAATTTGATTGACCCTCTCTCTCTCTCTCTCTCTCTCTCTCTCTCCGTGTGAAAATGGTTGGTTGAGAAGACCAAACTCAAGAGGCTGCTGTTGAAGAAATGAAAGAAACGTTTATCTGTTCTGTCTGTGTGTATGAGTTTTTTCACCGAATTGTCGTTCTACCAAAGAAAGACGACCCGATTTCACTATCCGTGTTCTGCGTATAGAGACCAAAGATCGAATCAGTTCCTCTGAAACTAGAACTTTTGAGATCATAAGATGTTAGATAAGTTGAATGATTTTTTACCTGAGATTTCGGTGATGGGAAAACATTCCAGAACCTTAAGGTTTCATCCCCTGCTCCGGTTACAATCGTCTGTCCATCAGGCGAGACCGCAAGGTACAGAACTCGGTATGTGTGACCGGTCAGAGTAGCAATCTGTACCAAAGAAAGAGATGGTTAACCATAAAAATTCCTTACTAATAATATACAGAGACAAAAATGGCCAGAGAGATATCTTACTTTCGACATGGTTGGGTATTTCCACACTATGATTTGGTTTTGGGAGTAACCGTGCGTGCTGACCAGCTCGTTTACATTCTTAGACCAAGCCAGATTGCATACCTGTAATATGCATTAACAAAAAGATGGTTATTAACCGTGAACATGACCGGTTTATGTTTCGTGAAGTCGTGTCAAGATTGAGAAATTTACCTGACTGCAAGTATCTATGGAACTTAGATGAGTGTTGGTCGTTGTGTTCCAGAAACGTATGCATCTATCAGCAGTTCCACCACCAGAAGCAAGAAGCCCATGAACATGAGGAGACCAAGCAATGGCTTTAACCGCTGCAGTGTGTTCACTATATTTCAAAACCGGTTGTGTTGAATGTTGGTTCCATACAAAAAGCTGCAAGCAAAAATTTATAACCATTTTTAGCCATAAGACTAAGGTGACAACCGCAAAATGAAGGAAGATAATAATAGTACATACCCTATTGTCGTTTCCACCAGATGCTAACTCTCTGTTGTCGTAAGACCACTTGAGTCCGCATACCTCGGATTTGTGACCTGTTAATTTACTGACATGATCTTCTTGACAACGTATGTCTCTCTGAAGAATACTCTTGTCTCTGCTACCAGACGACAGAACAGATGAGCTCCACGCCAGGGCTCCAACTCTTAGACGATGACCTTCCATTGTTCTTGTTCTCTTGCAGCGTGACGCATCCCATATCTACCAAAACACACAGCCAAAATGAATATTCCCATATAAAAAACATCATAAATTTCTCAAATCCTAAGAACTATCTGGCAAGGTTTTATATACGCTAAGATACTTTTAGCAACAAAGGATTTAACTTCACTCAGGACAATCTCTAAAAGCCCTTGATAATGCTTTTGTCGACCATATCTTATCAAAATTCCGGTAACAATGGATATAAACAGAAAGTAAACGAGATGATCTAACCTGTACTTTCCCTGTACTAGTTCCAACAGCAAGATGAGTTCCACGGAACGCCCAACCCACAGAGCAAACGCTATCATCAGCCCCGAGATCACATAACTTAGTTACCTGTTGAATTTTCAAGAGGAAGATATATCATATCAACATCAAAACAATTAGGAAAAAAAGGTTTCTTTGAAATTCGCAAGTGACAAAAAGGACTCACCTTGCTACTACAAGCGTTCCACAAATACACGCAGTTCCCTAGTCCCACCGCAAGAACGTTTTGTGCGGACCAATCAACGAGATTTAAATAGAAATCATCTTGCAAGGCTGGTGCATCCAGTACCTAACAACACACACACAAAACCTCTGTTATCATCTGTACTAACATTACAAATATCCAAAATCCAAACAACGAGAACAAGCTATGCACACTCAGAGCTATTGAAAGAACATTGAAACAACAAGCATTCATCAACAATGGTTTCATCTAAGATCAGTAACCTCAGTCTCCAGACAATCAGAGAGCAACACGTCATCAAGATCACAGAATGTGTCATGCGTCAATGGAATCCAACAACGAAAGTCAACGAGATTGAGAATCTAAGGTCTCGAAACACAAATCTACAGACATTACAAACAAAAAAAAATCAATCGAGGAAACAAAACAATCAATGTCGCAAAAATGCGTATCTACTAAAAAACACAAGCGATGATCGAGATCCGTTGTTATAAATTCGACAATCAATTTCAATCGAAACCACCCAAAAATGGAAATTAGTAATGCGCGATCCCCAGAATCGGATATGGAAAGCAAAAAAAAAAAAAAACTCACCTTATACGGCGATCGCGACACCTTCCTCAGGGCCTTGATCGGACTATGGCTAACACCGGGAGCTTCATCGGAAACATACGGCGAGAACGAGTGCAGGGACCGATTCGTCTCCGTCTTAAACCTGAATATATTCCGCGACGAAGAGAACCCAGTAATATCTCTCTTCTCCGGCGTCTCGGGCCCGAACATCGCCGCGCGCAAGAGGGTCGCGTAAGAGCCAGCGCCGTCTTCCTTACCGTCTTTTCCCGGCGAAGGAGCGAGATCGAAGAGCGCGAAATTGGATCCGGATCTACTGGGTATGAATCTATCAGAGTATATAGACCTTGATGGTGATTGAGTCTGGTTGGCATTGATCAGACGGTTGATTCGTGACTCAAGTGAGACCACCGGAGTATTCATCGACGGCGGTAGATTCAGCTGCGAAGAAGAATTCGCCGTCGGAGTCACATTGCTTGCGGTAGGATCTTCCATTGGTTTTGACTTATTTTCCTTTTTTCTTCTTCTCTTCTTCAGATTTAACAAAGGCTAAGAAGTGTTGAAACCTCTTTGTCCTTTTATTGATTTTTATTTTTAATATTTTAACCTTTTTTGTTTTTTTTTTTTACCTTTTTTCCTTTTTTAATTTTCCTTCCCGGGAAATCTCAGGGAAACAGAAAACGACATGTGAATTGATGCGAAATCAAGAGGTTGATCAGGTGATGTTTTAGGCTGATTACGTCATGATTGAATCTTAATCGTTTGATTTAGCCAAGAGAAAAAAAGTTTTAATGGGCTTAAAGCAGGCCCATATAGATCTGCCTTATTACTTATTATTATTATTAACTCCACTTTCACCCATTTTCTTCAAAAGAGTTAAACTAAAACTAGTCATCTTCAAATCTTAGATGGCAGATCCAAAAAAATAAGATAAAAAATTTAGATAAATCTCATAGATCTACCCCAAATCAAGTAAAAAAAGATTAATATTAGATCTGAATTATATTGAAGTGTTTAAAAGAAAAAAGCAAAACAAAATCTTACTAAAATGAATGAATATTACTTGCAAGTTGCAATGAAGAGTGACTGTGTTTTTAAGTGATTTGTTTTTTATATTACGTACATCATTTAATTAAGTAAACTAGACAGTTGTAGCCATGAAGGAAAGATATTTGTATGATATAATGAAGAAAAAAAACAAAGGAGAATCAAATAAATAAAAATAAAAGAGAATAAAAGAGAATTTCTATGTAATTACGATGTTTGGTGAAAACAGCAGCTTTCACGTTAACAATAATAGCTATTAGCTAACGTCTAAAGAGGTGTCCCTTGCCCCTTGGTGATGTGTGGATGGAAATTCTGTAAACTTTTCATAATTTATTTTGTTCGAGAAATCAGAAAAAAAAAGATAAATCAAAATGGAAAAAATAAGCATCAATATAATTAAATTTTGTAGTGTGGAAGTTTGGAAGACTATCAGAAATATTTAAAGTTTCAGTTCATTGCCAATGTAAATTGAAAAAAGAAAAACATATACATAGTACCATTAAAAGTGAAAAATGCTTCATTCTGTAAAAGTCTTCACTTTTGCAGAGGGAAAAAGAAAACAAAAGATTCTAGCCGTTTAAAAAACAAAATGTAGATGAAATTTCATTTTGGTTTCATTTAAATTAATTATGTAAAAATATATATGTTAAGAAACTCAATTAACACAAAACAAAATTGTGAAAAATCAGAAAATAAAATATAATCTATGGATAATGATTCAAATGACTGTTTTTATACCTATCATCGGCACTTATTGGAAGAGTTCTAGTTCCAGAAGCAGTAGGAGCCCTAACATGACCCACCATTGAAACCTGAAGAGCTTCTTCTTCGTAAGCTCTTCTCTCCATTTCTTCTCTCTCCGCTTTCTTCTTCACCTTCACCAGCATCGCCACCACCAACATTCCCAACAGAATTGCTCCAATCCCCGACCCAATCACACTCCCCACCGCCACTTTCCACCGGCTCAACTTCCCTCCTCCACCGCCTTCATTCACCTCCGTCGATGACGTCACCATCCCACCACCATCATCTTTTCTTCGACTTTCTATTGTCATCACGAGAGCATAATGTCCTTGCCTCGTTCCTTTACATACATAAGGCGAAACTTGATCACTAAACGTTGTGCTACCGTTGCTTGTGAAACACGCACACAGGACTGATGAGTTCTTCTTCGTCGTCTTCGAGTTAAGGTTACCACTTTCCGTGCTGTTCAAGAAATCGATCAAAATTGGGTTTTGATCGGTTCCGGCAACGTTAACCTCGAAAGGGTTCGTGGCTACACCGTCAGGGTTAGCATTGTAAGCTAATAAACCAAGTACCGGTGACACGAGCTGGTAATTGTAACCGGTTAAGTTATAACCGGTAGAGTAGATTGAAGACCAATTGGAGCCGAGGTTTTGTCTAACCAACATGACTCTCTCCGGGCATGGCTCCACCGTCACGCCTGAGCCGATGTGAAACTCTCCGATTCTTGCACCGTATCTTCTCAAACTCCCGCACCTTAACTTGACCGTATCGATGTCAATGCCGGAGAAATTAGAAGGGAGGTGGATTTTCTGTGTGGTGCCTGTGTCGAGATTTAGCTTAAAGTTTCTAATGGTGTAATCTCTGATCATGAGATCAAGAAGATGTGTAGATTGGATAGATTGAGACTCAGATTGGTGAAATGATAAGAGAAGTATGGTGATGATGATGATGATGATAAAGATCCTTGATTTGCAAAAAGAGAAGGAATCCATGAGAGGAGCCAGAGATTCTAAGGGTTTGCAGAGGAAGTGAAGAAGAGTAAAGAAAGTTTGATTGTGTTTTACTTGGTGGGGATGTGTTTTGTAGACAAACATTATAAACACTTACACTTCATTTGTCAGAGTTCTCTTTTACCTTTTTTTAGAAAGATATATGATAATTGTTAATTAAGCATATGACCGTTCTAACGTAGAAATTTTAAATGTTCTTTTTTTCATATCCAACATAAAAGCAATTGATACTTTGATAGGTCTAGTGGAGGAGAAAATTGGGTTAATGATGATAGAGGCATGGGAAGATGATGATCATGATTACTCTTGTGCTAATTATAATTCAAAAAAGGAAAAAATATAGAAAATTATTTTTAAACAAACCAGAAAAAGAGAGACATTGGCGTGCAAATATGTATGACTTTTCCTCTTTTGTGTAATGGTTATAGCTTTGTCTGTACTTTCATTATATGTGTTCTTGACTTTAGTTCTCTTATCAATCAATCTCTTTATGTGTTACACACCCGTTTGAATTCTTTTACACCCAAATTCACATTATGCATTTACTCATAATTGTTGTTGAGGCATAGAGCATAACTTTATGTTAACGGTGTGAAGACCCAACGACCGAACATACACTTATCAACGAGTGGGTGGAAGAAAGTATGGTAAACATTTGCAGTGGATAGAACTTACATGACGAAAATTATAACTAACAAAATTTTGAGAATTTAAGGTATTTACTAATTGTTTTTCATGTGATTTATTCTTCTTATTTGTTTTTAGCACTGTTCTCGTTTGTTACAGCAAAAAAAGAATTGTAAACACATGAAATTTTATCATAATATAGAGCGGCGAAAAGTAAATGTTCCTCTCAGACAGAAGGTGTATCACATAAATAACATGTGCCTTTTGATCAGATTGTACAATTTTGCAAGTACATAAGAAGAAAAAAAAAACATTAAAACTAAATGTAATTTCATTTGAAATTATAAAGTTAATGGCTTTTTAAAAGTTTCACCATTGAGATAAATTAAAAAATCTTAATTAGAATTTGATTGGGGAAGTTTTTATTTATTTTTTCTTGGATTTGGTTGATTTCATTTAACATATTAATGATTTGTATTTCCCATAAAAGGATGATGAAAGAAGTATTCATAAAATAGTTCTCTTATTGCTTACACAATACTTACAAAGCAGAAAACATGTGAAGGAGGAGAGAGCTAACATGGAGGATCATAAATATACAGCATCAAATCTATTTTTGCTTCTGACAAAGCCCCATTCTTTCTTTTTCTTCCATCTTCATCTTGCTGGAAATAAAATCATATTTAACTATCTTAGATTCCCATCTTAATTTAAAGAGAGTAGTAGTAATTAATCAGAATTACTATGTACTATCTTATGTGTACCTCACAGGGTTTCAAGCTTGGCTTCCTTCTGGCAATGTGATCAACCGAGAACCAGAGTCAAACTCCATCGCGGTTCCACAGCTAAAACCAGAGATGATAAAAGATTCAAATACTGTTCTATGTTATGTTCCTTTTGAAATAAAGATCGAGAGCTAAAAATCTTACTTTGTGCATTTAACAGCGTTTGTTTTACCGCCACTGGATATTGACAGAATTGTTCCAAAGAAGGAGACATTCTCCGTTCCGCAATTCGGACAAGGACCCTGAGAAACAAGAACATTCTCATAAAGGACTCTGTTGTTGCTTTTCTTTTGCAATCAGAGTAATTAGTTTTCTTACCTTCAAGATCAAGAAGTCTTTGATGATCAGTTTGGTGATTGATAGAGCCAGATATACAATCAAAGGCACGGCAGCGAACCAAGTGAATATGAAACTGTATGGTTCTGGAAGCTCCAAGATGTATGTGATCTCAAAGCCTGTAATGTCGTCCAGGAAGAAGAATCTGGAAGTATGAAAACAAAACATGTAAGCAAAGACAATTCTGAAAAGAGATTTGAATGTTCGATAGAGAGGAAGAGAATCGTGTAGAGACTCACAGGCCGAGAGCAACAACGGTCGCTGGAACATTCAGCAAAAGCATTTTGAAATAATCTACAGCAAGATCACTATACACCTGCAGGTTTTGAGGAAGTTCACAAGACTGTTAAATATCTCTCTACGGTCTACAACCTGAACAACGATCTTGTAATGTATTCACCTTTTTACTACGGAGACTGCATCTTGGACCCTCGCACACAATCTCGCTACTATCCATCTATAACAGCAAATAGAATCATTAAGGAGTCTTATTTATTAGGACAAGTCTATTTTGAGTGAAGCATAAAGGGAATGGAACCTTTAGTTTAAGTTTCAGCTTATCATATTCTTCATCATTCAGGATTGGATTTCCAGAAACATAAGCCATTGAAGCTTCCAAGAACCTTTGTTCATCAGAACCTGAGTTTCATCATATCAATCCCCAAAAAAAGATCAGGACTTTACGCCTAAGAAACCAAAACAAAGATATATGAAAAAACGTGATCATAGTTTGATTACTTAGCATCACAACACTGCTTCCTTCCCACGTCAACTCTTCTTTAAGGTTATCGAACTCCTCATTAGACATGATCGCTTTGCCATCGTAATAGAAAGACTGCCAAAAAAAATAATAATAAGTTATCATACTCTCGAAGATTTGTTATTTATCATTGGTTTTTTTGGTATAGACAAAGGATAGTTTGATGGTTTATGTAGCGTTACTTGCATCGCTTGGAGAAACTCTTGTTCCATTTCACCAATTGATTTCTTTTCAGCCTTGTTGATGCTACAATAAGGCATGATATTGCTATCCACGTCCTCTCCTCCTACTTGACCTTATAGGCAAGACAAAAAGACTGTAAACTCAGAACTTAAACACAATCAAATACAAAGTCAATACCTTATTGTTGCAACCTATTAGTAAAGTAGACAGCTTTTTGGAATTTGCAGAGATTATGGTACAGGAATAAACACTGAATCGAGATTATAGCCACTGAATCAATCAAAGCCTTGAGCAAATGCGATTGAGAGCTGAAATTTAACAGGGTTTCGAGCCACAATACTATAAACTAGTGACTGAAAAACTTCGATCACTAAAGCTTCAGCTAGATTTGGTGGAAGAAGAAATCTACCACTAAATTCTAAAAGGCTCCATCTTTGTAGAATCAATTGTGAACGGATTCTAGGTAAAGGATGAAAATTGAAGACCTGATTGCTCTGTGGTGGCTTTTGCAGGCAATAAGAAGGATCTTCTTCTCAAGGAAATCGATCTTCCAGGGCTGAGCTGATCCCATTGAGTCCTCGGCGACGACGACGACGGAGGAGAAGGAGAAGAGAAAGAAGTGGTGGGTTTGCGAGAAACGGCGGAGAAAAGTCGAGGGCTTGTCAAATTGAACAACATCTTGCTACCCATTTTCCCCGGGAGAAGCAAGGAGAGATCCTTTTCCTCTGTTTTCCGGGAAGGAACCTGTGGTTGAAGATGAGTTACTGTGAGCTTCAGGTTCCTTCTGATTTTTTTATTTTATTTTAATTCAATATTTTATTATTTATTTATTTAATTTAGTAGAGAGGATTTGGAGGGAAGAAATTAGGAAAGATAAGAGAGGTGTGGAGATGAATTCCTAGGCAGATCTCTGATATTTTTTCCCCCTCTCATCTTAAAGAAAAAGAATATCCACGTCAGCAATAAATATCCCACCTTTCTGTATTTTTTGTAACTTTATAAGAATTTTATTTACTTTAATATTTTTTAAATGATACAGTGATTTCTCTTTGTATATAAAAAACTTTGAAGTACTAATTTACTTTAGACAAACAAATGTGATATTATTATTTCCTTTGTTCAGTTGATCTTTTATACAATTAGTCTTTTTGAAACTGAAACCAGTCAAATACTCAAAATGTTTTTAGTGATGCTAAAAATTACAGAAATTATGATAAAATGTGGACATTAAAAATAAAATAAAAAGGTGGATAATGTACAGACACCTATATTGATTGAACTATTTAAAGGTGGACACGTGGAGATACGATTTAGGCACGTGCACACGGACGCAGAAGAAACGCCACCAAAAGTCTGACGTTGATAGTCATCGGTTTAACTCTATTGGGCTTCTTTTTTATGGGCTTTTAAATCCAAAGCCCTTACCAAGCTAGGACATACTGTAGTAACTTCTCTTCCAGAATTAAAAGAAAACTTTTTTGACCGTTGGATCTCAAGGATGGTGAAACCATCAGTCAACCTCTCTCGTTGACCTGACCGTGAAGTGTGTTGTCACTCACTCACCTGTTCTTCCTCCCTACCCAACCGGTAGCTCCACACTTCCTAATTCCTTGATTAATTCTTAATTCTAATGGAAAATTAATATAATTATCTTTGTTATATAAGAAAGCCTCTGCATATATTTCATTTGACATGCAACAAAATCGGCAAGAAGAATAGTAGAACAAAGTATTTATTCGTTAGTTATCTTACACACTGTTTTTTCCTCTGCTTTATTAAGTTTCTTTACTTACTTACTCTGTTTCTTTGCTCTGTTTTAGCTTTTAAAAGAAGACAATAAAGATGGCTGCAGTAGAAAGAGTGGAGAGTTTAGCCAAAAGCGGAATCAAATCTATCCCAAAAGATTACGTTCGTCCGAAAGAAGAGCTCGAGAGCATCAACGACGTTTTCCAAGAAGAGAAGAAAGAAGAAGGTCCTCAAGTCCCCACCATCGATCTACAAGACATCGAGTCAGAAGACGAAACGATCCGCGAGAAGTGCACAGAGGAGCTGAGGAAGGCGGCTATGGATTGGGGAGTGATGCATTTGATCAACCATGGTATACCGGTCGATCTAATGGAGCGTGTGAAGAAAACCGGAGAAGAGTTTTTCGGTTCTCCTGTGGAAGTGAAGGAGAAGTATGCCAACGATCAAGCCACAGGGAAGATTCAAGGGTATGGAAGTAAGTTGGCTAACAACGCGAGCGGACAGTTGGAGTGGCAAGATTACTTCTTCCATCTTGTTTATCCTGAAGATAAGAGAGATCTAACACTTTGGCCCAAGACACCAAGTGATTACATGTAAGCTTTTGATTCGTTTGTTTTATCATTTATAAAACAAAGTTCTTGCTTTGGTTATAGTAACGTTTTTTGGATGATTGTAGTGAAGCAACGAGTGAGTACGCGAAGTGTCTTCGTTTGCTAGCGACAAAAGTCTTCAAGGCTCTTTCTATCGGTCTAGGGTTAGAGCCTGACCGTTTAGAGAGAGAAGTGGGTGGTTTAGAAGAGCTTCTTCTACAGATGAAGATCAATTATTACCCAAAATGCCCTCAGCCTGAGCTAGCACTTGGCGTGGAAGCTCACACCGACGTTAGCGCCTTAACCTTCATTCTACACAACATGGTTCCAGGTTTGCAGCTATTCTACGAGGGCAAATGGGTCATTGCAAAATGTGTCCCCGACTCGATTGTGATGCACATTGGAGACACTCTAGAGATTCTTAGTAATGGCAAGTATAAGAGTATACTTCATCGTGGGTTGGTGAACAAGGAGAAGGTTAGGGTTTCTTGGGCTGTGTTTTGTGAGCCACCAAAGGAAAAGATTGTTCTTAAACCGTTGCCGGAGTTGGTGACTGTTGAGTCTCCGGCTAAGTTTCCTCCAAGGACATTTGCACAACATGTCGAGCATAAGTTGTTTAGGAAGGAACAAGAGGAATTGGTGTCTGAGAAAAAAAGTTGAAGTTTGAGTCTAATATGAGTAAAAACTCCATGTTAAAGTTTCTCGTTTCTTTTGTGTTTATGTCTTTATCCTGTATTTGATGCGTCTTGTTGAAGATGACACGAAATATTTCTACCGATTGTGAAATTGTTAAAAATTTCACTCTATTATAAGTTGGTTTTATGTATCGCCGAAGTGACAGATGTTGGAAGAAATCTAGTCATTGGAAACTGTATTACATTCGTGCTAATTGCATTTCTTTTCAAGTTTAAACCAAATTAGTGGAACGTCTCCGGTTCTAGTCTGTGTGACTTAGTTATAGCTTGGTGAATAGTAAAGGAAGCTCAGTAAATACGAGTAACATAGAAAGATATTTATGAACCACATTGTTGTATTAAGGACTTGAGAATATTCTGATTTACATTTCCAGTTTGTTCTTTTTTGTTATGCTACTAACTGTAAAAAAACTACTCTTCTCCCTCCTTTAATGATAATTGGCATTCCCTGCTTGGAAAGAGTTCACTCTATTTTCCTTGAAGACCTTAAAACCAAGAATAGATTGCACAACTCAATGATTAGTGTTGGAAAATAGAAAAAAAAAAATCAAAAATTGAGTTTCAAGTTTCACAAGGCTGCACCTTTGGTTGACGAAATCTTGTGAGAGATCCATTGTTTTGCTGGAGCTCCGATTTGATAGAGAGCTGCACAGGTTTAATACGGGTCAAGAGAGCGTATACAAATAAACTAGAGTGTGTTTAAGAAAGATCCATTACATCAAACCATGAGCTGTACCTTGCTGAAAAGATCTGTTGGTAAATCTGGCTGAACTCTCTTTTCCGAATGAAAACTAAACTCCTGTGTTTGCATTCCCAAAACAGTTTGCATCCTCATCAGGTAACTCAATTTTACAGACATACAGAAGATCAAGCGCAAAAAGAATAATTGGTAAAGACTACCATACCAAAGGTACTGTTGTTTCTCGCTTGCTGTTTTTGAAAATGCCCATGTCTCCTCTGCTTGAGAGTATCTGTTTTGCAGGAGTGTGAAACTATGTAAGGTGTGACACGTATAATTAACGCAAGCGAAATGAGACTCGAGAAAGGATAATACCTTCTTGTTCAGAGGACGAGCTTTAAAAACGTGTTTTCCCTCCGAGACATCATGCTTAGGTATATCCATAACGCTTGGTCTGCAAGAAAAAAATACACTTTTATGTTTACATTCACTTCAACCACAAGTTGAAGTGAGAAATCAAGCAATCCTTCTTAATGTTCCATGTGACTTTATGAGTCATACCTCCTCCTACTCTCCCTGTTAACTCCGTCGAGCGAATCAGTTATATTAGATTTATCTGACCCCTGTCAAAAAGAAGTTTCACTTTTTAGGGATTTAAGGATCAAGTTGTTTTAGACGAGAGAAGAACTTGTTAACATCACATGAAACGTGATAAAACTAATACAAAGCAATATTGTTGCTACCTTATACGCATCATTCCCCTGATTAGACCTTGTTGTTACTGCTGAAGAATGTTGCATAGCTCTTTCTGAAGTCTTCAAATGGAATTCCTGTTAAGGGAAGTCAAGAAATATAATCCTGAGTCTTGCACCAGAGTATTGTGTGGAAACAGTATATATCAATTGAGACAAATTCATTTCTAATGCTTACTTGGAATTGAGGTAGTTTTGGAGTGCTCTTTTTCCGGATGGGCAATGAAGGAGCATCAAATATCTAGAGGATCACAAACGAGCTTGAGTTGAGCCATGACAAAGAAATCATTTCCAGTAAGCATTTCTTAGTAGCAGACACAAAGTTACAAACCTTTCGGTTAAATGGACGTGCTTTGAATCTATATACAGCGGCTGAGTCCTGTTCTACCTTCGCATCATTCTTGTTCCTGAAATTAATCACGAAAACATCTTGTGAGATGTGATATTTCCTGTAACAATTCACTTTTATCAAAACATTAAGGACCTAACTAACCGTATTCTGTGAGCCCTCTGTGATGTAGCAAAATCAGGCTCCTGTGGAATCGTAACCTTTGTCCTGGCATGTTGTGAGTTTCTATCAAGAGTTGTATCCTGCAAAAAATCATTTAGAAAACAATTGAACAATTTACATCTAAGTGAGAGCTATCTTTCACTGAAACGTTTGATAATTCCAATTCCACATACAAACACTTTTTAGACTCTATAAGCAAGATCAAGAGCATTCATGCAATAGATAGCAAACACTTTTTAGACTCTATGAGTAAGATCAAAAGAGCATTAAAGCAATAAATAGCAAACCTTTTTATTAGGTATCTTGTGTACAAAACTCACTTCCTGCTTCGTATCAGCAACCTGAAACGGATAAAGATGACTTTTTTATTGCCACTAGTTTCAGCACCTATTGTTAAAAGGAACTGATAACTACTAACACACTCTACCTTACGAAGAAGACCTCCATCAAGCTTCTGTCTTTTAGCCGCTTGAACTTCGGTCCCAGCTGTCCCACAAAGGCCTTTCTCAGAAATTTGATCCACTTGCATATGGAATTTACTATACCAGCAAAGGAAGCTACGAATTAGGTGAAAAGGATTAAAATGAAAGAAGAAAAGTAAGTAACAAGATTTTAACATGATACAACAGTCACCTAGCATTATTTTGTTTTGCTAACTGGCTAGCAGTAGGTCTCATTAACGTCGAGCTCCTTGGAGTTGGTCTGATGCTTGACTTAGCTCGGAATTTCGGTTTATCGGTTTGCTTGTGATTGCTAACCGTTGGCCCTGGTACAAGTAGATAAAAGTGAGACCACAAACAATAAAGTAAATACAAAAAATGGACCACATCTCAAAGGTACTAAAGAAAAATCTAACTGATGCAGTGTTAACTTATTTCCATAATTCAAGATATACTATAATTGAACTACATGCATGCTCATGAAGAATCAAATCAAACAAGGATACTTTCTTCAAGTTACACTCTTAAGGAACTTTTACTTGAGCTATAACAGCAAAAAAAATTTATCACCTTTGGATATGGGTTGATTTGGAACTTTCTTCAAGTTACTACCTTGTTGGGAGGAGAAAATCCCAAAACGCATTCCATTTCCTGAAGAATCAATCAAACAAGGATACTTTCTTCAAGTTACACTCTTATTTTACCATAATCAACTGGTTAAACTGCTTAATTAGATGCAGATACATAATCCAGATATCAATTTATTCACCTGTTTTATTCAAATCTGTGGCTAAATATGGCTGCTTGTAGATTTCTCTATCCTTCTTATCACAAACATCTTCTGTGACTTCCTCATCCTCTGGTTTCGCTGATGCCTCGGCCTTTTCATCAGAAAACTCCTCACTAAGTAACAGTTTTGTTACGAAAGCTGAAACACACAAAGCAATTAAACATCAAATCAACCTTCATCCTAATCGTGGTTGCTGACTAAAGGGAGTATGATTAAGAGTCAGCAAGGACGAAAATTGAAAAATGTAGGATCAAAAATGGAATTGTGATCAAAGCAGACCATGAGTACAAGCATATCAGTGATCACACTGTAAATCTAAGTTTCCGATGAATTCCTAAAGATGGATCATGGAACGATTAAGCATTGTAAGGCATTGCAAATGACGATATACGGTCTTTAACAGAGTTTACCACCAGAATCAATCAAAGAAAGAAGAACAAATTAAGAGATTTAGCCTAAGCATTCTCTCTTATTAGAGGCTACAATCGAAAAGAAGGCTAAAACGAAAACTTGAGGTCTATAGAGTATGATGACACTCACGAGAGGGAGGGTACGACGGAGCAGAATGAAACCAGAACTCGGCGGCCTGAGAATCCGCCGGTAACTCCATTCGAGTGAAATCGTACCACCGAGCCGCATCAAACTCGTACTCCAGATCGATCTCTCTGGCCTCGAACACCGTTGGCTCGATTTCCATATCTTCATCCATCTCCATTTCTCGCTCTCTCGGTGAAATCTCCAGTCACTTTCTCTCTCCCTCTCTCTTTCCTTGAGAGGAAAATGCAACTCCTCTAATCAAAGCGCAGAAAATCACTGATCTCTTTCTTCTACAACAGCCTGAAGTCAGCACATGGAATCAACCAGACAATACCCTAATTTTCTACAGAAATCTCTGATTCATTGGGTCTGATGAGGAGGAAGCAGAAGGCAGTGAGAGAAGAAGAAACAAGGAGGAAGCAGAAAAGGAAAAAAACGGCACAAATTTCGCTGTTTCAGAGATTTTGGTTTAGCGACAAAACGGCAAACCATTATTCAATTTTCCATAATAAAAAATAAGGATCTAAACGATAAAACGACATCGTATTCGAGTGATGTACAACCACTCAGAAGCACAAAAGCATGGACGCTCCGGTTTTTGTAACGACTCGAAATTTTGAATTTTAATTAGACTGAGGATAAGACGATAATACCCCTACGAGTGAGAGAGCGTGAGGGTGTTTCCGTAAATTCAGACTGGAGAGCGCATATTTTTTTCTCCTACGTGGGTGCTTCGAGGCGCGTCTGGGTCTGCGAGCTTTCTTGGCTTTCGACGAGACTGTAATTCCGGCGGGATCAAACTTTACCCTTTACTTTTGTGATTATTTACGTATCTGCCACTAACGGTTGTGTTCCTTTGTCAGGTATGACCTGGCAAATTGCGCTTTCTCAGTGAAAATTTGAGAATATATTTATGGACATAAGTAATTTAAAGAATATAGGAACAAAGTAAAGAAATGTACTGTAAACCCCCTTATTTTAGGAAAAAATACGAACTTGAAGATTCAAACAAATTTAAGGAAAATTCAATTTTTGACTCACATACAAATTATAAGATGAAAAAAAAACTTAAACAACATGTTTTAGACGTAATTTTTTACAGAAAAATTAGAAATATGAATATTATATAACTGTAATTCTAATCTGCCCTTTTTGTTGTAGTTATATATGTGGAAACTAACAGTTTATTGCATTGATATGGCATCTAGTCGGAAATTATAAAATTTCTTCTTGGAGTAACATTTTCAAAACGATAAATAAGTATATATTAGATAAATATTTTGAAATCAGATGATATGAAAATGAGGTATGAGTGTACACAGCGTGACGTTGACTGTGAATTAAATAATTTATCCATCATTTCTTAAAGCAAAACTTGACATTTAATAGGTTCCTATGGGAGTACACAAAGACCCAAATTTGTGTAAAGAAAAGGACAAATTATCAATTTTTTTGGTTCTTGGGGTAGGACAAATTTTCAAAATCCTGTATATGTTTTTTAGGCATAAGTTTGTTCAAAGTGTTTTGGGTTTTGGACCAAAGCTACTTTTGGGAGTACAAAGATACATTTATTTGGGGAGGAGGATGGTTGAACATTTTCAGAGGTAGTAAAAGAAAAATTTACTAAAAATGGAAAAAGTAAAACTTCATATTTATGTTATGATATCTACTGCTTATATGCAATGTTTTCATATTGCACTATGTTATTTGGTGTATGTTCATTTAATTGGGCTCACATGATCCTCATGTCAGTTCTTTCCATAATCATAGATTTGTAGTTTTCTTCTTCTTTTATCCATCAATTAATATGTTCAAAAGAATTGAATTTACATTCAAAATATTAAACTTTACTCTGACAAGTATTCAAATAAAATTGATTGGAGTTGACATATACAGGAGAAAGCAATATTAGCATCAACAGTAGAAAAGTACATCATATATTGATTCTCTCATTTTATCGTTTCCCAGTAAGATTGCATATAAAAACGATCTTTTCATTCATGTCACACATCAAAATTAATAGAACAAAAATTAAATTAAATTACGAAGGGTGTTAGATTTTTTCCCTCTGTTCATACTTGTTAACCATATTTTTTCTTTTTTCAAGGCTGATAATAAAAGAGATGAAGAACCAAGGAGACAGAAAAAACCAGAGCTCTTTCACATCTTCTTGGGGCAGACCTGAACAGTGTAAAGAGTGAGAAACAAGAGATGTTTCAGACTAAAAGCAGAGAGCTAAAAGCAGCTCAGAGTTTGTCACGTGGGTTTACTGCAACAATGCTTCTTCCTCTTTCTTCATGGTCTCCAGCTGTCTTTTCGCATACTTGGTGATGAGAATCGTTGTAGCTACAGTTCCTAAAAAGCCGAGAATGTTGAGAATAACCTGTGTAACCGAGAGACCGTGTTCTTCTGCAGAAGATGCTTCTGCTAATGTCTTTACAAGATTCCCTCTGCAACACAGAAACGAGATATTTCACTGATCAGTGACGATGCTACAGGATCCCAACAGTGAAAAGGAACTTTTACTTAAGCTCTTCTAGAAACAAAATGCTAGGCACAAGCTTAAACTGTTCTAAGGCTTCTTTTAAGATGTTTTTATGTGCAATGATCACTGCTTCAAACGGTATTGGACCTAACCAAAAAAATTTGGAATATGGAATAAGAGAAAGAAACCTGACTTACGTATAGATTGCGACAAACACCTCAGGCACCATGCCTAAGAGAGAGCCTGTGATGTAAGGACCGTACTTAACACGAGTTGCTACAGCACAGTAGTTATAAAGGATGTAAGGGAATGGAGAAACCCGGATTAACGTTACTGCTCGAAACTGGTGAAACCAATTCCCTTCACCAGCAGCTCTTAGAACCACTGCTTGATCAGGATATCTTTCTAGCCATCCCTGTACAATCACGAACAAAAAAAAGACACATACAGATTTCAGTAATATGACAATTTGCGCAGTTACATTCCCAAACTGCAACTACATTGATAAAAAAAAATCATCATTTGAGGAAACGAAAAAAACAATGTTTATCCTGGTTTCAAGTTCAACCTGACGGCTTTAAAGTCAAGTATTGGTGGCTTTTGAGTTTTCTACGCCTGCCTCGTAACTTTCTAGTACTAAGATTGATTCAAGTGTAAAGGAAACAGATTTTTCTCTCAGGTTGACACATACTTGAATTTTGTGGCGGAAGAGATGTCCAATGAAGTAAGGAAGTGACACACCAACAGCTGCAGCTGAAATAATCAGTAGAAAGCCATAGCCATAGCCAAATGTCATCCCAGCAATCCACATGGACGGCGTAGATGGAAGCAGTATTGTCGGGAATACAGCCACGGATGCAAAGACAAGAAGACCGCACACGGGATGTGTAAAAGTCCTAATCTCCCATTTTATAATCGGGATAAGCTCCTGCAAACAATACAAAGTGGATGATAATTCCCCTCGTTAGGAGATAAGAACACGGAAAAAGAAAGTACACATATGATCTCTAATGCAAGAACTCTCAGGGTTTGTTATTATATAACCAGGCAGCTAATACATTAAGCATTCATGCATTTTTTTTGATCAACTTGATTTTAAATCCACCGAAAAAACCTCAAATCAACTAAACTTTCAGACTAATACACAATTAGACTGCAATGCTTACTGCAAAGACTAACTAAAGTGTTTCCAATAATAATCTAGAAACCTGTGTTCTAACCTCAATGGCAAACACTATGCTAACTGAAGTTAGAATCTTCTTCGATACTAAGAAAACCCATCAAAGCTAACACCACTACTTAAAAGGATCTTCTTTTAAGAGTGAACGATCATGAATCGAGACTTTAGTCAGACTTAATCGCCAAGAATAGAACTTTTTCGAGAATGATAACTTAATAACACAAGAAACACTAATGCAACCGCGAGTAAAGGGTAAAGAGAGAGAGAGAGAGAGAGAGAGAGAGAGAGAGAGAGAGAGAGAGAGAGAGAGAGAGAGGGAGAGAGAGAGAGAGAAATTGAATCTGATGGAAGTTAAAAATCAAACCTTATCCATGATTAAAGGACCGACCCATCTGTAACCAACGAAGGCCAATGCAGCAAGGAAGGCGAATAGAAGAGCAAGCTTGACCCGGAACCAAAACGGCGACGAAGCAGTCTCTTCTTCTTCTTCTTTCTCCTGCTCTGATTCTTGAACATTCTCTAAACCCTCCTCACTCAGTTTCACATACGGCCCTTTCCCATCTTCGTATTCTTCGACTCTCAGCTGCAGCTCAAGAGCCGCTTTTTCGTCCTCCGGGCAAGTCATCGAATGCAATCCAGAGACCCTGAGAAGGAGGATACACTGGCCAAAACCTAAATCGACTGGCTTTCCCGATTAAACCGGGAAAACCCAGTGATCGGAAAAATTCGGCCTTCAAAGACGGATGCAATCGAACGAAAACAAATTGATGTATAGAAGAGAGAGAGAGAGAGAGAGAGCCAATTTGGCGATTCGTTGTTTACAGGAAGATTTCTCCTTGGTTTGTATATTTGCTTCTACCGATTACCCCAACGAGTATTTTCAAAAACAATTGACAAAAAAAAAAAAGTAAAGGAAAGTATTTATATCATTTTATTTTATTTTATTTTGGCTCAACGAAAAAAAAAGATGCGGTGAACTCGAACACGCGACCCTAGAGTCGAATAAACGACCCTACGCTCTACCAACTGAGCTATCACCGCATTATTCAAACTTTTGATAATTTACTATTTAGATTTCTTGGTGTGAAATAAATATAACCCTTACTTCTCATAGTTTTCCTTATACTGTATACTTTTAATTAATTGTTCTCTTAGATAAATTTAAACTTGTGATATTTTTCTATTAAAAACAATGCAAAATTTTCGGTTTTTTTATACATTATAAAACTGTATTTTTTTTTTTTAATCATTTTCTTAATTTTATAGCTTAATACTGTATGTGTAGACACTTGTGCAAAAAACAGGTTGGATGGTTCAAGACGATTATGAAGCGGGTGAAGCAATAAGAAAAGCTCTTAGATGATGCAAGTTTTACTGTAAAAGAACTGAAAATATGATGACAATATGCAAGGAGAGATGTGTATTTCTCAAGCCCAGCTAAAAACAATTCTTTTCAAAATTTCACGTTTATTATAAACATCGCAATTTTGCTTTTTAAACGGGCCGGGCCTTGAATCCCGTTAACTTCTCTGTTCTCTCTCCTTCTCCTATCTCGGGATCTTCCCATACCTTTGGGAGATTCGCCAGTAATTCTTACGCCAGACTCACTGAAAAATCGAGCTCACGATCACGACGAACTCGAAAGAAAAATAGAAATGAGCTTCATCACTACTCCCATAGAAACCCTACACCTAAAATCAACACATCGTCTTCTACCACGAGGTTTCCCTGCTGCTTATCGAAGTCAACGGATTCAAGTTTTCCCGCTCAGCACCTTCTCCAACTCTTCTCTGACTTCTCCAGTTCGCATTGAGTCGATTTCTCAAGGTTTGTTCACCTTAATAATCGATCTCCGGCTCGTTTGGTTTGTGGGTACCTGCAAATTCTTCTTCTTTTTCTCTCTCTTCCTCGTCGTTTGCTGAAACTTATAGGTGGCGGATCGAGATATTTGTGGCGTAGATATGCATCCGACAAGTTCTCAGATATGGGTTTGGATCATGGAGCTGATTCCGACAAGGTAAACGATGGGATTTAAACCTGATTGTTTATTTTGCCACTAAAAATAGTCTTCTCAAATGTGTCATCTTTAATGTCAAAAATCAAAATGTTCCTTTGCACTAATGAAGGACATTTGGGATATGATTGGGAATCCAATTATCGAGATTCTAAATTTGATTTTAAAAATCTTCGTGGATTACAGTTTTGTTCTTTAGCTTGTGATTTGAATGGTTGATTTTGGATGTTTAATTATATGTTTTGGTCGAACGAATCGTTTGGATGTTGAGGATCAAAACAAGTTCTTACGCGTTTGCCTAATATCTGTACCAGATGTATAATGAGAAGGCTTCTATAATGGAAACACTGAAGAAAGCAAACTCAATTCTTCCTCAAGTAGTGTTGGCGAGTACAGTATTAGCTCTTCTTTATCCACCTTCTTTCACATGGTTTACGTCGAGGTTCTTGCCATAATTCATGGAATCGGAGAAAGGTCAAATTTAGTCTAAAGACTATGAGTAGTTGAAACCAGTTTTTTTCTAAAAAAAGCTCTTCTTACTCTCATGTTCTCTTAGGTACTTCGTGCCGGCTCTAGGGTTCTTGATGTTTGCGGTTGGTATCAATTCAAACGAGAAAGACTTTCTCGAAGCCTTCAAAAGACCCAAAGCTATTCTCCTTGGTTATATTGGACAGTATCTCATAAAGCCTATCCTAGGTTTCATCTTTGGCTTAGCTGCTGTTTCTCTTTTCCAGCTCCCAACTCCAATAGGTTAATAATCACTCTCTCTCTCTCTCTCACTCTCTCTGTTTCTTCGTTCATGATCAAGACTCTTAATTGATGAGGCATGGACTAATCTTTCTCAATCTCAGGTGCTGGAATCATGTTGGTTTCATGTGTTAGTGGAGCTCAGCTATCAAACTACGCGACTTTCCTTACGGATCCAGCTTTGGCGCCACTTAGCATCGTCATGACATCTCTATCGACAGCTACTGCAGTTCTTGTCACTCCTATGCTATCACTCTTGCTCATCGGGAAGAAACTACCAGTTGATGTAAAAGGAATGATATCGAGCATTCTCCAGGTCGTGATCGCACCAATCGCTGCGGGATTGCTACTAAACAAGTGAGAGAGACATAGCTGCAAATTAATAAAAAGGAATCATATAAACACAAGCACAAGTTGTCTCTCAAAAGTTTCAAACATTCTTTTGTGTGTCTTCTTTTTCACAGGTTGTTCCCAAAAGTATCCAATGCAATCAGACCGTTTCTCCCGGTTCTATCGGTTCTTGACACGGCCTGCTGCGTTGGAGCACCACTCGCGTTGAACATAAGCTCTGTCATGTCTCCTTTTGGAGCGGCCATTTTGTTGCTAGTAACATTGTTTCATCTCTCAGCTTTCTTAGCTGGATACTTCCTTACTGGTTCCGTCTTTCGAAACGCTCCAGACGGTAAAGCCATGCAAAGAACACTGTCCTATGAAACTGGTAACTAACTTTTAACTTAACTAACTCTTTGTTGTTTTAAACTCTTCAAGAAATTACGAATTGGATTAATGAGAAGGAAACTCTGTGTTTGTTTGTTTCTCAGGAATGCAGAGTAGTCTTTTGGCTCTAGCGCTTGCGACCAAGTTCTTTCAAGATCCTCTTGTTGGGATTCCTCCAGCAATTTCTGTATTTTTTCAAAACCAAATCGTTTTTTTTTTGACATTGTAGAATCCTTTTTTGTTGTTGTTGATGCTGATGATAGAGAATTGTTTTTTGTTTTTGCAGACGGTGGTAATGTCATTGATGGGATTCACACTCGTTATGATCTGGTCTAACGAAAAACAGCAAAATATTTAACAATGTGATTTAATTTCACTCGATCTTTTATTGATCTCTATGTACAAACAAAATTATTGTAAGAACAGAGTCCAAATGCAGTGATAAGAATTTGCAATGTTTGTTTTATTACTATATTTTTTTTTCTTGTGTTTTTCTCTGTGAAATCAATAAAGGACGGTTCGATGACGAACCCGGTTTAAATTGAACCAAAACTTCAAAATTGAGGAAAACATTCTCAGCCATGGCGATTGCTTCGACATCCACTGTTATCTTCTGCTGCGCGAAACCTGATTTCCGGCGAATTCCGTCTCAGAGCCGTTCATCTTCTCCTCTCGTAACTCGGATCCAGAGCCGTAGCTTAATCCATGACCCGATTTCTCTGTCGGGTCTTGTCGGAACCGGTTTGGTGGCGGCGGCGTTCGTCGCGGCGGGACCAGATTCTACTGCTATGGCAGCGGTTGATTCTCTTCAGCTAAGCGAACCAGCTAATGCTTTGTCTTTACCCACTTGGGCCGTTCATGTTTCCAGCGTTGTTGAATGGTTCTCTCCTTCTTCCTTGCTCTATTTGATTGAAATTCCATATTTGAACATTTGATCAATTGTGACAGAAGAGAGTATCTGGTGTTTCGGGTTTGTCGAGTGTTTGATTCTTATGATCAAACGAAACCATAGTGAGAAGCTTCATGTTCGTTGTGTTTTGTGACCAGTCTCAAAAATTGAGATTTTGCATTAAGAAAATTGAATTTGTGATTACTTCATTGAGTAAAACGTATTTTAGAGCCAAATGGAGAGATTGAGATTAATTGCAGTTGTAGAAAACAAACAAGAAACTATAGTTTCTTTTTAATTCTGGTGCTGTTTGGTATTAATACTCAATACTTGTTCACTGTTCTAAAGGATTACGGCGATGGCGTTAGTGTGGAAATATGGAGAAAGAAAGGGTAACGAGTCATGGAAAGGTCTCTCATGGGGAATGGTAAGATCTCTAAGCCTGTTTCAAGCAGTTCTTTTGTTAAGATTCTCAAAATTCTGTATTTTTGGTAGCTTACATGATTTGGGTTGAAGAATAGTCTGCTGTTCTTTTGTTCAGGTGCCTTTGCTTGGTGGAGCTCTCTGCGCATGCACATGGCATTTCTTTTACAATGCTGAATCTCTTGAGGTGAAGAAACTTCTTTCACTCCCACTTAGCTAAGGCAAAGACATATTTTGTGTTTCAGATCATTTGGTGAACCACTGATGAACGTGTTAGGGTAAAGACGAAGATGTTTGCCTCTTTCTACTTGTGTTAACCGTGGGATGCATTGTCATTAGGTGTTGGTCGCGCTTCAGGCAGCACTAACTGTGATTGGTAATATCACTTTGTGCATCGCTGCCTATCGAATCAACAAGTCGTCATCCAAAATGGAAATCTCTGAAAAACCGTGAGGCGGCTCTAACACATCTTTGTGTTAAGAAAGAACGTCCAAAGGAATATCTGTTTTCCCCATTGATTCGCTACAACGAAGACTAATCCAGACTAATCTGAGTGCAAGCCTTGTTGGAGAGTCTTGGTGGTAAGAGAAGCAACTAGATCTTTGAGAGTAACTCGGATTTTCAATATGGTATTAGCGGAAAGATCTTTGCTTTATATCTCTAGTGACTACACTAGTCATGTTTCTTGAGCGTGAACGTATATATACTTAATATAATGTATCTTCTTGATTATGTTCCTTAAGCTACGTTTTGCCATCTGTTAAACAATGATTTGATGAATCCTGAGTATTAAATTTGCGTCAAATGCATTTGTTTTTGTTTTCTCCTCTGATTTGTTGACTTATTCGCACAAGTTCCGTAGGGGTTTTGACATTTTTTTCCCAAAGCTTAGCATAATTTTGAATCGTTTTGGTGAACAAATTATTATGTAATGCTAATAGATAAGAAAAGCGGGGTTGTTGAGCTATTTCTTGTATGGGCAAAAAGAAATTATTAACAAAGGGGACACAAGTTTAAAACTATAAAATTTTCCAACTAATTCAAATAATCTGGAAAGGTCCAACATATATTTAATATCCTTATTAGAAAAATCGTTAATTGTATTTAGACCAAGCCAAAAGCTTGAGGACGAAGGCATATCTTAATTATTGCTTAAACAACCCAAAACTGTGAATTTAATTTTGTTAATTACCAATATTAAAATAATATCTTTCCCTATTAGTTTATTAAGTTATTATAATGGAAACCCCTTTTTTTATCCTATTTTGTAATTTGTGTCAGTTTAATTGTAAGAGTAACGGAAATTTTCTGTTCTTTATGAAAAACAAAAGTAAAATGAGCGACAAAAGAACAAAATATGTTAAATGATGAGTCAGAAAAGAAAAAAAAAGGAAAAAATAAAAGGGGGACTGAAAATAGAAAATGACCTTAGAATGTGGAGATTATTACGAAATGTACCACTATTCCAAGTTGTAGTCGCGTCAAATTAGGTTGACTTTATGATCGGACGGCTAAGATTACAAAGGTGTACGATAACGCGTAAGTAGAAGAAAGTTACACCGCCAAAAACAAAAAAGTAAAAACCGTGCGTGACTCATACCGTATATATATACACATGTATGATCCTCCACGGTTACGTGTTTGCCTTTTTCTCTCTCTTATATTATTTCCCCTCTTTCTCGAAAAACGAAGGTTTCGTTCTGAATTCTTATCGATTAAGAACAAATTATAACACAGCCTACGAAGATTACTTTTTTTTTTTTTTTTAATTTTTCTTCCGATATAGATCAGATTTATCTTGTGAATTTGTATATATAATTCTTTTCAAATTACCAGAAAGAAGGAAGAAATCTCCGTTCTACACAGGTACAATCCACAAATCTCCTTTGTTCGATTTGATTTGATTGATTGATTGATAGTTTATTCGAAGTTTTGTCTTTTTGTGTTTTCTTGTCCGATCTGAATATCCAAAACTCAGATCTGCTCGTATTCGATAGTTTTGTTTTGTGATTCCACGATTCTCCGCTTTTATTCGTATCGATTTGTGCGTAATCGATCTAATCGAAGCTGAAACAATCTCGATCTGTCTCGAATTGAATCAAGACATTTGAAAAATCTAAGCTTTTGTTTTTTTCAAATTCTGCATATCTACACAGAACAAGAATGGGTTCTGAACAAAACGATAGCACGAGCTTCACGCAATCAACAGAGCCAAAGCTATGTGCAAACGGGTGTGGGTTTTTCGGGTCACCATCAAACATGGACCTTTGTTCGAAATGTTACAGGGACATATGTGCAGAGGAAGCTCAAACAGCTGTTGCGAAAGCTGCGGTGGAGAAGTCTTTCAAGTCGTCTCCTCCTCGCACTCTCTTTATCTCTGAACCGGCAGTGAAGTCGTCCGAACCGGAGAAGGAAAAAGCGGTTGTTGTTGTCGCCGAGGCATCCTCCGCAGCAGCAGAAGAAGAAGCGGTTCCAGCTCCTGAAGAGAGCGAGCCATCAAGACCACCTGCACGACCGAACCGGTGTCTGTGTTGTAACAAGAAGGTTGGTGTAATGGGGTTTAAGTGCAAATGTGGGAGCACTTTCTGTGGGGAACATCGGTACCCTGAGAGTCATGATTGCAGCTTTGATTTCAAAGAAGCTGGTCGTGGAGCGATTGCGAAAGCTAATCCTGTGATCAAGGCAGATAAACTTCAGAGGTTCTGAAAAAGAAAAAAAGAACTTTCGAATTGTTTGTTTTATTTACTCATTTGTATTTGATGAATCAATTTGGGTTTGTTCGATGGTTTAAAATGGATTGATTGTCTCCAAGGGGAAAAGAGGATGAATTTGATTCCATAATAAAGTGAATCGATGAAGTTTGGTTCCATGTCTCAAAACTCTCAATGATCTCTACTATTTGGTTTCGAATCATAAAATGAAAGATGAAAGTAAAACAAAGAACCTGCACATTGTTCGTGGATTGTTTGACAAAACGTATAAAAAAACATATGTAAAATTAATTTGTAGCATTTTTGATATCAAGAAGAGGCGAAATTTCATACACGTTTGGGAAATGAGACTTCAAAAATACAATGAATGAAAATATAACTGATTTCAATTTTTTATTTTTTTTAAATTACAAAAGGCATTGCACAAGACATATAAAGGTATGTTAGAGAGATGAATGATGATGAGTTTGATGCTTGTGGGCTTAGTTTCGAAAGCTTGTGCTTGAATGGTAAAGACATTGAAGTGACAAAGTAAAGAACATAGAGAAATACATTGAGTTAAATGGAGGATAGGTATGTGATACGAATCATGGACCAATTGTTGAGTTTTTCTCGCGGTTTCCAGGAGAAGGGGCCAAAACTGAATTGTTCTTTGGTATTTTTGAGACTCCATGACTTGGATTTGATGATGCGCGAGGACAGACCAAGACTCCATCCGTGTAGATGACTAGAAAAGATCTACAGACTATGCAGATTTTGAAGAAACAGATGATGATATTCGTTTGGTTTTAGTAGGTGTTTTTGGTTATAGGTTTGAAAACATAATGGTGAGTGTGTTTTAAGGGACTGCCGTGTCTTACAATCTGCAATGAGATGGGACCAAGAACAGCACCATAACCTATTGTTATTCTGAATATATCTTCAACTTTCTATGTTTTTATGATAATTGGTGCATCGATTACGAATATATACATTGCTTGATTGCGATTTAGCTTTCCTTCTTGAGCTTTGTATAGTTCTTGGAGTGAGTATTGATTGAGAGATACTCAAAATGACTATATTTACACTAATCAGAAATCTTTTTCACCCTCTTGTTTCTTGTAAGACTCAAAAACGTTTTCGATCTCATTGAGATAGAACAATCGGTTCTTACAGTATTACCATATCAAATGCCATAACCAATTCTAGTTCTGGTTCTGCTATAATTCTTAGTTCAAATTGTTGGCTCACTAAATACAATACGAGCATGGATTGGACATATGAAGATATATTATTTCATAAGTATTTCAATAGAATATACATTAAGGAAAAACAATTTATAGAAGCCTTAATATTGTCGTTTGTATATTATATAGAAACTATAGAACGATTTAGTAACGAGAAACGAGCTATTTAGTCTGTTTATAGTTTTATTTGTGCATACACCATATGATATAGTTATATATATGCATAAACAACGTGAGTTTAAGTAGCTGGTAGTCCCGAAAGATACATGGTGTTCACGAGCAAGTGCACGTGTGATGCAACTGTTGAGCAAATATTTTGTCTCCTTATCCACATATATATACATGTATACGTAAGTATTCACCGTACGTAATTCACAGTCTCACAAATATATCATATATACTACTCAAAGATCTGTTAACTGCACATTATAAAGCATATATATATATATATACGTGTGTATAGAGAGAACATGCAAATAAAAGCACCCATACCTCTTTTGATTTTCTCGTAAATTGTTAGCATCCTGTATACTACAAGGTATGGAGGCACGTGTACCCAATACAAAAACTATATTCAAAAATTTGTATTAATCTTTTATGTTTTTGTATATCATCTTCACTTCATTACATATAACCTTTGGAATCAAAAAAAATAATCTTCATTACATATACGTGTGATTTTAGTTCATCATCAACCGAATGTACGCGTCGACAGGCTACATGTATATGTTTTTGCACAGCCGTTATCATGTAATGACTAATTAAGGTGATCATTATCCGTAATGATATAAGTACGAGAAGAAAACCTCTCATTATAAAATATTTTCCCTCATAGAATGCTTTCATACCAATAATAATTACCAACACAAGTGCCTTTCTAGTTTAGGAAAGTTCCTTACAATTTTTTAGTTACTTCAATAGAATATAGTTTCAATCTATGCATATATAAACCCGTTGACATAGACAACAGTATTTAATCCTTCCGAGCTATATAAATAATTATGATATGGTGTATTAAATATATATACTGATATACAGATACTATATTACTAAGTAGCTAAATTTATGTCTTTAGTTTTATAATCAGAATTTTGTTGAAGCTAGTTAATATGATTGCGGAAGTATATGTGAAAACCTGTAAAAGGATAAACCATTCCTCTCTATCGAAAACTCAAACTTGGAACAATAACGAATTAACGGATCATGTCATATTAACTAGTTCTTATGTATATGTCAATAGTTTCATGTGAAGACTGTGTTACGAACTATAAAAATTGTCAAACAAAAAAACACCATGAAATGTTGATTACATGAAAAACCATACATAGAGCCAACAACACAAAGCAAATTCTAGCAAATCAAAAATCATCAAAGAAAAACCAAGAAACAAAGAAAAATGTTACTCAAACCAACAAAGAAAGATCTACGAACTAAAACGAACCAAATAAAAAAAAAAACATTAAGAAAAAAAACCTGATTCATGTTGACCCAAATGTAGTGAAGCCCGAGTAGAAACCTTATCCACCACATTCTTCATCATCGTCTACTAAATTCATAGTCTTATTTGTTCATAAGCTATAACCTCTTTTAATCATATATATATATATCCACTAAACTCATGACTCTTCGTTAGCTAGTTACGATGATGTGTATGTGTATATGATCAATACGATGGTCGTCCCGTTGACCAATATGACTGATTATCATGCTGCGATTGCAACTGAACCGAACCAAGAAGATTAGGTGGTAACCCTTGATGAGCCGACATAGCTTGCTGCTGATGTGGCAGTTGTCCTCCCATCATCGTCGGCGACTCCATCGAACCTCCTCCTCCTCCTCCTCCGTGAACCGGCGTTTGCATCTCATCTTCCTCTAAGGGAAGCCTCTCGTACGCCGCATTGCTAAAAGACGCCGCCATAACCACCACAGGACCAGCACACAGCAAAGGACCCACCACGCTTCCTCCAACAACCTGTCCTTGTCCTCCGGCGAGGTAAACGCTCAATCCGGTGGCTGTAGGAGGAGCCGGAGGAGGGAGAAAAGAGCCCGAGAGAGAGAGAATCTCGAACCTCCCGTGAAGACTAACCACCGAGCCAGGAGATGGAGATCCAGGCTGACGTATGGTGACGTTCGTGACGTTTCCAGTACCGCTCATAACGCAGACGCCGCGCTGGCGTCTCCGTGCGAAAGTCGCCACGCTCTCGACTAGATCGCAACCGTCACCGATCTCCATCACGTGGGTTCTTAGCGCGTTTGCGCTGTCCCGCGTGATGATAATCGGTGGTTTTGGTTTGTTCTTGGATCCAGCTGGTCTTCCTCTTGGTCTTCTCGTCATCTGATCTCCCCCGGAGCCGCCGCCTCCATCTCCCGAACCACCGTGCAAGCTCATCTCTTTGCCTTCGCTACCGCTGTTGTTAGCGATGTTGTCTATGTTGTCGCTTGTCTCTTCACGATCCATCTTGATTTGTCTGTTTAACCCTCCTTGTTGGTCATCTTCGATTTGGTTTCTTTGTTGCTGGTGATGTTGGAGGAAGAACTCTTGCTGCTGCTGTTGTTGTTGTTGTTGTTGGAGATGTAATTGAAAGTCTCTCGCGTGGAAAGGAGGAGGAAGAGCGCTTTGTGATCCATGAGATTGTACTGGATCCATGATCGATGATTCGATGGTGGAAACTGGATCAAAAGAAAGAATTAATAGACTGATGATGGATCTGAGAACTGATCTCTTTAAGTTGACCTTTTCTTTTCTTTTCTTGATTTGCTGTCGAAACTTAGCTAAAAGAAAGAAGAGAGTAGTAATGATGAACAACGAAATCCAAGCTGGATCTTCTTCTTCATCTTCGTCTCTTCTTCCTTTTTGATTTGGTAGGGTTTCTCTCTCTTCTCTTTACCTAGTTTTGTTGTTTGTAGCTGTAGCTAGCTTCTCTCTCTCTCTCTTTGTTGAACTATAGAGGAAGTGAAATTTGGAAAGTGAAAAAGGGGTTTTGGTGGGTTTTTATATAAAAAAAAAACTAATTGAGATGTGTGTGTGTAAGTGTAGACTTGGATTGTGATTGGTAAACTAGGGTTAAATAAAGATATGTGATTTTGTAATTATGAATTTTGACTGTGCATGACTCCCTTCCTTCTATGTATGGGCTGTGTTTTTTGGTCCCCACCTCTCTCAGCTCTTTAGTCCTAAACCTTAATATTTCGTCTTTTAGCAAGCCCTTATCCAACCATCAATAGGAAAAAAGCTGGCTCGTTAAACTTGTGATGTGATCCATCGATTTATTATAAATCATTTAGATCAGCAACTAAAGTTGGTATAGTTAGTGATATATTGTAGTTTTCAACCAACTATTTCAGAGTATATAAAACTTCGACACATATATAATAGACGTAGGTTTCATTAACCAGTAAAATTTAACACGATGCATTGCACTTTAAATCATAAATGATCAGACAGAAGCAAAGATGGTATCAAAGTTTATTAAGTTGGATTTTAAAAATACATTTCAAAATTTATATGACAATGCATTTCTGATGATTGCACAATAATACATCTGCCATTTTAACACAAATTATTACAAATGATTATAATGGAATGCCTTATCTAATTATTGCATGTGTTAGCTAGATAATTATTATGGTTATCTGATTAGTATACATATATATATATATACTAACAAACAAACTTACAACTAGCTCTTCAATGATACGTACAACAAATAGCAACCACCTACGGTTATATATGTTGTAATAAATATTCAACATATATATGATTCGTTTGTATTGTTTTCATTTACATGTCCCTGGAAGAAAACAGCCGCATCAATAATTTTATTTTAGTAGTTGTCGATCGATCATCAAGGTTATAAGATCTAGTATGTTGTGAGTTGAATAGAAACTGTTTTATATATAAAATTGTAGCCTTTACTTAGTTGATAGTCAAACGATCCATTTGTCAATACCATCTAGATCTAAAGGTGTTTGTTTATAAAAATATGTGCATACACACACATACCCACATATGTATACATATAGAGAGAGAGAGAGAGAGAGAGATTGAGCATTGGAGAGAGTGAACTAACAAGAAGGCGCGAAGATGTCGCTGACAATTCCAAAACCACGAGAGAGAGAGAGTAAAAGAAAAGAAGAAGAAGATAAAGGGAGAAGATGCATCGCATGAACTCTGATAAAAACACAAACTCCAATGTGTTAAAGAGATGCTCTTTGTCGGCTTCCTCATGCTCCACGTGCCTTCTCCTCCCACTCCTTTACTTTCTTTACGTTAAGCAAATTTTCGATCTCTAGTCTTCAGGTTCTCAAATTCAAACCCGCTTCTAGTGGCATGGAGTTGACAATCTATATATAGTCTCAGGACGTGAAAGTGCAAAGACTTCAGGTTCGATTTCTCTATTGAACATTTATGTTGCGTGTGGGTCAATTCATATCTCGGGTTTCAGCATGGATTGTTTGTATAACATGTTGCACCCGTAAAGCCATAGAGTTTGCTCACTCATGAATTGGTGTGACTAGATTTTAAAACCAATTCTATGCGGTTTAAGTTTATGCCGGCTTTATCCGATTGGCGCATAATATTAATATACATGATATTACTATCTTTTGTTGTCAACATTAATATACAATAATTATATAAAATATAGTCATCATTCCTCGAACTTTTTTATATAAAAAAAAAATACTAATATTAGAGTGCTAGTAATGGAGTAGTAACCAATGGTGTACTATAAAACTTTAACTGTTCGATATGTTTACTCGACGTTGACTTTCAAATTTCAATTGATACATTTAGAACGGAAAACATGAAACGTATATTGCAGATTATGCTAAACGAATTGTGAACGTGTACCAAACATAAAAATATGCAAGACGCTTCTTTATAGTTTTTCAAGTCTTAAAAAATGTTTTAATGTTGTGATCCTTTTCATGTTCTAGTTAAAATTATTGTTATTTTCAAAGAAGCTAACAATAGAGGATTTGCTTTACATTTTCCAATAATTAGTTGGTTAGTTAACGATTATTGATCCCATTACCAAAATCAATAAAAATTATTGGGAAATGAGGTCAGCTAAGCTTATACTGTTATTTTAATTTCGAAAGGCATGAAACTTATCAAACCAAAGTTCGAGTTCACGAGCTCTCAAAAAGAGAAAAGGACAGCTTGCTTTCAATCCCGAATTATACGGATAATTAGTTGATTGGCTGATTAAATTATTGGGGTTTTTCATTACTTTATGTAAGTAGTAACCGAGGCATGGAACATTATTAAACATTTTTTGACGTCAGTCTGTATAGATTCTTTTTGGTAATATTATTGTATATACATATGTGTTGCTACCAGTGCCATTATCCAGTTGGCTAGGGGAGTATCAATTTGCGATAACTATGAATTCGTAAAGAGAAATTATATGAATTATTTGGATTTCGGTTTGATAGTGAGCCACAAAAATTGTAAATTTATTGAAAACGTGAAATCACCAAACCATATACTTAAGCCTCAAAAACGAATATGTTTGCGCCTCTTTGCGTGAATCATATAGATTTGAAGGTCAAGGTGTGGACTATATATAATATGGATAGAGATTTTACCCAAGTTTATTGCTAATCTCCAAGTAAAACCAAATAATACACAAATTAAGTTAAAGTTGGTAAATTAGGCTAATCAATTAAATTTAAATGTAAGTCCCACGTGGAAGACACCTAATTGCGTCAAATCAGATCGTGCTAATGCTTTTCCCATGAACCCAATTTATGGTCCCCTCCCAACCATTATGTAAATAAGCAAATGTGTATATACAAACGTTGAAGTAAATTTTTTTAACTCTATAACCTCAATGAATGTTTGATCATTTTTTAGGTATCATAATCTACAAGACTAGAAGCTGTCTACATAAGTCAGCAACCTTTTTTGGAAGAAGATAAATACTAGTATTATTTATTTTCTGATTGTGTAGAATTTGGAGATTAATAAGAGAGTTGAAAACTAATGTCAAATTTTGGTGGGTGGGGGAGAGACATGTGGGTTAATTAATGGTTAAGTGGGTGCTTTGAGGACCATTAAGACGGCCTAGTTGGAGACAAATTAAGATAACGACAAATTAAAGCTCAAAGAAACCTCACATGAATTAAGGGTTCTTTCCATGATGAGGAATCTCATTACTAATTTAGTAGTATACACACACACCACATATACAATCACACTCTTTTGAGTTCTGTTGAAACATGGGTTCACCACTAAAATATGAAAAAATCTTTAATGGTGATCTTTGTTTGGAATGGATGCCACTCTAAACATGAGCTAATAGTGAAGTTGTGTTAAAGCAATAATTTACAAATTAAAGTGTTCAAATACTAGAACAGTATGGATTCTAAGTTTTTCCATTGTATTTTCTTTTTGTATGAATTCCAAGTTTCGTTGAATGAAAAAAAAAACATCGAATTGAGCCCCAAAAAAGAATTGTTCAAATACTTATACAAAAAAAAAAGACTGCTGATGTTGTGTAAGATTATGTTTGTTTTTGAGGTCATTAGTTTCGGGCTGATATGCTGTAAGAGGAAATTGTTTTGAGATGTATTTTAATTTTAATTTTTTATTTTCAAATAACAGTGATCGAAGTGAAATTAAATTTAACATGTACGTAATAGTTTTTGTAATACTTTGGTTCGGGTTCAGTTTTTAATCTAATATATCATATAAATCTATGAATATTATTTTATTTGGAGTATTTGGTTCTGTTTAACTTATTTTTTTATTTTTGAAGATACAGGAAAACACTTATTTTTACTGATTCTGATTGGTAACACTCGTGGAATAGTGGAATAGTGGAAAAATCCAAAATCGCAAGAATTTTGTAATAAAAAAAACTTGCGGAAAAACGCACTTGCGTTTTTATTTACAGAAAATTACAAAAAAATCTTTATTAAGCGGAAAAGCGTGTTCAGAGTAGATTATTTGCAAAATCAATATTTATATTATTCAATTATATTTTATTATTTAAATAAATACAAATAAATAATTTAATGTTACAAAAAATTATTTAATGATAAAGTTATATCTATTATTTAAGGTTTGCAATATTTTTTTTATGAAAAACAAATTATTAAAAAGTTACAATTAGAATTATATCATTTTATAATAATAGATTGAATTATTAATATTTTATTTTTTATAATATATAGTAAAAAGCAGAATATTTTCAATAAGTATATTCCGCAATTCCGCCATAAAGTTTCGCAATTCCGTAATAAACTATTCCGCAATTCATTTTTTTCGTCATTCCACAATTCCGCGATATAAAAAATGTGTTACCAATCGGAATGGAATCTTACATGATAATCAATCATAATAACGGGCTTCTAAAATTAAACAATGCAAATTATATTGGTATGTGCAACAATTATAAGTTAATCATCCAACTTTTCAGGAGCTCGTCAAGGGTCAAATTCAATTAAAAATATATTGAACGATAATCGCTCTTTTGCTATTGGCTCACCAGAATGTTTCCGGACAGAACTTGCCTTCGTTCTGCCAAACAGCAATTTTTTTAGTTGATTAAAGGAAATATTATATCTTCTTATTAAGAATATTACTATAGTACTTATAATAAACCGCAAGATAACCTAAAATATAAGAAGACATGAGTTGTCTAGTGAGGTTTTGCTTTCCCAGGTACAATAGTTGTCCGTAGAGATACATGTAAAATCTTTATTCAATTTCCATGGACAGAGAAAAGATAATCCTTCTACTTTCTCCAATAATTTTGAAAATGCTGAATGAAAAATTGCAACAGTGTCGTTCGCGCAAAAGAGATGACAAACAATATAAATATATACATCATAAAATCTGTTAGAGCAAATATATATGTTTGTGACAAAACTTTCATACTAAATGAATTTATCATATGAAAATATATAGAGATTGGAGGATCAATTTAATTCAGTTAAATGAATAAAAAGTATTACAAAAAAAAGTTGATGAAATATTTTAGGTGAAAATTTGTATCGAACAAAAACTCCTATGGGCATGTTCATGTTCTGTTGCCTACCCCATTTTTAATAGATGTTAGAAAATGAAAACCAATTGATGGACCGGTAGATATAAATAGGCCTCTATAGCTGCAATGGGTTTCGGACCCGTATAACTAAAACGAAACCTCTAAAAAGCAGGGCTCGATAAGAATTCTGGAAACTGACTTAATTCATTAAAGGCTTATAAATGGTGAGAAAAAAGGCAAAATAACAAATGGTTGGTGAAGAATGAAGAATCCATAATCAAGGACATGATGAGCATCCCCGTAGTATCGGTTAATGATGGTCTTGAGCTTTCATTTGTAAGGGCCTTTGGGTATGGTATGGTTGAAGAATGCTGTTGCAGGAGCAAACTGGAATGATGATGGATCGATCTCAATGGACTTGTCATTAGCCAATTTTCTTGTCAAATGCTCGAAAAATTCTTGAAAATTGTGGTTTGTTAATGCAGATACCTAAAAAATTGCTGTCAAATCAATTGACACCTTGTAGTATCTCAATTCGTTTAACTTCCGTTCGTCACCCTCCCCATTATTAACGCAACATACAATGGGTATGGTCTCATCACACATAAGCTGTATTCTGCTATACCATTTTCTTAGCTTAGCTGAGTGTATGAATACTGAAACATCACATATTAGAATAGCCGTTTGAGAATGGAGCCTATAAGAAGAACCAAAAGAAAATGAGTATAGAAGCATTTTTCATTATAGAAAACATCACATTAAGATACCTTTGTTGCCATCCGAGCAATGAAAACACATTTTGCCCTGGTTTGTGTCAAAGTTCATCGTGTAAAAATAGTTTTGTCCTGAAAAACAAAATATAATATCAATGTCATCTAAATAATTTTGGTGATCCGAAACAAAAAAAAAAGTTTGATCTGAGTTTGTAAAACTATGGAGACTACAATTTATATAAATTTACTTATGATAATGATAGTTTTATTTACTAAGAATGTAAAATAATAATAAGTTTAACTTTTTTTTTGAACAACTAATGTACAAAAGTATACTAATAATAGCAAACTGAATAAATATCATTTATAATAGCATTTTTTCATCATTACTGTTATCAAATTTTATACTTTTTATTATTTATTAGATACTTTTTATTTATAATCACTTATTTTATGAAAAATTACATCTTTTAATAGTTATGTTTACATACGTTGTGTTCTTTAATGTAAGTTATGTAACAATCGTATCATTAGCTATTTAATATTAATAACAGAAAATGATCATTTTCTTAAAGAAAAATGTTATAAGTAAAGTGATTTGCTTTTTAAAAGGAACAGCATTTCGCAAGTTAAAATTACATGCATGGCGATGGGACAGGGGGGATATATAAACTATTCATTTGAGAATATTTTATTATAGATTTTTACTAAATTTACTTCGAATAACAATATTAAAACTCCTGATTATCTGCTCTCTACTCTTGTCTGTTATTATCAGTGTTATGATTTCGAAAGAAACACGCATAGTTGATATATAGTTGCTACCTATAGATTGTTCAACAACCAAACCACTTCTAGGGTGAAACAGTCAAAATCTTTATCACCTCACCAATTAAACTTACCAACCGGACCTTTCATTTTTCTCTTTTGGTTCTCTTAGACAAACCTCTTTTGAGAGCACCAAACTAAAAGTTGAAATATCCAGCGATCCACAAAAACAGTTGGTATTTTAAATTCATAATGTTCTCGTTAGAATAGTCAATAATGCCTTATGTGCAATTATTTGTTGCTTTTTATAAAGAAATAGAAAGCCAATGTCACGTACGTATCCTCTTTCCCATATTTTGTCTTTTTGTTCTTATTATTATTTCACATCGTCGTCTTTTGCTATTTATCCGTTCAATTATTTCTTAGTTTTAAAGGTTATATAAATAAATAGCAAATATTATAGTTTCTATCAGTATCAAAATATCAACAGACGGAACTGATCAACAATCAGTTTCCATCAGAACTAATCCGAGATCAATCCGTACAGTATACTTTGACCAGCATAGAATTTTGCATAGCAGTTAAGAAAATCTGGAATGAAGTACAGAAAAATCTTTATGAAGATAATAAAATGTTGTATTTTAGCATTTTCTAAAACTAAAAGCAAAAAAAGAAAATAAAAAAAAAAGTGAAAATGGGACTGATATATGGATTCATCATCATCAATGCACTAAAAAGTATAGGAAACCCACAAAGTTGTTCCACCTCTGCTTCTTGGCCGTTACAAAATCTTTTTCTCCTAAAAATCGCTTCATTTAGTTGCACTCTCTCACGCAAATCATGCTTTTAATTTACAATTTATAATCCTCCACGCAATTATCTCTTCAACTCTCAAAACCAGGCCAAAAAAATGGCTGAAACCTCTTAACGTAACTAAAGTTCTCTCCTCCTCTTTTTCTTCACTTATCAAATTCCCTTTCTCCAAATTATCATCTTTGTCTACGCACAATAATGTCAGAAACATCAAAGTTAGAGTCTTTAGATCCAGAAGTTTCTGAAGGGTGTTGTTCAAAGACCTTGATGCAGAGCATTGTTCATGAGCTCAAGCTGCAAATGAGAATTGGTTTGCCGTTGGTGGCTATGAACTTGTTGTGGTTCGGTAAGATGACCACTACATCTGTGTTTCTTGGTCATCAAGGCGAGCATAACCTAGCGGGAGGCTCATTAGGGTTTTCCTTTGCAAACGTAACTGGCTTTGCTGTTTTATACGGAATCTCAGCTGCAATGGAACCCATTTGTGGGCAAGCTTTCGGAGCCAAGAACTTTAAGCTTCTCCACAAAACCCTTTTGATGGCGGTGCTCGTGCTTCTCTTGATCTCGATCCCGATCTCTTTCTTGTGGCTCAATGTTCACAAGATCCTCATTGTTTTTGGTCAAAGAGAAGACATTTCTTTCATAGCCAAGAGATTTCTTATCTACCTCCTTCCTGATTTGCCAGTCCTCTCTTTGCTTTGTCCCCTTAAGGCTTATCTAAGCTCACAAGGCGTTACCCTCCCCATCATGTACACAACAGCTGCAGCCACTTCTCTTCACATCCCCATCAACATATACCTCTCTAGAGCGAAAGGAATCCAAGGAGTTGCAATGGCGGTTTGGATTACCGATTTCATTGTCGTGATTCTTCTAACCGGGTATGTGATATACGTTGAGCGGTTGAAAGAGAACAAGTGGAGAGAAGGTGGCTTGCTTAACCAATCTGCTCAAGACTGGCTCAGGCTGATCAAGCTTAGTGGGCCGTGTTGTCTCACCGTGTGCCTCGAGTGGTGGTGCTACGAGATCTTGGTCCTATTAGCCGGGAGGTTACCAAACCCGGTGGAAGCTGTGTCGACATTGATCATAGTTCTCAACTTCGACTACTTGCTTTACGGTGTGATGCTCTCTTTAGGCACTTGCGTGGCAACGCGAGTGTCGAATGAGCTCGGCGCAAACAATCCTAAAGGAGCTTATAGAGCAGCTTACACTACACTCGTTGTTGGTGCTGTCTCGGGCTGCATTGGTGCTTTGGTGACGATATCATGTAGAGGTTTCTGGGGGTCTTTGTACACTCACCATGACCAAATGATCATAAACGGTGTGAAGAAGATGATGTTGATAATGGCGATTGTTGGAGTTATAAACTTCCCGTTACTGGTGTGTGGGGAGATTGTTCGTGCAACAGCAAAGCCGTCGCTTGGAATGTACGCGAATCTTGGTGGATTCTATCTATTGGCTTTGCCCTTGGGGGCGAGTCTTGCGTTCAAAGCTAAACTAGGGCTTGGAGGGTTCTTGATCGGGTTTTTGGCCGGAGCCTCCGTCTGTTTCGCGGTGTTGCTCATATTTATTGCAAGGATCGATTGGGAGAAAGAAGCTGGTAAAGCACAGATTCTAACAAGTAACACAGTGGAAGAACAGACTTTAGGATCTCAAAGTAAACATGAAGAAGTATCTTGATGTCTAAAGAGATAATAAGTTCAAAGACACTCTTATATGTATCTTTCTTGGTAGAGAGATCTAGTCAAATTTACTTTGTGAAATAAGTTCAAACTAAGGGAAGTTAAGTTAAAACTTAAAATTCAATATATTTTGCGGAAAAGGTGATCAAATTTACATGGAAATTGCCAAGAACTGAAACTTAATCAAGGAAAGCAAAAACTTGTTCCAATGAGTTTAATAGAAAAGAAGAAAAAGAAGATTAGGTCGACTAGAGATAAGAAAAATGAAATCGCCCACCGTGGGGCTCGAACCCACGACCACAAGGTTAAGAGCCTTGCGCTCTACCAACTGAGCTAGACGGGCATTTGATAAACAGTAGAAAGAGCTTGTTTCAATCAGTTAAACAGAAAAGAAACAAAAAGAAGATTATGTCGACTAGAGAACAGAAAAATGAAATCGCCCACCGTGGGGCTCGAACCCACGACCACAAGGTTAAGAGCCTTGCGCTCTACCAACTGAGCTAGACGGGCTTTTGAACTGTAAAACCGTGTAAACTGTAATAGTCATTGATTAATTATTAGCCAATCTAACTCAAATAAAGATGTCTCTTGTACGGCTCAAATCTAAAAAATCTGCATAATTTGAGAGCAAGAGAGACATGAAGATTCAGAGTGAGTAACCAATTTTGACTGAAAGAAGGAATTAGAATCTTGGTAAAACTTTTCTAAAGCATCGATTCAGCTCAGTAAAAGATAGGATTGATCTATACAGCCAAGTTAAGATAAGGAAAGCCAAACCTGGTTTTACTTTTTGATTGACAGTTAAAAAGAATCAAAGTTCCCTGTAGGAATCTTCACGCACACTGTGAAGCATAATACCATTTGGCTATTATGTAACCTTTTACTTAATAACAAATTAACAATAATCCCACTCACTAATTTGAATTATTAATCATACTGAAAAAAAAAGAATGTGCATTGATCAAAAATCTCATCACTTTCACAGCAAACAAAAAAAAATTCAATCAGGAGTGTCAAATCAACGCTTAATTGAGTAATTTCCGAATCAGAGACTAGGATTAAGATCGTAACCTCGTAATTAGGATTTCTGGATACGATAGCGTCAGAGATCTGTCTGCATGTGCGCATATCAGCTTCTGATGCAATGTCTAAGGAATTGAGATAGAGACAGAGATGAAATTTGAGGATCAACCATGGATACGTCAAGCATCGATTTCAAAGATCATCAGATTTTCCGAAGAAATCTTGGTGAAGAGAGTGATCTGACAATTTTTTTTCTTTTTTTTCGCCTACTTCACTTTCGTGTGGATAAAGGAGAAACGAATATCCCAAGGAAGATGAAGAACAGAGAAAAACGACATCGTTTAAAACCAGTTGACTCTCTTGTTCATATGAGCTTTGACTCTCTCTTTGAAGGCCCATTTATAATTTTCACATGTAAGTGAGAAACTTTACCAGGCCTCAATTCATAAAGTGATTTCTTTTCTCTGTCAATTTTTAAGGAATAAAACCATAATTTTGGAAATACATAAAAAAAATTGCATTTCTCTCAAGTTTGGATTTCATATCTAATTTTTAATCACTAATCTCCTCCTGGCTAACCATTGGATAATGATTCATGAAAACTGTTAATTTAGATAAATGAAAAAATTACATTTGTTAAGGCTGTACGTAATAGTATAGCAGTTTTTAGTTTCAATAATCACGAGATTTGTTTCTGCAAGAGTGCTACTATTATTGATTGAAAGAAAAGAATGACATTTACCAAACGAATATAAACAAATATCTTAACCAATACAGTAAACTTTGCATCTGGTTATTGGTCTTGTTTGGTAGACAAAGAACCTAAAGACATTGATTGTGCCTTGTGAGTGCCATGTGAATCAGAAACACATATCCGAGGGGAAGTGTGGGGGCGATCAAATCTCAACTTAGTGTTAAAGCTTAACATTAATTGAGGTTGTTTTTTTCATTTAATATTTATTGGTGAAAGATACTATAGTTTTAAATGTACGATCACATTTATCGTTTTATTTATATATCGATGTATAGACACGCACTCGGTTCGACATTCGGAGTTAATATTGAAATTTTTTTGTCAACGTTTGTTAATTATTTATATATCGTTGAGTTTTAGTTAAGACATGCACTAGATGATTGCATTATTTTGCGATATGTTAAAGACTCAAAAGTCGATTCTGAATTTGGACTGGCTCTTATGATATGATATATAAGCATTATTTGAATATAGGTCGCTCCTTTTTATATATCTATATATATATATATAGTTTGTTGAATCTATTGCATTGTTTGAAGGATCAGGAGGAGGGTTTGTATTATCCCATGTGCAGGCTTTGTATTTTGTCTCTTCATTTTAATATTCTTTTTCTTTCTAAGAATTAATATTTGTCAATGGAAAATATCATAAAAGTGTTATACAGCTTATATGTATGTATTATATAAACACAACATACTCTATACATACATTATATTTATACACATGATGAAATGGGATAGACTAGTAGACTTTAGTGTATGCACGGTGCGGGTAAGAGGATGAAGTGGTTTAACATCCCATGTGACGCATCATGCATGAGCTTGTAATGTTCCTTATGTGCTTATCACATATTTATTTCTCTTGCATTATTATTATTTTTTTTTTTTTACGTAGCATAGTAGAATGGGAATATTCCTAAACTGTGAAAACTTGGAGCTTCCTTTCAAGATTGGAAAATCTTAAGAACGATAAGTTCTACTTTGATTTCATAAGTTGAACTACGTACAAAAGTGAAAACTATAGATATCTCTTATCACAACTAAAGATTTAAATTAAAGGTAGTTGTTGCACCTATCTAAAATTTGAACGATATTTAATATTTTGAGTAAAAATACAACGACTATACTCCTAATTCTGGTATATGAGCGTGATCAGGCAGTTAGTTGTCGCTGTAATCATCTAAATCTAAGGTTCATTTTCAAAATCATAAAAATTCATCTTGTCGGTATAACATCTTTTACACATTCTCTCAATTTTTTTTAAAAAATGTTGGCTACAGCTGTAATATAACATGACTTAACAACTATATAAACATTAAAATATTTATACTGGTACAAGTAATTAGAAGAAGTCACTATCTTCTAAATCTGTGAGTCAAATCCTTAAGAAAAGTGGATTATAAGATATTGGCCGGTTCAAAAGTCTGAATTTACAAGCCAAGTTATAGTCCCACGCCACACTTTTCTCTTTGAAATGTCTTTGACAATTACCACTTATTTATTCATTCTTTTCTTAGTTCCGGCTTAAATTTTAAATAAATTACTCAGCCATTAGTATCAAATGTGAATGTAATTAATAAAGAGGAAAAAATGGAATCGTATTATTTTAAATTATTATTCTTGTAATTCTGGCCATAGCTGCATGCAGTGACCACATGTTCTGTCTTTGACCAAATCCTAATCATCTCTACTGTTCTGTTCCCTGACTCGTTTTAAGGTGTTCTTTTAAAAATATAACATAACCGAGATCGATGGCTCAGATCTTCTAATATTATATTAAAATCATATGACATAACTAAGTGCGTCCCACTTTCGTGGTTTCACCACTTACTGCGACGATTGCGGGATATTTATCTAAAGAAACCAGATATTATCTACACTTGTTTATGCTTACAGTTTTATGAACAGTTCATTCTTCAGTTGCCAATTTTAAAACAGAGATTGGCTACACTTCAGGAGTATATAATAGCATCCACTCAAGTGGTTTTTAAATGATATTCTTGTTTATTTTTAAAACTAGAAATACATGTATTATACTACTGTTAAGTACGGATAATCGCTAAAAAATGCATCTCCGATCTCGGATAATCGCAGAATCTCGTATAAAATTATTAAAAAATAGGTGTGATGACTCCATAAAAAGACGGAAAAATGCTACCTGCTACAACAACAAGCACTCAAGCTGACACGAATCATGTCTTCCCAATTCCCATTTAATAAGTCTCGAACCTTCATCATATTTCACATGACACTTTCATCCACTCAAAATGTTTTCTTTTAGATATTTATTTCTTGCCTATATAAATCATATTTCCGTTACTAGATCATAATATATAAACAGTGATAAAGAATTTAATGGTAACAGAACGACGGTTACGATTTATTATTTATGACTAAAATTTGACGGTGGTGAAGATTTATGAATATGTTGTGTATCTTCATGTAAAAATAAAATAAAATAAACCAGCCACACCGACCAAAGTCGCTCGCATGTCGAAAGGTACACGTGGGACCAACTTCTACTTTGACGCGCCTACGACTGGTCTTAAAGGTCGTTTCTTCTTACCGTGAACACATGATCTCTTTCTTCCCAGCATTTCTTAAGTGTTCTTTATATTTCAACGCGTTTCTACAAGTAATTTCCGAAATTCCAATATGTTTAGGAACAAATATTATTAGTTCTCTTTGTACAGTTTATTATTTATATATATATATTGTACATATCCATTTTAGATTTCAAATATTTAACTTCTCACAAGTATAGTAGGAAAAAATAAAAGAATATTCGTACAAGTGAAAGAAAAAAAAACATCTGCATAGCATAACGCCATAACCTAATAATATCTCTACAAGTGAACGAGAAATTTGGCGGGAAGACAGCCGGAGTTTCCGCGCGAACGGGGGAATAATCACTGCTGTTTGTTATTACGGGAATCCCCGTATACTAACGGCGTTAGTTGATTTAACACAAACGTCGTTAAATTTACAGTTGTTGTTGATCAACAACGCGCGTAAAAATCCTACGACTCTCACATGCCACGTAAGATCCCCGACAGACAACTAGCTCAAAGTGTTTCACATCTCGGTTGTACGGCCGAACCATAATATTTTGTCTTTAATTCTATTTTTTTTTTGTGTGAAAAAAAAAACAGAGAAAAATCAAAAGACAGGTAAAAAAAAGGAAAGTGGGGTATGAATCCAGATGGGAGAAAAGGAGACAAAAGAACGAAAAGTCCAATAAGAAGATTTAGTTTTTTCTTGAAAATTCTAATGGTTTAGATTTTTTATCTCTATGGGTGCCCCCGAGAGGATTCCAAAACAGGAACAGGTCAGCGTCAGTTTTAATTTTTATTTTTTCTAGAGCCGGTCCTAACGCCTTCTTGATATTTTAATATTACCATTTATTTCTTATCCTATTAAATTCTTAAGACAGACTTGGAAGTAACTCTGCCCCAGAAGAGGAGAGAGAGAGAGAGAGAGAGAGAGAGAGAGTGGTTTTAGAAAGACAGGAAGAGAGACTCTGTAGAAACACATGAATTGTTTTGGTTGCCTTTTTTTTAAATAGCTTCCTTTCAAACATCTGAAGAAGAAAGATAAAAATTATTGTCTGAAATCAGGAGCAAGAAGAATAATTGAAGAAAAAAAGATGGAGTTATCTGATTGCTCTAATGAATATGAGAAGCTCGTTGTACGGATGAACATGCCCAGGTTTTTTTTTATTATTACTCTCTTCTTATATAAGTTACAAAAAATTTTCTCTCTTCTTTTTTTTTTTTTTTTTTTTTTTTGCTTTGATGAACAAAATTATCATCTCTTATGAAGAAGAGAAAGATCTTTTTCCCAGATATGACCTTTTTTTTGCTCTTGAACCGATCAAAACTTGATTTCTCTGATAAAGAAAATTATATTCACTTTTTCTGTGATCGTTTTGCATTTAACGAATTCAATTTCACGGAATTAAAATTTAAATCATATGGTGTGTGGTGCTGAAGCTTCGAACAAATAAGGTTTTGTTGAATTGATGGGGAAAAAAAATCTCCAAATTTTAGGGAAGTCTTTGTCATTTCCTGGCTTTACCGTCATCTATTAGTATAATAAACAGTAATTTCACAAGTCAAATTATTGGCACTTTCAAAGAATTTTTTTTTATTTTATTTTAAAAATTTTGGTTGTTTGATTCATACAAAAGAGTGAGGTTAAAGGGTCACTGTCTCTTTTTGGTCACTTGCAGGGTCGTAATTGACAATGGAGTTTGCCCCAATTCAACTGTCGTCAAGGTTTTTACCCTCACGCAACCTTCCTCTGTTCTTTCCTCTTCTCTTCCTCTAATTTCACAATGATCTTTAATTAATTTTATTTATTTATTTTTCCTTTCAGATCGATAGCGCAAGAAGCCCAGGGATATTGCTTGAATCTGTACAGCTTCTCACCGATATGAATCTCTGGATTAGGAAAGCTTACATTTCCTCTGACGGAAAATGGAATATGGATGGTAATTACCCCTAATTTTACGCTAATTATCATAATTAAGGAAGTTATAATTAGCTGTTTTGACCTTTTTCGCTTCTTCAGTTTTTCATGTTTGCGATCTTAACGGAAACAAATTAACCGACGAGAACCTAATCCGTTACATTGAGAAGGTAAATTTTATTTTATCATTTTAATCACTTAATGTTTTTTTTTTGACGAATTTTAATCACTTAACTACACAACTAATTTTGTGAATGTTACTGGAAAACTCAACGACACACTTCTTTTTTCTTCTAAATTTTCACAGTCGATTGAGACGTCTCATTACAGTAAAAGCGAAGGGTACACCGGTTTAACCGCTCTAGAGTTAACCGGAACAGACAGAGTCGGTTTACTCTCAGAGGTTTTCGCGGTTCTAGCTGATCTCGAGTGTGATGTTGTCGAGGCCAAGGCATGGACGCATAACGGAAGGATTGCGGCGATGATTTACGTTAGAGACGGTAGCTCCGGTACTCCGATCGACGGAGATTCCCAGAGGGTCCAACGGGTAGAAGGTCAGTTACGTAATTTACTAAAAGCAGACGACGGTTACCAAAACGACACGAGGACATGCGTTACGTATGGTGGCAATACTCACATGGAGAGAAGACTGCACCAGAGGATGTTCATGGACCGTGACTACGAGAGGAAGTTTGATACGGAGAAATCTCCGATCGTTTCGGTACAAAATCTTCCCAAACGCGGTTACTCCGTCGTGAATTTGCAGTGCAAAGATCGGCTGAAGCTTCTGTTCGACGTTGTTTGCACGTTGACGGATATGGCTTACATTGTGTTCCACGCTGCAATTCGAACGGTTGGAGAAACGGCGTTTTTGGAATTCTATGTAAGACATAGCGATGGAAATCCGGTTAGTTCAGAACCGGAGAGACAACGTTTGATCCAATGTTTACAAGCCGCAATTGAAAGAAGAACGGTCAAGGTACCACTAACAACTTTCTCCTTGATTGTTTAATTACAACTTAAACCGTGGTCTAGTTGCTGAATTTTAAACTTTTTTGTTGAAGGGTGTGAGATTGGAGCTATGCACTGCGGATAGACCGGGATTGTTATCGGAAGTAACGCGTGTATTGAGGGAGAACGGTTTAAACATTGCTAGAGCCGAGATATCGACTAAGGACGGTATTGCGAGGAATGTCTTCTACGTAACCGATGCAAATGGTAACCTAATAGATCCCGAGAGAATCGAATCGATTCGAGAGAAGATCGGAATTGATGAACTAAGTGTCAAAGAACCGGTTAGTTGCCGAGAAGCGGCTGAGAAGGAACAGCAGGGAGGAGAACCGCAAGATCAGCAAGGACGCATTGGAGGAGGGACAGTGTTGGTGTCACTTGGGAGTCTAGTGATGAGAAATCTATACCAATTGGGTTTGGTTAAATCATATTTTTAGAACACTAACCGGGCCATATATACCAATTCAATCGTGTTTGTTAATAGACCCACGCGGTTGAATTGGTGTATTTGGAGCAGATAGTGAAGTGAAGCAGTGATTGGTTTGGTTTAGGGTGGTGGGAAATTTGGTAATTAATTATTGTACATAAAGAAGGTGCAAAGTTAGTTAAAAAAATTTGGTGGTCGGTCTTCTGGTTGGACCAATAGGTGTAGTAGAAAGATGTTAGGCAGATCTTCTTGGTACATTTATTTTAATTATCTGTACATATTGTATATAAATGGTTGTAGAACATTAGCTCTTGTTAATAGTAAGTCAGTGTGTTAATGTAAATAATAATTTAGTTATGGATTAGTTTTACGCAAGGAGACAAGCTGGTCCTACATGTGTGAATCTTATTAATTTGTTTTGTTTTATGATGAATCTCGTTTTCATTTGATCGTTTAGCATGCTTATAAAAAGACAACTATGTTTCTTCAAGATGAAGATAAGCTTAATTTACATCTGACCAATAAACAATTCTTTTAAGAATTACTATAGTTTATAGCCCATGGACTTGTGTCACTATGACGTAAAATCCACGTATTGTGCGACAACTATGATAATACATGAACTAACTCTATTGCGTCATTTACTTATGGAAAAGAAAAAACTGAAAAGAATTTTAAAACGAACATTTTATATAAAACGGAAAATAACAATAACTTTTTTTTTTTTACAAACAGTTCATGTTTAGGGGCATATAGATGAAACTAAAACTGATATGGAATTAATTATTTCTGAAAAGAAGGCAAACATAATTGAAGGAAGTCAAACAAACATTTGAAAATTGAAAAAAATTATACACATTGCTCTGAACTTGTGCTGTGTTACACAGTTTTTCGTTATGAACTGTAAAAAAAAAAAAAAAAAAAAAAAAGTCAAGAGAATCTAACAGAGAATCTAACTTTACTGTGGGCTTATAATGCAAAGTTGCAAACAGCGAAGCATTATTAACGAATAAAAGCTAAACACGTGACTTCTGAATCCAACAATCCCACCAACCCGGTTCTTCCGAAATGACCGCCGGTTAAAACCTAGGTTCGCATTTTAACTCCACTAACTTTATTTTTATCTTTGTAGACTCATCCTATTATTCACATAGAGCACTAAAAAGTAAAAACCTATAGCTGAAAGAGTGAAAGTGAAGTTGTACTTAAAAAATGAAGGACGTATTATACTAAATCCGAATTCGAACCAATATATATATATATATATACTAAATTATTATTTATTGAACCGAAATTCTGATCAAACATCCTTTTAAGTAGATCACATGATCTTGTTGAGAAAGTGTTTTATATACTTTATTTCTTGATCATTAACTAATTAAAGTATTCGATAAATAAAAGACTTTTAATATATTTGATAACCTCTAACTTTTAATCCCGAGCTGGGCTGTAATGTAAGATGCCTATCTATATATAAGGCTTATGTAGCCCAAATTAATTAGCATGTTCCTTTGTTCATTCAGCTGGGATTAACTTGGATGTAGAAACTGAGCCTTGTTCCCCAAGCTCTGCAGGTTCTTGTTTACCCAAACCAGACAGAGTTCCTTTTAACACCAATGTTGATTGATGATGATCCTAACTAAACCAAAATTCTCCATGATCTGAACCTTGAACCCAGCTACACCCAAGTGTCTTACTCAGTTTCTTTTCTTCCATACCCTTTCTTACGTTCCATGCATCGTCCCATCTACCAACAGAAGTATAGAAATTAGCAAGCTGCGAAAGATAACCAGAAGGATCGGTCTCGAGCTCGATGCAGTGGCTGCACGCAATCTCCCCAAACTCCACGTTACTGTGTTAACCACTGGCTAAAAGCAAGGCTCCCCACACTCCAGCGTTTAGCTGCATCGGCATACTCTTTGACCAGCTCGTATGCTTTCTCTACTTTTGCACCTTTGATGCATTTAGTTAGTATAAAAAAAATGACTAAACATACTTACATCTATCTTAACTGATAAGATAGTTAGATGTTACCAAAACGTGTTCCTAAAATAATTGTAACTACGTAATTATGATAATGTATATATTAGAGTTTCAACATAATTAGAGAATCAATGATATCTATTATTAATGGGTCACAGATAATCCACAGTTTTATATTTATAACCATAATGATATAAATATACATTAATTGCAAGATATCAATTATGAAAAGAAAAATAAATAAATTATGCATGCAATAGTGAAAAGTTGTTCCTCAAAAGATCTCGAAGGAGAGTATCGCAAACTATAACATCAAACCAAAATCAATTATGCATGCACTAATGGTTCATGGCAATCACGGTTAATCACATCGAAGATTTGATTTTTTGTTAATTGTATAGATTACATAGATTAGGAAACCTTCTCTGATACAGCCCCGTCTTAGTATTTTCAAGAATTTTAGGCGAAATACAAAATATAGACCTTTTATATTATATTAATCAAAATAAACCAAATTATAACTTTTTGACTTTTTAAAATATAAAATAAGTTGCTAGTTTGTTAAGAAAATTACATAACTAGTTTGTATAATATTTTTTTTTTTGACATAATACTTCATTCAAGTGCATCATTTCTGTAAATTGCATAAAAAATTCATCAAACATAAAAAATATAAAAGAATATTAATTATTTTTAGAAAAAGAAAAAGTCATATATATCTTTTTAACTTTATAGATGCAAAATTATTGATAATTATTTCAAAATTTATTGTTTCTAAAACTTTCTTTTCAATGCATAAAAGTACAAGACCATTCAATCTTTGTTGAAACATTGATCTGATCTTAAAATTCTTTGTAATTTTTAATAATTGAGATGGTTGTTGTCTTGTTAACAAAGAAAACAGTTAAGGTATAATCCTTTTGTATAAGTAGGTTATAACGTGTTATTAATAATTGAATAAATTATGAACCTTTTTATGTACTAAAAAATAATTATATATTCATAACTCTCTTAAAGAATATATTTTTAACAAATTTTATAATATATATAAAAAATTGGGCCATTAAATTTTAAGTATAATTTTTTTTAGGTCATAATCCCTTATTTTATTAAATGGACTGTGAGCCTTATTATGTACTATAAATCAGTTCTATTTTTCTTTAATGTGTTAAAGAACACATTATAAAAAAGTTTTCAATATAAAAAAAAAATTTGAGCCCTTAAATTTTTGGACCCATGGCCATTGCTCCTCCCGAGACTGCTCTGATATATATGTATCGTCTTCTTCATTACTAAATAACACAAAATACATTCAGCAACACTCTTAATTTTCAGAATCCTATAAATAGATAATCAGATTCATATATTTTATGTAAACAGTAATTTTTTCATATATTTTTAATTAATTGTATCTGTAAAAAAAAATGGTCTTGAAAGTATTATATGTGTTCGTGGTTTTAACTATTTTTATGTGGATCTTAAGATCTCTCAAGCCACATCTCGTGTCGCTTTTCACGAGTCATCCATTGCTGATTACCATCAACAATGGATGATACAATTTTCTCGAGTTTATAAAGATAAATCCGAAAAACAGATGAGGCTTGAAGTGTTTAAGAAAAACTTGCAGTTCATTGAGAACTTCAATAATAAGGCGAATCAAAGTTACAAACTTGTTGTAGATATTGTACGTAATAATATTTATGTTTACAGTTCTAATTTATACCATTCATTTTTTTTTTGCTGTACAAATTTTTTTTCCAAATGACATAATTTTATGCTTTCCAAATTTTAGAATTCTACAGTCAAAATTTAAAGAAATAAAATATACAGCTACAGCAAAAAAAATTTGCAGCTCTGGACTTGATTGGTTAGTTCTATAGATTCTGTACACATTGAATATATATATATATATATATATATAAAGTTATAAATAATACCAATCATGTTTTATAAACTTTGTCTTTTTTTTATTTGCTCACAACCAAAATATTTCTTTATTTTTTTTTTTTGCTATATAAAGCTTTTTTTTTAAAACACATAATTTTATGCTTTCCAAATCTTACATCTATAGTCAAAAAAATAAAATCTACAGCACATTAAAAAAACTTACAACCATATTTCTACAGCAAAAACGTAAAGTTACAACTGTTATGAATCAAGTCCTACATAGTTAGGAAACCTTCTCTGATATATATGTCGTCTTCTTCATTACAAAATAACACAAAATACATTCAGCAACACTCTTGATTCAGAGAATCCTAAAAATAAAGTATCAAATTCATATGTTTTGGCATAAACAGTGAATTTTTCATATAATTTTTTATTAGTTGTTTGTATCAAAAATCAAAATGGTCTTGATAGTGTCGTATGTGTTTGTGGTTCTAACTATTCTTTTTACTGATTTTAGGATCTCTCAAGCCACATCCCGTGTTGCTTTTCACGAGTCATCCATTGCAGATTACCACCAACAATGGATGATACAATTTTCTCAAGTTTATAGAGATGAATCCGAGAAACAGATGAGGCTTAAAGTGTTCAAGAAAAACTTGCAGTTCATTGAGAACTTCGACAATAAGGCGAATCAAAGATACAAACTTGGTGTCGGTGAATTCACGGATTGGACCAAAGAGGAGTTCTTTGCCACCCACACCGGTCTCAATAGCATTAATGTAATCTCACCGTCTGAAGTGGATGATGAAGTGATGCCATTTTGGAATTTGAACATTGGTAATGTTGTGGGCGAGAGTAAAGACTAGAGAAAGGAAGGAGCTGTAACACCTGTCAAAATGCAAGGACGATGTGGTAAGTTTGTCTGAATTATATAATATAAATAGTATCTGATTTTTTTTTTGAAATTTTAGGGTTAGGGTTACCAATACAAGATTTGTTTCGTAACAATGAAGTAATCAATATATGGGCAGGTAGCTGTTGGGCGTTCTCAGCGATTGCAGCGGTGGAAGGTTTGACAAAGATTGCCCGAGGAAACCTCGTATCACTGTCAGAACAGCAACTTGTAGATTGCGTTAAACCGAGTGACAATGGTTGCATCGACGGGGAATATATAGAAGAAGCTTTCAACTACATAGCAAAAAACGGAGGCGTTTCTTCAGAACAAGCATACCCTTACCAAGAGAAAGATGAGAGTTGCCGGCCCAACATCAAACCCGCCATGCAGATCAGAGGGTTTCAAAACGTTACACAAAACAATGAGCATGCGTTGCTCGAGGCTGTATCGAGACAGCCTGTATCGGTGGCCATTGACTGTAATGGGGCCGTTTTCATGGTTTATGCAGGGGGAGTGTATAATCCGTCTGATTGTGGGATCGTCACAAATCATGCAATGACGTTGGTTGGGTACGGGACGAGTCCGGAAGGCATCAAATACTGGTTAGCTAAAAAACTCTTGGGGTAAAACTTGGGAAGACAATGGTTACATGAGACTCCGTAGAGATGTGGATTGGCCTGAAGACATATGTGGCATAACTAATTATGTTAGATGATTCATATTGAAATATGCTACATTATGATTAATATATTAATATAAATAAATTTTTATTTTAAAATAATTGAATCAATTATATACAAACACGTCTTGAATTTTTTTGTTAACTTTTTTTTGTCGAGTATTTCATATGAAAGACGGTACGTAATTCTCTATCTTCCTTTTCCCTGTTTTTCTATTTTTTCAATTAAATATAATATAGTGGTGTCTTAAAAGGTTTGAGTAGGTACTCCAAGAAGGGTTCTCGTGGACAAGACTACCGGACGGAGCGTTGTAACGCAAACTATAACATTCCATGTATTACACGTTAGCTAGAAAGAAACTAAGAAAAACATTCCATGTATTAATCTTTCATATACCACTTGAAGTCTTTAATTGACTTCACTCATATTTTAGTATCGCTTATCACTATTTTCCACCTAAATTTCTAGTACCGTTTTACATAAATAATAGATCCAATGCACAATACATGGGATATGTGACATACTCCAGAAAAAAAATATTTGTTTAAAAAGATAGATTTTTTCATTTTTTAAAATAATTATTGTCAATTTTTTTATATTTTATTCTTATTACTTTTCTTTTATTTATTTCAAAGTAATTTTTTCAAATAAAAAATATAACGTAAAAATATCAATTTATAATTTTTCTTAATAATTATGAAAATTTTAAAAAATCTTAGAACAAAATAAGTATATCATAGGAATATAGTACATGTCAAGTGACATCACACTTGTTGCTGAACCAACGAAACTACGTCATCACAACAAATATTCGCCATCCACAAGTACATCACATGATCTTGTTGACAAACAAGTATTTTATACTTCTTTTCTTGATCATTATAGTATTTGATAAATAAAACACCGTAAATATATTTGATACTAACATTTTAACTTCTAATCCCGAACTGGGCTGTAATATAAGGCTTATGTGGCCCAAATTAATTACATTAGAGGCATGTTCCTTTGTTCATCCAGCTGAGAACTTGGATGTAGAAACTGAACCTTGTTCCCCAAGCTCTGCAGGTTCTTGTTTACCCAAACCAGTCAGAGTTCCTTTAACACCAATGTTGATTGATGATGATCCTAACTAAACCAAAACTCTCAATGATCTGAACCTTGAACCCAGCTACACCCAAGTGTCTTACTCAGCTTCTTCTCTTCCATAGCCTTTCTTACGTTCCTTGCATCGTCCCATCTCCCAACAGAAGTATAGATATTAGCAAGATGCGAAAGATAACCAGAAGAATCAGTCTCGAGCTCGACGCAGTGGCTGCACGCAATCTCCCCAAACTCAGCGTTGTTGCGTAACCCACTGGCCAAAAGCAAGGCTCCCCACACTCCAGCGTTTGGCTGCATCGGCATACTCTTGATCAGCTCGTATGCTTCCTCTAGCCTACCGGCTCGTCCCAACATATCCACCATTATCCCGTAATGATCAGCTGAAGGTTCCAAGTCGTAGTCATTCATGGAGTTGAAGCATTTGTAGCCTTCTTGAACAAGACCCGAATGGCTATACGCTGATAACAGTCCTGTGAATGTTACTTGGTTCGGAGAAATCTTCTTTTCGACCATCTCTCTAAACAAACGATTTGCTTCTGTGGCCATACCGTTTATCCCACACCCTGTGATCATTGCTGAGTAAGAAACAGTATCCTTTTTGTCTAGACCACTGAACAATTTGAATGCCTTGTCAAAGTCTCCGCCTTTCATGTAAAGATCGATCAGAGAGGTACTTAAAAGATCATCGATTTGGATTCCGTGTTCTGTTATGTATGACTCGACCCATGTACCGAAACTTGTATCACCCAGCTGTGAGTTAGCTGACACAACGCTTGAGAGTGTGATCTCATCCGGCTGAAAACCTGAGTTGCTTTCGAGCATCTGAGAGAATAGCTTCAGAGCATCCTTTGGCTTACCGTTTTGAGCATAACAAGCTATCATTGTATCGTAAACGAGTTTGTCTTTCTTGGACATCTGTGTGAAAAGCTCTTCAGCAGACTGAACATCGCCTGATTTTGTGTACCCTGAAAGCATTGTGATCCAAGTGACGCTGTTCTTCTGTGGCATTGCATCGAAGTAGGTTCTTGCTAGCTTCATTTCCCTGCAGTTCACGTACCCGCCGATCAGAATATTCCAAGAAGCCGGGCTTTTCAAAGGCATCGTCAGAAACAGAGACGTTGCATCGCTCATGTCACCTTTTTTTGCATAGCTGGAGATGATTAGGTTCCATGACACCACATCTTTCTCTGGAATCTTGTCAAAGACTCTGCGAGCTTCATCTAGATCTCCACTTTCAAGATACCCGTGTAGAAGCGAGTTCCACGAAACTGTGTTCTTGTTAGCAATCTCATCAAAAGCTCTCTTTGCCATCTCGATATAACCAAGTCTTGAATACAAACCCACCAGACCAGTCTGAACATAAACACAACCACATAATCCACTTTTAAGAGCTTGAGCATGGATCGAGTCACCATCAATCATGTTTTCTATCTTACCACAGGCTCTTAACGCTGAAGTCACGGCGTGTGAGCTTGGAGGGATTCCTGAGTTGTGCATTTCGATGTACAAGGCAACGGTTTCTTTGAACTTTCTATGCTGGCTCAAGAACCGAACAAGACATCCCCAGGAGAAAGTATCCAGACCCTTGGGAGCTGCAGAGACTTTAGAACTCTGAAACGCCTTGAGTATTCTTTTGACATAGCTTACGACATCTCTTGAGAACTCCTTTGTGAAGTGAAGAGTCTGGTGGACCAAGATAGGCTCGAGATGGTCATAGCGGTTCACAACTAACTGTGCGTGGAGCTGCTTCGCCTGTCCAGGCAATACACATTTGTGAAGGAAGAATCTCAGCCTAGCTTCCAACATTTGAGAATCAACAGAACAACACTAAAAAAACAGAGTAAATAATCAAACTACACTTTCACAGCACCAATAGAATCGTCAAATGTTCCATCTTCTTCTCAGCTATGTTCTAGCGAAAGAACTAAGCAGGGCAAGTTTGTAAATGGTACCTGAAACTGAGGGTTTCTACCCAAGGCCAAGATTCTATAACTGGGTTCCGCTACCTAAAGGCTTCACATTTAACCTCCGATTCCTAATTTAACGCTTATTACCGAATAATCTAGGAACAGTCTACACTTAATCTCGATCTAATTTGACATCGACACAAACCCTCGAAAAGGAATAAGCTTATTTTTAGAAACGACAGTACGGGAGAAATTTAAGAGCAAGAGAGTGTGAAAAATACGGCGATTGCCGGCGACAGTGACGACCACTTCCTCTGCTATAAAACCCTGTTTTTCATTTACAATCCGGAGAAGAAGAAAAGAAGATACTTCCTCAGACTCCTAGTCAGCTAGAAGGTTCTGCTCTTCCTAAGACTCCTACTCAGCTAGAAGGTTCTGCTCTCATTTTCTTTTTGTGTCACCAACTATATTTTTACAAATAATTTTTTTTTAAAAAAAAAAAGCTGCTTTGGTTTCCAAAAGTTGTATAGACTAAAAAACAGTCGATGTTCTGTGAGGTCAGTGGGTAATTGAATTGAACAAGTTGTGTTTCTATAAAGGCTAATCTTGAGTCTTATTGACGGTTATAAACAACGTTAGAGGTTTTAATTCTTAATAACTATATCAAATATGGCGATGGACAATTTTCAAGAATTACAATAATATGGTCAAGCATTCAAATAAACTTCTAGCTCTGTAAACTTATAAGCACCTAAATATCTATAAACTTATAGGAGCTATATATATAGTACAATTTTATAAATAATAACCCTCCTTATTCTTTGAGATTGGAGCAACATAGAAAATAAATATTATATGTGCCACGCTCAAGTACTTTTGGTTAATATCATTGCATACATACCAATATGTTCCATAACTTTCTCGTTCTCCTCAAGAGTTTCCCAATAATCTGAGCGATGCAAGATCCTATCAAATTCGATGACGAAATAAGGGTCGTTCTAACCGGAGTAATCCCGGCGAACGAAACTTCGGCTTCATGAACTCTCTTTCTCAGGTAGAAGTTTCTACTTCCTATTTCTCCAATTATTTCTCCTTTTTCCAAACCTGCAAAATTACATCAAATTAATTAATTATTCTATTTTCTAACAGTTTAATTACGTGGAAAAAAAAGAAGAAGGTAATATAATCGGCTCAAGTAGCCAATTTATTTGTTATAAGTTATAGCTCATGCATTATGTGATGATTCTTTCTTTCACATGATTCAGGAGTACTTAACTTTACATATTTTCCATGACTGTTGGAGTTTAAAGCCAAACTAGATATTATATCCTAGATATTAATCCAACCTAATCAAACTAATATACATGATCAAACCGAAAACAATGGATTTGTTTTTTTTTATCAACCAAAATATAGAAAAAAAAATAAAAACTAATATTTGGTTAGAGTTGTGTTACACAACTTGTGTGTAGCTGCTTACACTGAATGCTGAAATGAGATTGATGCAATTCAAAGACAGAATGTTGATCGAGTTTCGGTGTTCTTCCTTCTTTGCAGTATTTCTCCACAACGAGTTTGATCGTTTCTTCTACGTTGCAACTTAATTTAACCATTGTTCTTACAGGTCCAGGACTTCCTTCTACTGCTACGTTGATTACTACTTTTGTTGCTTCTCTTTTATTTGCCTGATTATGTTTCGAATCAAGAAATATACGTAAGGATTTGGCATATTTCTCACGTTCTGATATCGTGAGCTAGCAACTCTTAGCTCTCTCTGATCATAAATCAAAACTAATGGTTAATTAGTAACATTTCAAAAATACTAGGGTTAAATTGGAAATTCTTAAACCTTTGTGGACTAAATGTAGATTTCTTTTACAGAAGTAAAGTCACGAGTTTGATTTGAAAAATAGTAAAACAGAAATGAAAATCGTGAGAGAGAGAGAGAGAGAGAGAGAGAGAGAGAGAGAAACAGAGTCTGACCTCTTGATTCATCGGAGATGGAGACGTCGGTGAAGTTAAACTCAACAACGACGGAGAAGATGAGAAAACCTCAGAGCGAATCCTAGGCAAGGAGACGATCGGGTCGGATTCTCTCATCGGCGATGGTCGCCGCAGCAGGAAAGTACTGTCTCCGTCTCGGCGGCGATTAAGACTCGGCTCCGAGAAGCTTCGCTCGAAAACATGATTAGCCGATTTTGGTCGATTCTTCTTGTCGGAATCTTGCTGTTTCGCCGTCCACCTCGTCCTGGAGGTCCTGCCACCGTTTCCGAGCGGATTTGGAACTCTTCTCCGGTGAATCGAATTTGACATTTGGTGAAATTGATGATGATTTTGCTTGAGGAGAAGATAGAAGAAAGAAGAAAGAAATTGATAGGTTTTGGTGGTTTGCTTGGCAAAGAAGCGAATCCAGGGATTCTCTGCTTTACTCTCCTTTTCTTTGTTGCTGTTTCTTTTCTTTTCAAATCTTTCTCTCAAAGAAATAGTTTTATTATAGATATTATTCGAGCCGACCAAAATAAAATACCTTTTGATATCCGATTAAAGGTTTTAAGTAGCATAGACGTGGTTCTTGTACTATGATATTTATTATTTTCCTGACGACATTAATACTATTATAGTATGATATCTTATCATGATTCTTACGTATTGAGTTATTAAAGTAATATGGAAATGCGTAGATTGGTAGCTGTATATTTTAGATAACTGTAGCAAAGACTGTTATTCAACGATGGTACAATTATTTCGCCCAAAACAGTTGAACTGTAAGAATATGGAAGAAAAGTTTAAATATCACTATAGATAATAATCATAAAAGGCGTTAAAAGAGGCTATGCACTAAAAAAAAAGAAGTAATGTCTGTTTCTTACTGCATCGTTTAGAAGGTGATATTAAGAAAATGGAATCTCTAAAGTTTTCACAACCCCAAAGTGTATAGAATTTTAGAAAATTTGACACGTTAATCAAGAAAAACGAGAAACCTAACAAATTCATATAACCAACCCGTAAATCCAAAGGTGATATTATAAATAAACAGATACAGATAGACTTCGAATATCGATTCATTTGTATTTACGAAAGTACTGATTAATGGAAATAATATTTAGATCATTAAGTAAAAAATAAGTTTCATTAACGTCAAGAAATAACATAAGTCTTGTTGTTGTGTGGCTGAGATTGGTCGGAGGTGGTTTTCAACTTCTTATTGTTAAAGAAAAAAGAACTTTTGGACGTGTTGTTAAGTTATTAATGGTGTCGTAAGTCTCTGACAAAGAGGCGCGTGTGGGTGAGTCGCTTTCTTACTCCATACGCACTCACGTTCACGCTCAACGCACTTGGCTTATATGTTTCCCAGTTTCTTCCACCGAGTATTACAAAGATCGTCTGTATTATAACACTTAATATATTTTATTTACATGACGAAAATTGCAGACTTTAGAATTTCAAATGTAACGTCACGTTTACTTTGATATCATTGGATAATACTTAATAGCCTGTACTTATTTCAACGTTTTGGTATGCTTATATAATGTTTCACTGTTGCCATACGAAGATTGTAGACACATTCCACAAAAGTCAAATAGCCAATGTCATATATCCGTGAATGCCCCCACAAATAGTATTTTTCAGGGTTTTTACTTTTTAGTAAGCATATGGTAGAGTGAGAAATTGTATAAACCCTTGAAAGAATTAGAGAAAGACCATCCAATAAAAAAAGCAACAAGAGACTATGTGGTGTCCTCTACTTTAAGCATGTCAATTTAGTAAAGTTTCAGAACACTATATCTTAGTTTGATCCCACGCCCGTGCACATGATAAAAACTTAAGAAAATCGAAAAACTAAGATTTCTTAAAAACATCACATTTAAGCTGCAAATTAAATGGATGTATCGTAGATGAAGAATTACAGACAAAAATGGTTTTTTCTTTTTTTTTATTACCAGTTAAACTGAAAATGCAAAATAAATACATCCATCTCATATTAATAAGAAAATATAAACTAAAATTTTTTCCCTTTATTTTGTTTTTCGTAACATTTTTCCACTTAATTACGCTCATCTATTTCATATACCACTTTGAAGTCTTGAACCCTTCAGATTGAGTTCACTTTATATTGGGCTAAACTAACGGTTCATGATTCCTATGTACTTAAAAGAGGCCTAATTTCACAATGGGCTTTAGTAGGGAATTTTTGCATCTAATAAACAATAATCATCCATGTGCATCTAATAATGTCCACGTTAATTTTTTTTTGTTTACTGGTTTTACACATACGTTATCGATCCAACATATATGGAACCCAAAATATTTTTATACATGGGATGTGACATATACATATATCACAAACAGTTAGTGATTTTGGTTTGAACCGGTTCCACACGAGTGTAGATAGATGTACATGTCAAGTGACCATGTGACATCACACTTGTTGATGGATTAACGAGCCACGTCATCACAACAAATATTCGCCAAATCAGTATAACAGACAAAAAAAATCCAGCTAACAACGACGACACTCCCCACACTCTCTCTCAATCTCAATCTCAATCTCACGTCAACGACCGTCGCTCGCCGCCGCCGGAGTAACGAGATTTCTTCATCTAAACAAATGATCCCTTACGCCACGGTTGAAGATGCGTCCATGGCGTTAGGCCGAAACCTGACGAGGCTCGAGACCGTTTGGTTCGATTACTCCGCCGCAAAGTCCGATTACTACCTCTACTGCCACAACATTCTCTTCCTCTTCCTCATCTTCTCCCTCGTCCCTCTCCCTCTCGTCCTCGTAGAATCGGCGCGATCTGCGTCGGGGTGGTTCGATCGGTATAAGATTCAGCCCAAGGTGAAGAACTCGTTCTCCGATATGTTCCGTTGTTACAGAGACGTCATGAAAATGTTCATTCTCGTCGTTGGCCCATTGCAGCTCGTTTCTTATCCTTCGATTCAGGTAATCTCTGGGGATTTCTCTCTCTTAATCAATTTTATAGCTTCTGATTTGAAAATTGACGATTTGGGTTTCAAAATCGATACTTCTTCTGCATTGATTTGACACGAAAAGGCCTTCGCTTTGAGTTTAATTTGGACATTGGCATTGCGTATTTTGACGGAAGATTGAAACCCTTTACAGGATTTGATCATATATTCTGAATGTGAAATTAGAATTGGTTTTGGGTTTCTGTGTGTTGTAACAGATGATTGAGATTCGAAGTGGGTTGCCATTACCGTCTTGCTTGGAGATTGTAGCACAGTTAGTGGTTTACTTCTTGGTAGAGGATTACACAAACTATTGGATCCATAGATTCTTCCACTGCAAATGGGGTTATGACAAGATCCATCATATCCATCATGAGTACACTGCTCCTATAGGATACGCTGCTCCATATGCTCATTGGGCTGAGGTTTTGGCTCTGGGGATTCCCACGTTTCTGGGGCCTGCGATTGCTCCTGGACACATGATCACCTTTTGGTTGTGGATAGCTTTACGCCAAATCGAAGCTATTGAAACTCACAGCGGGTAAGGAAGGAAATTGGTAGAGAAAATCAAAAACAAAAGATCTCTCTTTTCTTGCTTGCTTTTCCTTTTTTTTTTCTTTTTTATTCCGAAGTTTCGAGCTTTTGTTTATTTGTGCATCATATCAACTTTTGAATTGTTTTATAAACACAGCCTTTTCATCTTTACTCTGCTAATACTGTGGTTCAGCTTTTTTTTTTGGTGGGGCTAAGTTAAGCACTAGGCTTTTTTTGATACTTTTAGAGCCTTTTAGCTTTTGAGGATTTGTTTAGATAAGCTTTTGGTGAACATTTGTATTGTTTTTGGTGAGCATTTGTATTGGCTGAGTATGGAAACATCTTAAAATGATAAGTATCTCCTCTCGATCCAACTTCTGGAGCAACCTAAACCATTTAGAGCAGAGAATCAGTTTGATGTTTGTTTTGGTGCATGCATGAGAGAGTGACTTGTTTTTTTTTCCTTAATATCGTAGATATGATTTCCCATGGACTCTGACAAAATATATTCCATTCTATGGTGGAGCTGAGTATCATGATTACCATCATTACGTTGGAGGACAAAGCCAGAGCAACTTTGCGTCAGTTTTCACTTACTGCGATTACATCTATGGAACCGACAAAGTGAGTATTGAAAACTTCAGTTTCCTTTCCTTTTTGAGTCTCTACCAATTCAGGATGAAATCATTGACATTGTGGCTATATTATTCTTACCTTTCCATCAGGGTTACAGATTCCAAAAGAAGCTTCTTAAGCAGGTAAATAAATACTCCTAGATATGTTTCTCTATTCGATGATGTGTTTCTTAATGCTTGTATCTTATGAGTTGCAGATCAAGGAGGGGTCCAAGAAGAGCAACAAGCAGAATGGAGGAGAGAAATTCGATTAAGTAAACCTAATACTCCTCATGTGGGTTGAAGTTACTTATCATAAGATGAGTTATGAGGAATCTGCTGATCTAAGTCAAGACTCACAAAACAAAGGCTAGTTTAGTTTTCTCTTTTCTGCTGTGTCTTGTGTGTCACATGGAGATGCTCCTATATTTTCGATCTGTGTGCGTCTTTCTTGGCAAAAGGTTTTTCTTTCTTTTTAGTCAAGGCGTTATGATTTTGTATGGTGAAGGAAAGATGATCAGAATTCATAAAGGAATCATCAGATATTGGAACTTTGTCTTCTTTGTTTGTTCCTTAAAGACTTATATTTGTTAATCAAGAAAATTTAGTCTTATTGTTTAATGAAGAACATGTCGTCAATGATATCAACAAGGCCCGTCTAGCTCAGTTGGTAGAGCGCAAGGCTCTTAACCTTGTGGTCGTGGGTTCGAGCCCCACGGTGGGCGATTTATATTTTACTCTATGAAACTACTCTTTTTTTTTGTAACGGTCGTACGCCATCACTTCATTCATCTTATCACATCATCCACAAATGCGAATCGCATGAAACTAACTACTCTACTTTTGTAATGCAATTCTTAGAATTCTTGAATCTAAAATATATATTCAAAACATGTTATTAACTTTATGGGTAGTGAATGTTAGGTATGTTATATCCTAAACTACTTCAATGAGTTCTTATTCTAAACTAATCCAAGGCTTTTTTTAAAGAGTTAATTAGCTAGCTCGATCGCCAAAATCTTGATAGTTATTAACGTAAACACTTCCATATGCAATGACTAAACTAGCCTTCTGCAGTTCTGCTGTTGGGTGTGGATGAAATGCATAGCATGTGTACTATGTATATATCTGGACGAACGCGACGTGGCTGGTTTTCGTGTTTGTGGTGGAGACTTGTTTTATTTACTTCAAAATTAAAAAAATAAAATAATAACGACGAAGTTTTTCTTCATGTGACATGACATGTTTGAAAAGTGAGAGTTGTAGAAATCCCCTAATTTTGTATTCGATAAGTTGACTATTTTAAGAAATTAACAAAATATTATAAAAGTTAAACTCAGCCTCTTGACTAAAATTCAAAACTAAACCTAAATCCTACACCTTAAAGGTTAAACAAATTCCTTAAATATAATGTTATTCACTCTCAACTCAATGTTGTTTACATGTAATAGACTTATATTCTGAAAATCCGCATGCTTCATTATTCTTACCCAACTAAAGTGCATTTTGCAAGTTTAAAAAAACAAAAAAGGTTATCCATCTAATTTAACAAATTTTCGTATTTATAAAATCTAAACCCTCTAATCGTGAAAAGCCATAAATTCGATAATTCAAATCCACTTCAATCTAAAATTTAACTCTAATTAATTGCGCGTTGTAAATATATATATATCAGTAATTATATGATGCTGCTTATATCTTATCTCTGTTTTTTGTAGTTTCCTTATTTAAAACAAAAACAAATTTAGGCCGTAAATGCACATGCACTGCAGAACTTCGTCGTGGTTTTTTATTGGTATGTGTGAGAGAGGGTCGCAGATTCATTAACAGTAGTAAAGATCTACGCAATCTATACGTCTACAATAGACTAGCTAGCTCGTTGACACAGTACTCTCTCACACACACACAAAATAAGTGGACAACATATAAAGGGTGAAAACAGAGAAGTAAACAGTATACAAAGATAAAAATACTTTTTGGTTTTTTGGCTTGGATCCGCTAGCAAGTGGTGTTGCTATTTCGACATCTTTGCGTACGAGAGTTCGACATCTTTGCGTACGAGAGTTCGACATCATTTATCCGTAATTAAAAGGTTGAAAAAGGACCAAATAAACTCGTTCACACAAAAAGAAGAAGAAGATATATATTCTTTGTGTTCTACAAAAAAACAGATAAAAGGAGGACCCAAGTTTTTTTTTTTGAAAATAAGGAGGACCCAAGTTTGGTGTCGTGTTTTACTAAAAACAGAAAGAGGAGGCCCGATTTGGTTGGCGGACTTCTCAAAGGGAAAGTTCAGAAACAATTTGGGAAAATCGAAACCGATGTCAAGAGAGTTAGGTCACTACTGTGTGCTTCTGATTGGTTAAAGAGTCCAAAACCCTCATTTAACTTCCATAATTAACTATTCTTCGAACTCTGTGAATTTTATTTTATTTTTTCTACCATCCTTATATATATTCCGAGTCACTAACTCAAAAACATTGCCACACACACAAAAAAAAAAAAAAAAAAAATACAGACACAAACTCTCACAACATGATCCCTTACCCAACCGTGGAAGATGCGTCCGTAGCGTTAGGACGAAACCTGACTTGGTTCGAGACGGTTTGGTTCGATTACTCAGCCACCAGATCCAATTTCTATGTATATTGCCACACCATTTTGTTACTGTTCCTCGTTTTTACTCTCGCTCCACTCCCTTTTGTGTTTGTGGAATTGACCGGTTGGTTTGATCGGTTCAAGATTCAACCGAAGGTGAAGTATTCGTTATCTGATATGTTCCGTTGCTACAAAGATGTCATGACGTTGTTCCTTCTTGTGGTCGGCACATTGCAAATCGTCTCTTACCCTTCGATACAGGTTAATTTACTATTAGTTTTATCTTTTATATAATCTTTTTGTTAATATTTTGTATTTGCATTTGAGCTTATTCATTAAAAGAAACCAACACTTTATTATATATTAGTAACGGGATTTCCCTATGTTATTGCTAACTATAGGTTTGCAACATATTTTGTGTGAGTGTTACAATTTTGCTGAATTTTTTTTTATTTATTTAAGGTTTTTAAAGCAATCTTGTCATATTCTTGAAATGTACTAATTAAAAGATGTGATTAGATTTGTGTGGTAATTACAGATGGTAGGGATTCGAAGTGGACTGCCATTACCATCGTTGATGGAGATTGTAGCACAAATAGTAGTTTACTTCTTGATAGAAGATTACAGTAACTACTGGATCCATAGACTGTTGCATTGCAAATGGGGTTACGAGAAGATACATCGAGTCCACCACGAGTACACATCTCCAATCGGATTTGCATCGCCGTATGCACATTGGGCCGAGATCTTGCTTCTTGGGATTCCGACATTTCTTGGACCGGCGATTGCACCTGGTCACATCATGACCTTTTGGTTGTGGATCACTTTACGTCAAATCGAGGCCATCGAGACTCACAGCGGGTAATAAACTGAAATAACTCAAGTCATAAATCCTGTTTAGCGTTTGCAAAGCATAATATTTGCAAAAGCAATGAAAAACACTATACTTTAATTAATAAATGTAAGAGATGTAATGGCAAAGATAAATATTTACATTTGAATATTTGGAACAAAAAAATGGATTTTCTTTTTCTTGATTGTTTTGCAGATATGATTTTCCATGGAGTCTGACAAAATGCATTCCGTTCTACGGTGGAGCTGAGTATCATGACTATCATCACTACGTTGGAGGACAAAGTCAGAGCAATTTTGCTTCAGTTTTCACTTATTGCGACTACATCTATGGAACTGACAAAGTAAGTTTTCGATGAAAACTTCAAATCAAATTATTTTTCCTTATTTTTTTTGGTTAGAGTGCGTTTGAACTATTTATATAGTTGAGACTTGAGACATTGATGAGTGTTGTTGTTGTATTTTTGATCATTAGGGCTATCGAATCCATAAGAAGCTTCTTCATCAGCAGGTTAATTAATATTCTCAAACTCAGACTCATTATATATAGTGTTAGCTTCATATCCATATAATTTATTTTGTTGTTTATGTAATGTTTTGTTTCTGTATTTTTGTTTTTTGTTTTTTGTTTTTGGGGCATATCTTATTCATTGTAGGTTAAGGAGGAAGGTGAGCACAAGGGAGGAATGAAATACGATTAGTACGTAATAAAAATGTGAAGAGAATTGAAAGTTTCAATCCAATGATAAGACTCCCATTAAATAATTGTATATGATCCCATCATATGTTACTGGATCGTGTTGTGGTTGTATAATGCTTTGGTTGTTTGTAACTAGAAATAGGTATGCGATCATGTGACGCAAAATCATATAAAGAAAAAAACAAATTACTATTATTCTCATTCTCCACTTCTAACTTTCATGAAGAAGGACTTGTCCGTCCTTTTTGGGGTAATAAAATCCCACAAAAACAAAATATGGTCGGGTATATAAAATTATTATCGGAAATATTGTATGTCTTTAGCCAACATATGTGTTGGATGATCTGAATATTTCGATATACGTAGTATGGATGATTTGGATAGTGAAAATCATTTACTATAGCTCTAACTAAATTGGGTGAAAATCAAATTCAAATTTAAGAATTTCTGGATGGTTTACGTAGTAACTTTATAAGACAATTTTTTTAAGTTTAATTACTTATAAGTTCTAATAACAAATAACTCAAACACCTAACTAGTTAAATGATCCATTATTAATGTATTATACCGATCCAAATGAGTAATTTTCATTGTAATCCATATGGATATAGGTAATTTGGATGATCCAGTTCGAAGTTAATTTAACCATGCTTGTAATTATTGTTTTTTTTATTCACCAAAACTTTTAACTACAGTATTTTTTTTCACGTAACCTTTTTAATTTAACCACGCGTGTAATTATTTAGTTACCTTCTTTTTTATCCAGACATGATTAGGAGTTAATGTTGTCCCAATGAAAAGAGATTTAGGACTATACAATGAAACGAAGAAAATAATTTCTTCGTTGAAGGACAATTATCCAGGAAAATTATGTAATTTTCACTCGATTTTTCCCCTGATTTATAATTTTATTCCTCAATCAAAAAAGGGGTTTGCTTCATCTTCTTCTTCGACCAAGAGATCTCTGTTTTTTTTTTTTTTTGAAGAACCCTCGACAATGGCGTGGAACGTGTTCAAGTTCTGCACAGCACTTCGCGCATTGGGTTCGATCATGATCCTGGTCGTAATCGGGATCGTCGGATTCACATATTACGCCGTGGTAGTCTTGAATTACGGACCGGGTCTATTGCTCGGAGGTCTCGATTCGTTTCTAGCTCTTCTGGTTTTAGCGCTCTTTCACTTTCTGGTAAACTCTTTTTTTATAAGTCAAATCTAAATTTTGAACCTTTTTGTGACCCTTTTTGAGATCTTTTCATTTAGTACCTTCCCGCTTCTTAGATCTCTTCTGATACAATGATAAGCTGGATCAGATTATGCCTTATTAACTATTGAAACCTTTTGGTTTTCAACTTGACTCGTGTGTCCTTTGTGTTGATGATATAGAGTCAAAGCTTGTTAATTTATATTGCATAGACTAGAGAATCTAAAACGCCTACTACTTCATAGTGTTTGACTGTTTGTGGTATGTAGATTAGGTGTTTTAGATTTATGGCTGTTGGATTTCAAGTACTAATTATGGTATCTGTCACACTTCTTGTAATGCAAATTGCAATTGAATCAGGAAACAAGCGAGATAGTGAGTTTATCATGGATATTGTAAGCCATGGAAGCAATCAAGTAGTCATCTTTTTTATGATTTGGTTTAGTGTGTACTGTGTCTGTGACTCCTCTAGTTTTGAAGCTGCTGCTTTATTGCGTCTTGTTATAGATTATCTCAGACGTAAGAGATAGAATTGAAGAAGTGATGATTGTTTTGTTTATCTGTGCAGCTTATAATGCTATTGTGGAGTTACTTCTCTGTTGTTGTGACGGACCCTGGTGGTGTTCCACCGGGCTGGAGGCCGGAACTAGACATAGAGAAGAGCGATGAAAATCAAGAAGCGACGGCAGAAGCAAACTCATCACTCTCGGTCGGAGATTCGTCGTCTCATATCGTAAGATATTGCCGAAAGTGCAATCAATATAAACCGCCTCGTTCTCACCATTGTTCAGTCTGTAAGTCTCTTGCAGTTGTGTGGCTCTTTGATTCGAATCCAGTGGAGTATTTGTTTCTTTAGTTCCTGAAAAAGGTTTCATCTTTTGGTTTTTCAGGTGGAAGATGCATACTGAAGATGGACCATCACTGTGTTTGGGTTGTGAACTGTGTTGGGGCAATGAACTACAAGTCTTTTCTCCTATTCCTGGTATGTCAAAGGAACTTTGTCATTAGCATTGTTGCAAATGAAGTTGTGCTAGGGCCTTACGGAGACAGTACATGGATGGAATTAGAACTTTTTACTCACGTGATGATGGTTGAAACTAGGGAAATGCTAATAGTTTATTGTTTGTTTAATTTATATGCTGATTTGTTCTCTTTTAATCAATGATACAACCGATCTTTGCACCCATTATGTCAAGTGTTTAACTCTACATTTCAAGTTTATATGTACATTAATGTTGCCATGATTTTTAATGCATTCCCAATCTGTCAAAATGCAGTTTTACACATTTCTTGAGACAGCGTTGGTTGCAATATCACTGTTTCCTGTTTTCCTCGTATTCTTCAGCGATGGAGACGGTGACATAACCGTATCACCAGGAAGCGTAGCAGCCACCTTCGTTGCATTTGGTGAGTTCAAAGATGCATAAATCTCAGTTTCTTATTGTTTGTGTGTTCTTGTTTCAGTCTTTCAGAACACATTAATGTTATCTGATTCAAAGTCTCTTCATTTTCTTGCTATACAGTATTGAACATAGCATTTGCGTTAAGTGTCCTAGGCTTCCTAATTATGCACATTATGCTTGTCGCGCGTAACTCCACTACTATTGAGGTAAAACAACTCTCTCTCACTTGGGTTTACTCTAACTTAGATTTCTCAGGAATATCCATTGCTCAAGGTAATGGCAGTAATATGAACTTACTGACCAAAGTAATGCTTTTTCTGATCTTCAGGCATATGAGAAGTATACAGCTCCTAATAACTCTCCTTATGACCATGGTCGAAAGACGAACTTTGAACAGGTTCCATCTCAAAACTCATGCCTTTTATGGTCGATTCTTGGGGTTCATTAAAAGAAGTTTTCCAGCGTCTTAAGATGAAATCTTTGACGTATATAAACACCAACGAAAGCTTTTAAAAAGTTTGTTTGTTTCTTTTTGTTGGAATCAGGTTTTTGGAAGGGATAAAATGTATTGGTTCTTGCCATTATACACAGAAGACGACATGAAGAAGTTGCCAGCACTTCGAGGGTTAGACTTTACGAGCAGGTCAGAGGAATCGGAGCCGCTTCAGTCTCTATGACCTTAAAAACTTCATAACTTTTGGAAATGGCTCTGCTTTGTGTATGTATCAGTATCAGGATGTCTCAAGTATTCAAAGATTAGTGCTTTTTGTGGAACTTGATTTTGTGGAACATGAAAAGAAATTTCTCAACAGCCTAACATGTTTCTTTGATTCGATTCTTTTTGGGAATACATAATATGACTGAATTCTTCATTACAATACCAACCCTTTTTTTAAGAAAAAATTGTAAGATATTTGGCTAATTTTCATTAATTTTGAAAAACTAGTAATTAGTGTTCCATATCCAATCTATTCTTTTTTATCTGTTGAACTAAATTGAACATTCTCAAACGGAAATGGGGGTACATAATTACATATACAGCTGAATCACTCCAATTCAAATTTAGATGTAATATATGGCAAAGTAACATTTCCTATAATTAAATAGATTTTTTTTTAATTGGTCAAACAAAATAATTAAATAGATTACTGTATATGACTAAATTTTGACTATAACTATAAGTAATTAATAACAGTCTACAAGGAAAATCAACAAAATGATAAGAAATCTAAGCCATGTTTAGAAGAAAATCCATGACAATGGGGGAAATAAAATTACAGAAATGGCGCGTGGAACCAGTAGCCAATCATATCACGACTTATGTAAAATGTACAAAACAAACAGTCCAAGAAGAATCTCTCATTCTCCTGCCGGAGAGAATTCTATAAAGGGTTAAATGAAATACTCTCAATTGCAACAATAGTTCGAGAGATTTATCTTCTCTCAGACTTTGAATTTCGCAAAAAGGTCGCAGATTTTCTTGTGCCATTGTTGTTCGAGGTATGAAGTTTCAATCTTTTCTCCTTTGAATCTCCACGGTGATTGTTTTACTGTATGATTTGGTTTGTAGCTAGGGTTTTTCGTTTTACCGATCGTTATGGCTACTTGAATTGTGATCGATTAACGTAATTTCTCTATGTTTCATCTTCACTTTTTCGAATTTGGTTGTATGTGATTCGTTTTGGTATCAGTCTGGTTTTGCTCCGGTCACTGAATCGGTGTTCTAGTAGAAGAACATTTCGAATCGATAGCTCCTGTTGAGTGATTTCGTTAGATGGGTTTACTCTTGAAGTTGCTAAGACGCTGACTTTGTGGTTTTGGAGTTGTGGGTTCTCTTTGTTTTTCACCTGATGTTAAGTTGCTAGAATTTTGATGAAATGCAATCTCAGATTTGTGGAAAAAGATATGATCTTTTGTTTGAAAGATAGCACTTTTCACATTGCGCTTGAGCTTTCTCATATGAGTTTGGTTGTTTTGTGTAGTGTTGTTAAACAGGGAAGATGCAAGGAGGTGGTGGTGGTGGAGATCCTTTTAACTCTGGTGGTCCTTTTGGTGGCCCTTTCGGTGGTTCTGGAGGCTCTTTTGGTGGTGATTCCGGTGGTCCGTTTGGTGGATATGATGGCCCTAATGGTCCTCCAAAACTGGTGTCGAACATCTTCGGAGGAAGAGATCCGTTCAACGACCCTTTTTTCACGCAGCCTTTTGGTGGCGGCCTGATGTCTCAGCAGAGCTTGCTTGGTCCCAGCATGATGTCTCAGCAGAGCTTGCTTGGTCCCAGCATGATGTCTCAGCAGAGCTTGCTTGGTCCCAGCATGATGCCTCAGCAGAGCTTGCTTGGTCCCAGCACGATGCCTCAGCAGAGCTTGCTTGGTTCCAGCATGATGTCTCCGCAGAGCTTGCTTGGTCCCAGCACGATGCCTCAGCAGAGCTTGCTTGGTCCCAGCGTGATGTCTCAGCAGAGCTTGCTTGGTCCCAGCGTGATGTCTCAGCAGAGCTTGCTTGGTCCCAGCATGGATCCTTTCGCAGGAATGCGTCCTCCATCTGGTTTCATTGAGAATCATCAGCCACCTCCACCACCACAACAGCCGAGGATATCGCGTGGACCGATTATCGAAGAGATTGATACAGATGATGAGAAGGAAGGAGGAGAACGAGTGAAGAAAGGAAGTCTAGGGAAACATGGCAGGTCAAGCAGTGAGGCGGAAGCTGAAGCGGCTAGAGCGGAAGGTGAAGCCTTTTCTATGTTTTTGTAAATTTTGCATTAGGTTTTGAAGATCGTTGTTACTGTTAGAGCTGACTTGTGTGTTGTGTTGGTGAAGAGATGAGGAACAGAGAAATGAGAAACATGTATGCGAACGTTATGGCGAACAATGGACAGATGAATGTGAACGCTATGACGAGCAATGGACCGATGAATGTGAACTCTATGGCGAACAATGGACTGATGAATGTGAACGCTATGGCGAACAATGGACAGATGAATGTGCACGCTGTGGCGAACAATGGACCGATGAATGTGAACGCTATGGCGAACAATGGACAGATGGATGTGACCGCTATGGTGAACAGTGGAGAGTGGCAACCACAAACTAGTAGCTACAGTTTCCAGAGCTCGGAGGTGACATACGGTGGTCACGACGGGCACTACTATGCTTCATTGAAGACCAGAAGGGTAGGAAGCGATGGGGTGAGTTATATAAATGCAAATACCATATCTGTCTGTGTAAGAAATGTACTTTATGCTAACTTCTTAAAACCGGTATGGTATTGTTTTGCAACAGTTAACCTATGAAGAAAGGAAAGAAGCAAACACTGCGACACGCGAGGCTGCGGAGAGGGTTTCAAGAGGCCTTCACAACAAGGTAGTTTGTGACATACATATGATATACATCAAAATCTTTTTTTCTTTTTATTGTTGGATCAATACAAGTGATGATGTTTAAATGCTTGCAGGGCCACACTGTTGCGCGTAAGCTGAACTCAGATGGTCGTGTTGATACAACGCAGACCTTGCACAATCTGAACGAAGGTAAAGTAACACTTTGTTTCGTTAAAGCTTCAGAAAGAGTCTAGTGTGGATGAGAGAACCTCAAATTCAGAAAAACCATAAACCGTGTGCAGGTGAATTGGCTGGTTTTGAACAGTCTTGGAGTGGACATGCTAGGATGCAATTACCCGGCCTGACTGGTTCCTTTGGCAGTAAGTAGTGAAAATTACGGTGTAGATTCTTTTTTTTTTCCGGTTTCTTACATTCCTTTTTCTAAAACATCTCTTTGTCGATGTTATTACAGGTGGTCTTGTGAACAGAGACCAACCAATGTTGCTTCCTTCGACTGATCCAAGCCCTTCTCGTGCACGAGCAGGGTCATCCAAAAGAAGCAAGACTGCAAGAGGAAATGGCAGAAACTAATTCTCGGACCACATGTCCGGTCTCTAAAGGCTTTTAGTTAATGTAACCAAAAGACTATTTATATTTACTCAGTTAGTTGCATCGTGATGTAACTGTATGATGACAAGGATTTGAGAGTTTTATAATTATAATAATAATAATAATGGAATGATATATGCATCTTTTGCTCTTTTGCTCTTAGATGCTTGTAATCAAAGTAATCAGTACCCTTCATTAGAGGAGATATCAATTAATAAACGAAGAAGGACTAATAATAATAAACCAATTTGGACCAGAACATTTTGTCTCAATTTGAAATCTCAATCAACTGTAGAAAATGGAAATCTCCTTTTTAATCAAATTGTTGAGGACGAAAAAAAAAAAAAAGTTGGAAATTGTTTTCAAACTTAAAAAAGTGAATATAATAGATTTTTCAAGAAAAAGAAATGGGAAGTGTATCCCACAAAATAAGCCTATATGTATACTATATTAATAAAACCAGAGTCCTATCCTAAATATATTCTTTTACGTGAAACCAGTTTCTTCTTCACTAGCTCCATCTAGGGTTTTTCACTTCTTCTAATCGATTTATTTCACTCTCCACTCTCCTGACTCGAATAAACTCTACGTGATCTCTAATGACGACTCAGGCACCTAATCCATCCCAGAACCAAGGTAATTTCATCAACACAAGTTTGTTTTTCATTCTTTTTGGTTTATGGTACTATATATGTTTTTTTTATACTGTTGTAACCTCAAGTTCTTAATAAAGAGAGTAACATGGATACATATGATCGTGGAAGAGCAATTAGTACTGATTAGGGGTTTTATTTGTATTCATTAGATATGATCGCTTAAACTTCCCTTAATCTTAACTACTGATCGCTTGTGACAATATATATTAGGTTTTTACTTTATCATGATTGATTATTAATTTTGATTTGGTATTAATACATTATCTATCAGATGTTGTCGTACCTAGAGGTGTAGGATTCTTCCCTAATGATCAAGAGGTCATCCAATTATTTCTCATACCAAAAATACAGAAAAAGGATATACAACGTTGTCTGATACAATCGGGAGATCTCTATCCTATAATCTCTGGACAGTCAGGACCTTGGGACATCAAAACCTACCCTAACTTTGAGAAAAACCATTACTGGCTCTTTGTAAAACGAGAATCGGTGGAGAGAGGATCAGATGTCTTTCCGCAGAGAAGAGTAGTAAGCCAAGAGGGTATTCATTTGGGGACTTGGAGATCTAAGCAAGATCAAGAAAGGTAACCAAGTATTAGGTTACAAACAGAAGCTGGAGTTTATGACAAAGGAAGACCTAAACAGTGGATGGTATCAAATCGAGTAGACGAGATTTTCAAAAAGTTTTCAAGAAACTGCTGTTAGCCACCTTGTGTACGTTAAAGAGAAGGATCAAGTGGCAGTGGAACATGCAAATCTCCAAAGACAGCATGGGAATCAAGAAGATGGTTTGGCTGAGGAGGACAAATTTGGTCCTTCAGCTCAAAAGAAAATCAAGATCGAGACGGGCCCTTTGGCTCACATATCTAAGGTCAAGACTGAAACCGGCGCTTTGGCTGAGGGGAACAAAACCGGTCCTTTACCTCACGAGATCAAGATTGAAGCCGGTGCCTTGGCTCACACGATCTAAGATCAAGATTGAAACCGGTGCCTTGGCTGACATGTCTGAGATTAAGACTGAAACAAGCGCTTAGGCTGACATGGATGAGAGGAACAATATCGGTCTTTTGTTAAAATTTTCACTTTCAGTCAACTTTTTATGTATTTTCTAAAATAGAATATGAAATTCTACATTAGAGTTTTTTGTTTGGATACGGTTGGAGTCTTTGTTACAAAATAAACAAATATATATGATCATAAAATCTGTTTAAAACAAAATCATGCATTTTTTTGCTTATTGTTTTACTTATTTTTCTATTTACTTTTTACTTATTTTTTGCTTAACCTATTGAAGGTTTCAAGAAACTGCTGTTAGCCACCTTGTCTACGTTAAAGAGAAAGGATCAAGATTCAAGTGGCAGTGGCACATGCAAATCTCCAAAGACAGCATGGGAATCAAGAAGATGGTTAGGCTGAGGAGGAAAAATTTGGCCCTTCAGCTCACAAGAAAATAAAGATTGAAACGGGCCCTTTGGCTCACACATCTAAGGTCAAGACTGAAACCGGCGCTTTGGGGAACAACTGATTTTCTTCTTTATAAATCCACAACTGTCTATACCAAACGAACAAAAACCATTTATTTTCCTCTACAAAACCTATGTACACTAATGAATTATAATGCAAATCATGTTACAACCCAAATATTGAGATAGAAAATGTGGATAAATCAAAGACAGAAAAAAACAAATCGAAAAGAAATTTCAAATAACATTAAATTGTTTTTCAATTATTCTCAAAACTCAAATTTATAGATCTCAAAATTTTAAAACTATCACCATAAAAAAACAAAAAACTTTAACTCCATAAAAAAATGCTTCACTAACATATCTCATCATCAGAAAGAACAATTTCGTCTAGGATGACGGGGATTTGAAAATCCACGGAAACCAACTAATTTTTTTCTTTATAAACTCACAATGTCTATTACTTATTATATTAGGTGATATTTTGGTTCTCTAAATTTGTATCATCTGTAAATTTCAGTTTAAGATCTACAATAAGTTTCCTTGACGCATCCATTTTCAGATTTGCTTCTTTTATCCAATCTAGATTTAGATTTGCTGTCTCTTTATCTTAATCTGGATTGTCATTGATTGGTAGTGACTCTTTTTTATTTTAAAAACATTCTTTATAATGTAATACTAAGTGGTTGGCCCGCACATATGTACGGGTATAATTTTTTGATATACATAGTTAATTGTAATATTTAAATATTGATTAGTTTTCTCAAACATTGATATTTGTATATATATATATTATTTTAATATTTCACAAACTTCTCTATGAAACAAATATATTTTAAAACTTTTTATTTTTTATAATGCTTGTAATAATATATAATCACAAATATAAAAGTTATATTAAATAATAATTAAATTCTTATAATATTTTTCTGAATATTTCTCTATTATGCTTTATTTTTCCTTACACAATATACAATATGCTTTTTTGCGTCTTACATTATATGAATTTGCAAATACACATATAATATATTTTAAGTATATACTTTTTCTTGATTTATTACAAATTAAACTGAAATAGTTTTTATTATTTTTACTAATTCCTAAGAGCGAATATATGGTAAGCATACATGTGCGGGAATACCAACAACTTTACTACTCTTAGAATTAGATAAATATTTTTAAAAAAATATAAATTGTATAATAATTTAAATATATGCACGAAAAACTTCGCATGTGACTTCAACTAATGCACAATTAATATTTATGTCTGTACGCGTATTTGTAAAAAGTCGAATATGGCTCTTACATGTTAAAAACTTTTTAAGTGACTTTGTAAAACAAAATGCGAGAGATTTATTTTTATATACTTATATTTTTATTTCTTATTCATATTTGTTTCATCTCATTTTAATTTATTCTTTCGTTCGGTTATTTTTTATTTCATTTATGATCTCAATTTTTTGATATACCATGAAAATAAATTTATATATATATGTGTGAATATGATATAAAATTTTATTTTTATTTAAAATATGATAAGAGATAAGAGGAGATGGTAACATAAGTTATGTAAATTTTAAGAAACAACAATAAAAAGATGATAAAAGTTATAGAAAATTATATGGTCCTATTAATATTATAAAATAATAATTAGTATATACTTTATTCATGTAGTAAATTTTGGTTTGAAAAAAAAAACTATTTTAAATTACGTTTTTAAAAATAATTTCAATAAAAGCTAATTATTTTATTATTTTTAACTTTTTATTATTTAAATTATTTTTATCATGATTGTATTTTAAATTGTATTATTTAATAATTAGTTTATTTAAAACATGTTTAGATATTATTACTATATTTTGTAAATTAATAACTTTCTGAAATAAAAATATATTAAACTTGAAGTATTATTAATTTATATAATTTTTACTATCCTATTGGATAATTTAGTATTATTTTTTTCGTTTTATATGAAATTATAATATATATATATATATATTATTGAAAAAAATTCGTAATTATATTTTATGAAATTATGAATATATTTAAAAAATTCAAATTATAATAATTATTATTTTCTGTTAATTTAATTTTGTTAATTTTATTGTTATAAATATAATATAGTGTATTTATGTGTTAATTTTATAATTTTTGTAATTTTAATTCAACCAATCAAAATATTTCATTTATTTTACGAAGTTTGGCATGTCACATTTACATGTCATCAATTAAAAGCACTAACTTTGGCTGTAGCGTTTACAAGTCAGTTATTTTCAATAATGTTACTTCTCAAATAATATATAGTGGATATATATGTATATATTATTTTATTTTTCAGGGGGTTTTAATAGATAAATTTTAAAAGATTTTCAAAATTTCTAAATTTAACTATTATTAGTTCATATATTCTTTAATACGTAGTAAATATATTGTTTTGATTTAAAGATTTATAAATTCCTATTACATACCTTGTTATATATTGAAAAATTACATATCATTGGTTCTCTAATTATGTTAAAATCTATTATTAATGGGACATAAATTCTCCACAATTTTATTCCTAGAAAACAAATTTCAAAATATAATGGATATACATGAGATTCTTAAAGTTTATGTAGTAAAAAAAAACTAGTTATTCTCCTCTACAAAATCTATGTACACTAATGATTATTATGCAGATAATGTACACTAATGATTATTATGCAAATAATGTTACAACAAAATAATTTGGTATTAAAATATTTTTGTAAGGATATTATAGAATAATTTTATCAAACTTTTTTATATTTAAAATATTTTTATTGAATCAAAAAGTTAAGTATGTATAAGTATTGACTCACTTATATATAATTTTAAATAATTT